GTAATAGTATTTGTATAATATATTGAAAATTGTAAAAATATTTATAATATTAGATAGTTAATATAATTACTATATTGAAAATAATATCCTTATTTCGAGATAAACAAAAATAAAAAATAAAACTCTTATGTGTTATTTTCTACCATCATTAATTATTGATCTATATACAAATATATATATATATATATATATTAATACCTATGTTTGCATTAAAAATATATAAATTTACATATCACATGTCTGATATTTACTATTTTAGGAATATCTATAAAACATTATTATATTCCATTTTAATTATATCTAGCACTATATAAGCATTTTGTTGTGAATTATTAATTCATTTAAAATTACCATCTATATGTCAAACAATAAAAATATTTATTTAATTAAACAACAAATACTTATAGAATAGTTTTTGTTTGTTTTTCCCAAAATATTAAACTTCTTGTCATCGTTATTATCATATCTTTAGCAATTAATTGAAAAAATAAATAAATCAAAGAGTATACCAAATAAAGGCAAACAAATGGGTGTGTTTGTTTGGGGGTTTGAATTTTGAGTTGGGATTTGAATAATAAAAAATTTAAATTTGAATAGGTGTATGATGTGATATAAATAATTATTGATGTGATATTTTGAATGTAAAATTGATTTTTAGTATAATATAATAAATAAATAAAAATTGTTGATTTAATGTTTTTTGGAGAAAAACATTTGATGAATAGTGGAAGTTTGGAAAAGCCTCCCAAACAAACACAAGTAGACAAATATTAAATCTAAGCCTAAAAAAAAATATGAGTTTGTTTGTTTAATATTTTAACTTGAATTTTTTTTTTTATGTGAAATATAAAAAATAATATTTGTGTTAAATTATTAACTTTGGTTAGAAAAAAATTATTAATATTATATTAAAATTGCATTAAATATTTTTTTTAATTGGGTGAACAAACTATCCATTTCAATTTATATTCAATCCAAGTTAAATTATTGACTTTTGTTAGAAAAAAATATTAATATTATTATTATTATTATTATTATTATTTTGTATCATTAATATTAATATTATTTTTATTTTATAAAAACTTAATAGGAGTATTAAATAAATTTATTATTATTATTATTATAAAATATATAATTTTTTCGCGATTTGACAAAAGCATATAGGGTGTGTTTATCTGGGAGTTTAGATTTTGAGTAGTAAAAATTAGAAACAGAAACATTCGAACTCGAGACCTAGTCAAACTTTGATAGGATGCTGAATGATCATCTCATCTAAAAGTTCAAACTATTAAAAAATGCAATCATTAATTATATATCCGCAAACAAGAGTTGTCACAAATTTGATGTATTTGGAGAAAATTATTTTGAAAATGGCATGAAAGAACACACCCAAAGTAGTATCGATTGGGTTCAGTGCGAACAACCTATTACCCATTTTGGTATGACTTTTTCTCAAACTATTTTTTCTAAATTTGATTACAACGCGTATTGATAGTTAAAATCTTTCATATATATATATATATATATATAAATGCACTCTCAGTTAATATATTTCATATATAAACAGATGTGCAAAGAATACTTCTACTAAGAACTGACAAAGCGGTGCAGGTCATCCAACTCACAAGGCGCGTGAGGTGCACGTGTTGTTTTCAGAGGTTGAAATTTAAAAGGCGCTTGAAGGCTTTCAAAGGAACAGGTTTGTTTGTTTTAGACCACGTGCAACAAAAATATTTCTTTTTTATCAATTTTTTTTTTTAAATAAATATATTAATATTAATATAAATTACATTACTTATAATTATCCCATGGGATCGTTGTTTTCAAAACAATTAGGGGGGCCATTATCCCAAATCCAAAAAGGAATAGCCTTTTACACTCTCTTAGGCTTCATGTGCTTCCTCTTAGCACTCTTTACATTTTTTTATTTCTACACGCGTTGGAATCGTCGTTCCAACGCTTCAAATCCGCCGGCACCGGCCGTCGATTTTCCACTAGAACCGTCCCAAGTAAGAGGACTGGATCGGGCGGAAATCGACGATATTCCGGTCGCTTTTTACGAAAACCTTTCTGTCGTCGACAGCCGATTCCACCAAGTGGAATGCTGTATTTGTTTAGGAGAATTTTTGGCGACAGAGAGAGTAAAATTGTTTCCGCCTTGCGGACATTGTATCCACTCGGAGTGTTTAGATATATGGTTAACGACACGGTCAACTTGTCCGCTGTGTCGCGCACCGTTCCGAGATGGCAACACCAGCTGAACACATTTTTTTTTTTTTCTTTTTATTTGTTTCGACAATACGACGATCGTGTTTATTTGTAATTGTAATTAACAATTTTGAATACAATTGGAGTTTGATTTACAGTGTGTTTGTTTAATGTTTAATGTAGATGTTTATTTGATTAATATTGATGATGTTTATTTAATAATTGTAACTTGGTTATTACAATTGTATATTTGCATTCAGGAATGAAAAAACATCAAATATCATGCATATTGTATATAAAAAAATAAATTAATGTAAAAATATTATATACGTATCAATTTTATATTTTATTTTTTTTTTACGATAACGAGTATATAATATTGGCAATTTTAATATTTTCAATATATAAAAAGAATATCATATAATATTTTGATATACGGTGTATACCAATTTGATGATTGTTTATGTTTATAACTAAATTAATAATTATTTTAAAATATAAACATAAATATATTTTTATTTTTATTTAATAAAGTTCAATTTAAAATATAAATAAAATTAATGCTAGTATATATATATACACACACGTGTGTTATGAATGAATTAATTAATTAATTAATATGGTTCTATGGGCCTAGCTAGCACCCAGGGCCGGCACTAATTACTAGGGCCCCAATTTTTTGGGCCCTTTTAAGGGCCCATTTTTTTTAAAAATATATATTTATATATATAATAAAATTTATAAATATTTAATATAAAAATATATATTAATTTTTTTATTTGTATTTAAATTTTTATTTAAATAATTTTTTTAAATTTAACATTTAATAAAAATATAATACTATATTTTATTGATAATATAATCAAATAAATTAAATAAGTAATCAATAGTTAAAAAAATGTTAAATAATATATATAATAATTTTAATAAAGGCCCATATTTGTTTTTGTCCCGGCCCATTTTTTTAACCCCGGCCCATATTTTTATATGTTGTTAGCAAATCCCTTGAAGATCTCAGAGACTACACCTGTGTAATATTGATGCTTACATACTACTAGTAGTTAAAATAACATAATTATAATATATATATAAATAAATTGGTTTATTCCTTAACTCGGCCCAATCCAAACTCATATCTAAAATTCAACCCATTTCGTCAAAGCCCATCCGTAAATTAGTTTTTGAGGATTAAAAATTATGCAAGATTGGGAGGTTTTTGTGGGTTGAGGGTGCCTTTATTTGAGGATTTGAATTTCGAGTTGAGATTTAAAAATTTTTAATTAGTACGATGTGAAATTAATTTTTAATATAATATATATAAAAAAAATAGGTATTTGATTTTAGTTTTTAGAGAAATTTTTTGATAAATAGTAAATTTTGAAGAACATGCCCTAGAGTTTCCTCCGACTGTAAAAGCCTTTTCGATGGCTAATTCTGGTGGGCGTCGAGGGCTTAGAGTGACGCGCCAAACTCCTATCTTGCGGTCGTGGTTACCTCAGGTCATTTTGCACCATGCACTGAGCCAAAATATATCGTTTCTAAGGCCGATGAAAGAATTTCGAAAAAAATCGGAAGAGTTCAGAGAAGATAATCGGAATTCCTACTGTCCAGTCCGTCCGTTACTGTTTCGGTGCAGATCGTCAGAGTCCGGAGCCGTTTGTTTGGAGTCAAAGCCCGCTTAAAGGACCCAGGACCCGGATCCGGCACCGTACCCGCCGATAAGATCCATTGTAAATATATCAAATAATGGAGTCAGAAATTATTGTTTGGCAGAGCCTGAAAATTTTGTTTATATATATATTAAAAGTACTTAATACAATTAAAATAAAAAAATAAAAACAATCAGAATTTTAATTTATTTTTTTCATTTGAGTTTTTTAGATATATAAAAAATATTAGCTTAAGAATAAATATGTTTTAGACAATTGAATTGAACATTATAATAATATATTTTTTATTAAATTAATAGGAGTGATTCATTATCTAAATTCTAAAAATTATATTAGTAAATTTAAACCAAAAATTTTTAAAATCGATCAAAAGAAACATATACTGTATTTTTTTTGGTTTTGATTTAAAAAAATTTTACTTAAATTTTGTATTAAAATCAAATTTGATAAAATATTTATAATTTTTTTTTTAAAAAAAAGTAAAATCTAAATAATACTGGTAAATTTTAAATATTTTGGATAGAATAAATACATTGTTTTGTTCTTACAACAAAAATTTTCAAATATATTTCTAAAAAATACTTTTTCTATCCCATGTAAAATATTCATATGGTTCATTTTTCGCCATTTTTATATAATTTGTATTTTATTATATTTTTTAAAATATAATTATATATTTTAATGACAATTAAAATTTTATATTTTATAATTTAATTAAATTATTTAATATCTTAATATATTACTCACCCTTTTTATTTTTACATAAAAAACACAAATTAAATATACAATCAGTCTGTTCATCCCACACAATTTTTTAATTGCAATTTCAAAAAAAAATAATAAAAATTCATAATATTTTATATAAAATATCAAAAAATTATTAAAAAATTTAAAATATTAAATATTTAATCTAAAATAATATATTTTATATTTTTAACATAATTATCTGTAAAATTATTTCATTAAAATATGCTGCGGAAATTGAGCCATTCTGGGAGAGAGCATTTGGACGACGGAGATGGCGTGAGCTTGGCGACAAACACATCTGAGCCATACGGCCCCAGCGCCCATCATCACTCTGTGGCCAAGCCGAGCCAAGCCGAGCCGAAGGAGGAAGAATCTTCTGGATACCCTCGCTCCTATAAACCCTACTTCTTCTTCTTCTGCTGCTCCAATTTCATTTCTGGCTGTTATCTTATCCACAAAACCCCATCCCCAATTCTTCCCAAAACAATCAATTCAAATGGCTTCCGCCAATGCTATCTCCACTGCCTCCATCCTCCCTTCACGTTCCAAACAAGTACTGTACTCTGCTCCCCTTTTGATCTCACCTCTTTTGGTAGCTTGCTTTGTTTGTTTAATCTGATTATTTATGCCGTTTGCTTGTAGGGAGGATTTTGTAGCAGGAGCTCCAGTCGGTTGCAGCGGGGGCAGAATTTCGGGCAGAGGCAAGCGAAGAACAGGTTTGCAGTGAGAGCCAATGCTAAAGAAATTGCGTTCGACCAGAAATCGAGGTCTGCAATGCAGATTGGTATCGACAAGCTTGCCGATGCCGTTGGTCTCACTCTCGGTCCCCGAGGTATCTGTTCTTGCGAAGCTGCTCCGGTTTTACTTGTTTCCATTTTTAGCTGATAGTATTTAAGTTTCCAGTTTTAATGTCCTCCGTTAGTTGGATTCAGTAGAGGCGTAGAGTCTGCAAACCTCCATGGCAGAAGTCTCAATTCCACTGTAAATTTGGGGAAATTGTGATAATGGAACCTATTTAGTGCTTTTTGTTATTTAATTTATGATAGGGGCTAAGAATTTTGCTTAAATTCCTTAAAAATTTTGATCTTGTGTGTATGAGATTAAGTAGCTTTGTTTGTGTGTGCTGTGTTGTCACAATGGGAAAAGGTTTAACCTAAATTGAACTTTGAGTGATGTGAAGATTTAAGGTGAATATGATATTGTTGAACAATATTTGAATGCTTTCTGTGATCTAAAGAATTTGTGCTAATAATGAGCAAGTGAAGTTTTATTTTGGACTATTGTTGGGGAGAGTATATCTATCTGTACATTATGTGCAATTTTGTCGTTAGAACTGAATTAGCGCAGCACATTTACGGTGTTTATATGTCAGTATCCATAATCAGTGATTTTGTGTAATCATTAACAGGCAGAAATGTAGTCTTGGATGAATTTGGGGCCCCAAAGGTGGTCAATGATGGGGTTACAATTGCTCGGGCCATAGAGTTGCCTAATGCCATGGAAAATGCTGGGGCTGCTTTGATTAGAGAGGTTAGTTCTTGTGTTACGGTCGCAGATTTTCTATTATGAAATGAGTAGCTGATTGTTTGTGACTCGACTTTTGATTGTGTGGAATTGAAGGTTGCTAGCAAGACAAATGATTCGGCTGGTGATGGGACTACAACAGCATCTGTTCTTGCTCGCGAGATTATCAAACTTGGCCTTCTGAATGTTACCTCTGGCGCCAATCCAGTTTCATTGAAGAGGGGGATTGATAAAACGGTGATGGGATTGGTTGACGAGCTTGAAAATAAAGCCAGACCAATTAAGGGTGGAGATATCAAAGGTACTTTGTTCATTAGTTTTGATTTTTAAAGACATTGATCCGTTGGGATTCTTAAATTTCGATAGTCAGTTAATACCATGTTTCTTTACTTCCAATCGGGAGCTATGAATATTTGGTAATTGCCGAATTTTGGAAAGTTAGTGAGTCATTAGTTTGGACAGAAAATCTATAGGTTTATCATTTTTATTCACATTACTGTTCATGTATACATTTTAGTACTGAATTCATCTTATTGAATTACAGAATTTGAATTTGGTGCTCACCCCTAGTTCTGAAAATCTCATTTGCAGCCATTGCTTCAATCTCTGCTGGAAATGACGAGAGCATAGGCCAGATGATTGCTGATGCAGTTGACAAGGTCGGACCAGATGGTGTCTTGTCCATCGAGTCATCATCTTCCTTTGAGACCACAATTGCTGTTGAAGAAGGAATGGAGGTCTGTATTTTATTCTTCCCTTCCATGAGTCATGTTTTGGATTCAACGACAAGCTAATGCCATTCATTCTTGGCTTGCAGATCGATAGAGGATACATCTCCCCCCAATTTGTTACCAATTTCGAGAAGATGACTGTCGAATTCGAGAATGCAAGAGTTTTGGTTACAGACCAGAAGATTTCGGCAATCAAGGACATAATCCCCCTGCTGGAGAAAACGACTCAGTTGAGATCACCTCTGCTTATTATTGCAGAGGATATTACCGGAGAAGCTTTAGCTACACTTGTTGTAAACAAGCTTCGAGGCATTCTGAACGTCGCCGCCATTAAAGCACCTAGTTTTGGCGAAAGAAGGAAAGCTATTCTTCAAGATATTGCAATTTTGACCGGTATTCGATCTATCACAATTACAATTTAGAACACTTGAATAAATTGAAGTTCTTGATATTGATGGTAGAACTTTACATCTACAGGGGCCGAGTATCAAGCGACAGATCTCGGATTGCTAGTGGAGAATACGGATATAGACCAGTTAGGTATAGCGAGAAAGATAACCATCACCAAAGATTCGACAACCATCATTGCTGATGCTGCGACGAAGGACGAACTACAGGCTCGGATCGCTCAGCTTAAGAAGGAGCTAGCTGAAACCGATTCAGTTTATGACTCTGAGAAACTTGCAGAAAGAATTGCTAAATTGTCCGGCGGGGTTGCTGTGATAAAAGTCGGTGCAGCAACGGAGACAGAGCTCGAGGATCGTAAGCTTCGGATCGAAGATGCCAAAAATGCGACTTTTGCTGCCATCGAGGAGGGCATCGTCCCTGGCGGCGGCGCCGCTCTCGTCCATCTCTCGACTCATGTTTCGGCTATCAAGGACAAGCTTGAGGACGCAGATGAACGACTTGGCGCGGATATTATCCAGAAGGTAAATTCTCTTTTTTTTTCTTCGATTTGGTACTCGGCATTCTTTATATCTTCATGCATATATATGACATTCACATGATTTATTCATAGCCGTTAAAATTTAACACTGTACTGACAATACATAATATAGGGTAGACACTAATATTATAATTTAACACAGTGCCGACAACACAATATAAGTATTAAGTATACATACACAATTTATTCATACTTGTTGTAACTGCGTCGAATTCTACTCCCTCTGTTCGGTCTATTATGTCTGTTTTATTGTAGACACCAGAATTTAGGAGGAACATAATTAGTAAATAATTAAGAATACAGTAGTAAAAGTAATTATAGATTAAATTAAGATAACTACCGGGGAGAATAGAACATATTAGGAAAGTAAGTGACAAAATAAGTGGGACGGACATAAATAAAAAGATGGATATGATAAGTGAGACGGAGACAGTATAATTCAACATAGTGCCACCAATGATTTATTTTAACGTAATATACATATATTTATACAACGTAGTTACGACTATGAACTAAACATATGTTTTTATTTACCATACGTTGGGATAAATAAAAACATGTACTATCTGTCTGTTGTATATGTACTAATCGTTGATTTCTCCGGTCAGCATAGTAATCATCTATTTATTTATATATTTGTTGTATATGTATAATTCAACATAGTGCGAACAATAATTTATTTAACATAATATACATATATATATTCATACAACATAGTTACGAGTATGAATTAACAACATATGTTTTTATTTACCATACATTGGGTTAAATAAAAACATGTACTATCCTTTTGTTGTACATGTACTAATCGTTAATTTGCTCCGGTCAGCACGGCAATCATCTGTTTTATTCATGCTTGACAACACATGTTAGTGTTTCGAACATTGGTTTGTTATAAATTAAAAAAAATGCAAGTTATGTTTTTCTTTGTTTTTTTTTTTCCTTGTTGGTAGGCACTAGTAGCGCCGACAGCTCTGATAGCCCAAAACGCGGGAGTGGAGGGCGAGGTAGTTGTGGAGAAAGTGAAGGCGAGCGAATGGGAGTTCGGGTACAATGCGATGACAGATACGTACGAGAATCTTGTAGAGGCCGGAATTATCGACCCTGCCAAGGTGACACGATGCGCGTTGCAGAATGCAGCTTCAGTTGCCGGAATGGTGCTCACGACGCAAGCCATTGTGGTGGAGAAACCCAAGCCAAAGACAGCCGCTGCGGCAGCCGCCTCCGGCGAGCCGCCGATCGGATCCTACTCAGTGTGATGTGATAGAGATGAAGAAGAAATTTGTGTTGTTGTGTTAGTGTTTTTGTAGTATGCAAGACTTGAGGTTTTGAGGGAAGCAGGGGGATAATTAAAATTGTTATATGAAGAACTTTAGTTATGAAAATTGTTCAAATTGTAGGGTGGATAAAGATCTTGTTGAATTGCACAAACATGCCTAGGACAAGGTGCCACTTATCCCGCGTAAGAGTATGTACTTTCCTTGCGTCCAATATTTATATATCAATTTACTTTTTATTGAGAGTTTTAAAAATATTAGTATTATATTAAGATAAAGTAAAAATAAAAATAAAAAAATTAAATTAATTTTATTATTATATTTGTGTAATATATTGTAAATTGGAAGAATATTTGTAATGTTAGGTAGATGACACAATTACTAAAGAAAAAAAATGAATATTTTGTATGAGACGGACCAAAATAAAAAAATGGATAGATTGCTAAAAGGACGGAGAGAGTATATGAAATATATGTTCAGTCTATTCAGTCACATTCTCAAATGGAGCCATTTGAAAAAATTCTCTACTCGATTCTTAGCATCTAAAAGAGACTATCCACAAATATTATTTAAAAATATAAATATACACAAATATTAATATAAAATATACATTATATATTCATAAAAAATCAATCATTCAATAAAAAAATATTATTTTTTATATTATCAATTCAATTCACATGAAAATAAGTAAAAATGTTGAGTGAATAGATTGAATGTAATTTTTCATAAAATATTATGCTCTATTTCGTCAAGCAGAAAATATACATATTTCTATTTTCGGTTATTCAATTACAAAGTAACAATTTCACTGAATACCCAACTTTTTTTTTTCACAAATACCCAATTTCATGCGATTTCAATGGAAGCAAAGTCTAAAATAGGGGAAAGAAGACGGAATTAAAGCAAATTAACCTTCAACTTACAGACACAAAATTCAATAGGTTGGGTGAGATTCCGAGCATGAAGAAGCCTCATACAATGCTTGTCGATCCCTACATTGGCTGTGGCAACTTGTGCTGGCCTAATACAAACATTTTCGTATGTATAAAACACATAAGATCACAATGAAGCATAAGCAACAAGAACGACAGCCGAGTGATTCAAATGTATGCACAAATTGCTGATATGCAAGACTGCATTTAGGTAACATCCGAAGCCGACAAGAAGACCGTTAAAATATCTTTAGAAACAATATATTATATTTATGATAGCTATCTTATTTAAGAGATCCGTAGGATTCTTGCCTTACTAAGACGATTTATATATCACTATAAGTATGTACGTATTCTTATTATTAAAAAAGAGAATTTCAATTTCATATTCTAACAAGTACATACCAGAAATGGATGTTTAAGTATTGAGACACAGCTATTGCTTGTTGCATCGTGTGGGGATAGCAGAAGCCTAACGTGTGGAATGCTTTTCCAGCTCTCTCCCAATGCAGGTTTTGAACTGCCGCCTTCTCCAGCAACCGTATGGTTTGTCACCTGACGTGTTAGGCTTTGTATTAGTTGAACTGACAATGTACAAAAGTTCATCCAAGAAATCCCGGATATGGAAAATCTATGGCTCTTAAATAGACATTTTTTAACCTTTTGGTACTATTTATCCACGATAGCTTTTTAAAACGTATTAAAAATATCACATCAAATACAAACTTTTTACTATTCTCAAATTTTTTCAAAACTCCGAAACTCTTTGTCTAAATAGAGTCAATAATCTCTTTAGCATGGCTACTTGCGAAAACTGTTAGATCACAAATTAATTAAATATCTGGGTCCAGAAAAAACTTAACTACAAAACACCTCTGAGAGGTTGAATAAAAAAGTTACTTTTAACGATAGATTAAAAAAAATAAAAATACATTGGTTATAGATACACAGGATATACAGGATAAAATATGAAAAATAGACAGGGATACTACTGTGCGTAGAAGATGCAGAAGGGGCAAGATTAAGTACATTTACAAAAGCGAAACTTCAGAGAGAAATAGACATAATTTCAAAATACCCCGTCACCAGCAAAGAAAAGAGCCTAATAATATCATGGCAAAAAACAAAAATTGAAGCCTGAAGGGAACAATACCAGGATGGAAATGTTATGCTCGTGTGCAATCTCCTTCAACAAGAATCCTGTAGTAACCATCAAGGCATGTCCTGTATATTTGTAAAAGATAAACCTTTCAGACGCTAGTTTAGTGGATATAATGGCAGAAAACGATATTTCTTAGAATCTCTTTAGTTTGATCATTTCTTATGTTGATCACACTAATTAGAATTTCTCAATAAACAGCACATACAATCTAAATTGTAAGCAAACCATCTAAATTGATGAAATCTAATCCCTCGGCATATAAAAGACTGTGACATGTTGATGAACTTGATCACCTACTTGAATAGTGTATCCAGTAAATTCATGTTCGAAAATAAAAAAAGCAGGAAAGCAACACAAAAGCAACACAAGCTAGCTCAAATTAAAAATAATGATATACAAGTAAATGCCGATATATCACATCACTTGGCTTCTCAAAAATATCAAATTCGGTGATAGAAATGTCGATCTTTGCATAGCATATACCATGAGGACCGCCGCCGCCAAGAACTGGGGCTATAAGTGATGAAAGAGAGTCGATGATAAGCATTCTCACCTGGCGCTGAATCTGCAATCGGAAAAATCAATATTATCAAAAAAGGAGAAGCAGGTGCAAGGAAATGGGAGGTATATAAACAAATGCGAAGGCCAACCTGAGATTTCAAATCGATTATCAACTTACTGAGCATATCCAGGAGAGTAAAGATGTTGTATACAGAATGGCATACTATACGATTCATTACCTGTTGAAGGACTTTATCTCCCTGTAGAGAACACCAAAATACATCACAAGAGGGATTTTAGGAAGAAAAAGAATTAGTAAACACTGTTATTTTTACCAACAGTAACCACAGTATTATAAACTCATATAAGTCCATGCATAAGTATATGTCAAACAGGATGGAATGGTAAATTGCACAAGAATTTGTGCGGGATTGAACTTAGGTTTCCCGGGAGTCAACAGGAAGCACTTTCACGACCTGTTTGGTTGGATGGAATTCAATGGAATGTAAATCCGTAGTCCAAATACTTTTCTTGTTTGGATTTTGGAAACATTTATAACTTTTATTCACTTTAAAATGGATTTGGAGCACACTTTTTAATACTTAGAATACATTCATACACCAAGGCATATTTAAATTCATTCCAAAACCTAGTTATATTAGTAACAACGTACATTTAACTTTGATAAATTTTTATTAGTGGAACAAATCTGGATTAGAAAATGATAATGAGAGCAAAATTGATTATATATGATTATAATGACATCAAACTAATTATTATTACCTTAAAAAAAAATCTCTATTATACCTAAATAATGAGTTTTATTCAAAATATTTCTTTATATGAATTTAACAAGACTCAACAATGGATTAAAATTTTGATGTAGTTCAAATGAGATGTAACTCCATTTTCAAATCCAAATGCATCTTACCAAGCGTAACTTCTTTTTAACAAAAACGAACCAATAAATGACTGATTTTTTACCTCAGCATTAGAAGGATCTAACGGCTGCTGCTTCAGAAAATGTGAAATTCGTTTTGCAGAAAAGGAGTTTCCTGAGTCAAAATACATCACGGTGCCTGAATAGTTTCTTGCCACATGTGATGCAGACTTGAGACAAACCTATTCCATAAAAATCTCGTTAGAACAGCAACAAACATGTAGCTAAAACATCCAACTTTAGTTTAACAATTCATAAATTCCAAGCATTTAAATGGGAGAAGAGCAGAAATTGCATCAACCTCTAAATTGAGCTTAATTAAAAACTGCAAGGGACTCGTACCTGAGTTTTACCCGAAGATGATGGTCCAACTAGCTCAGTTACATGACCCTCACAGAGGCCGCCTTCCAGAAGAGCATCGATTCTAGCCAAGGATAGAAATCATCATAATTCTAGCTATACACATGCTATGATATTAAAAATGTTGTGCAAATTGAACCTTTCACATCCAGTTGATACTTTGCACTTGTTTTGTCGAGCATCCTTTAGCAATTCAATACCATTTAATAGTGGCCGGTGTTGTCTCTCCTTCATAAAGAACAGCTGGTATTTCCCTAATGGTGCATTTGATACAGAGAAACGCAGACAACAAAATGTAAATATTTTGGCTTCTCTTATTTCTTTGAGCAAGAGAAATCAAAATTAAGAAATAAATATTATTTTTTTTGTTTTCGTTTTTATTATATGCACTTAGAAATGGGGAGAAATACATACTCCTTCCATACCGCAAGAAGGTTGTCATTGACTTTTGCATATTGATCTTTTAATATTAATTATTATATCAATACCTAGTACAAATCAAGAGAAAAAAACAAAAATATGTTTATTAATCTCTTATAATAAAAATACAATGACATTTGTAGAGTAGAGTAAATTATTCAAATATAAGAATATTTTTAATGTCAAGTACAATTACGCAAAAATCAAATAACAACCTTGCAGCTGGACGAAAATATTATTTAAATATGCATAATGTGTTTATTTGATATATATTTTTTTTGATACTATTCAACGTCCATAATTCTTTATATTTATATATAGAGTATTTTACGTCACAAAACATCACATCTAAATTACTATTTAAATCAAAACTAAAACCAAAACAAAAAATCACCGACTAAACAAATATTTTTCTCCATGGATTTCTACTACATTAAAACCATCTTTTACTCAATACATGATCTACTCTAATCGATCAATTCTCTCTCTCTCTCTCTCTTTTTCTTTTCTTTTTCTCTTTTCACCCCACTAGAACACAATATATAATTTCCACCAAATCAAATCATCTGTGTTGCTGCACTTCTATATCATATTTCTCAATTGAATCCACTGTTCAGAAAAATCAATTCTCCTTCTCTATTTTATAGTATATCTTATTCTACTATCTACTTATCATTTCTCTACAATTATCTGTACCAAATACACCCTAACTTCCATGGACAAAAGTTACACATCAATCCTAATAGTCACTTAAAATTTTTAACTCAAAATTTACCACAAGTATTAACATAATAGCTAAAAGCCTTTTTAACTGCAAAAGCCACTAAGAAGCGCTAAAATCATGAGTGTGTAATTTTTAACTGTATAAATTTTGCATAGTAAGAAATAGATCGCTATACAATTAAACTGCAATGGACAAATGCAAACGGATTTTCAGAAAAGATTGAAGCGGTGATGATGGAGATCTACCACTGTTGTGTGGAAATAGACCAAAAATAGAACGCAGAAGCCATAAATATCGTAAACAAACAAGGGCAGACAACCAACTCCCCCAGACACCCCAAACAAAACCGATGCTCGAAAAATTAAATCGCAATTGCAAGGCAAACCGTACCTGAAATAGGAAGAGGCGATTGGACGGAAGTAGGGAAGCAGCACCGGCGGCGGGTGAACACGATGGCGTTGACGGCGGCGGTATCGGAAGTAGACGGTGAGGGTGAGGGCGGTAAATTTTATTTAAAAAATAATAATTTATTAGAAAATGGAAAAGGGAAAATACTAAAATTTACAAAAATGACGGTGACGTGGCAGTTTCAGTTTCTGTGCGGATGACAGCGTCAACGTTGTGCCTTCGTTTGGATGATTCTCCAAAATTTTTATTATTTATCAATTCATTTTATTTTTGAAAATATTAAATTAAATATTTATTTTTTTATTTTTTATATTATAGTAATATCATTTTTACATTTAAAATATCAATACATATTTATATCACATTATATAATTATTCAAATTCAAAATTATTATTATTTAAATTTCAATTCAAAATTCAAATCCGCCTTAGGAAATCCATTACTTTATTTTTTCAAATTTAATTAATTATAATAATTTTATTTTAATCATAAATTTCAATTTTTATTCTAAAAAAAAATATATTTTTATATTTATATTTTTTTATACTATTCCTTTATTTAATTTTTCTTATTTATAAATTATATTCAATTTTTTTTTTATCTTATTATTCAATTTTTATGAAAAATATATAAAATAAATATTTTTTAAAATAAAAAAATTATACATTATTTTTTTAAAAATAAAATTATATATGATTTTTAAAAAAATAAAATTACATGTCACTTTTCAAAATATAAAATTATGTACTTTTTTTAAAAAATATAAAATTACACAATAAACTTTAAAAAATAATAAAAATATACAAAAATTTAACTTAACAAATAAAATATAGGTACATTACAAACTCCATTTATGAAGTTAAAAATGAAGTTGGGTTGGAGTCCAACCCCCAAAATCATCCCAAACTACTGTATTAATATAGTGGGTTGGAAATGCTTTAATAAGGGTATGTTCTTTTTGTAAAATAATTTTATCCATATTTTCAAAAAAATTAATATATTAAATATATTAATTATATATTTTTACACAATCCTCTCTATTTTAAGTAAAAAATATCCATTAAAATTATTTTACAAAATAAACACAATCTAAGAAAAATATTATCTTTAATACAAATCTCTCAAAATTTCTTATTTTAATTATATATGTTCAAAAAATTATATATTTTTTCTGACAAAATATTTTATTAAACATCATTTTAATACTAAATTAAATTCAAATTTTCACACATGACCTCAAATTCGATTAAACAAAATAAAATAATCATTGTCCTCACTGTCACGAATCCATTTTCAAATATCCGGGCCATTCCTTACGGAATATTTTTCTAATTTTTTTTCCCTTTTATGTGACATGATGGATTTTGATAGTAACTCCTAAATGAAAATTGGATTAAATAATGGTAAGTATAGTATAGAAAAGGATAGGTGAATGTGTAAGGCCTGGGAATGGCCAATAACAGGTAGTTGGCAATATTATTTATTTATTTTGCTATATGTGTACATGAACTTGATCTTAATTGATACCAAAAAATCTTTTGACAATGACTAAAAATGGTCCAGCAAGTACTACTGATGCAACATTACATACCAACTTATGGTTATATATATTATGGACCACGTACCAACTTGACCTTTTCAAGGCCATAGACATATATACATATGCCCTCATTTTTTTATTTTATTTTTATGATGCGGGAACCTCCAATTGTCACCAAAAAATGCACACTGGGTAAACCTCCGACCGAACCTAATACCCTGCAAATTATGGCAGGTGATTTGAGACGCCGTGGTTTAAATTTATCACCTCACGGTCACACGTCAACCCCTATACCACCAGGTCATCCCTTATCAGACTATATGATCCTCGTTCTTTCAGTTATTGTAGATTACTTTTGATTTTAATTTTACTTTTGTATTGTTCATAAAAATACTAATCATTTTTTTTAAAAAAAATAATAATAAATTAAGTACAATATTGAACTCTTATTTGTCATTTAAAAATTTACATTAAAATGCATTCTCTTAAGTCATTATAGTCATGAGCCTTTATTTATATTTTATAAACCACTTATTTTTTATTCAATTTTTTTAGTATTATCAAAACTTTCTTGATCCAAATTATTTTTTCGACTATATTTAATTTATACATTATAAATTTTTTTCTTTATCCTCGCCAATAATTGAATTTTCATACTAAACAAATTTTTTTTCTTGTGAATCTAATGTAAAAGATAATAACAGTAATAAGCTATGTACGCTATATATGTCATTATATAACGATGCAACTAAAAAAGAGCTTTAATACAACGTTTACACACCCATAATACATGCAAATACATTTCATTTTTCACATATATATTTATTTATTTATCAAAATTGTCTGTAACTCCTCAATGATCTCGAAATTCAGCATAAATTTTCTTTTATATTTGAAAAATTGTATGATGATCCCTTATACTTTAAAAAACGTTATATGAAAACCCCTCATGCAAAAAATATAAATGGAAAATCATTTTTTCACCACAAAAAAAATCTAAAAATGAGTTTCATGCAATATTTTTGAAAATATAAAAGAGCGCTATACAGTTTTTAAAATACAAGGAAGATTTACGCTGAGTTTCAAAACTACAAGGGAGTTATGAATAATTTTATCTATATATTTATATATCCCACTATACACTTTGGAATAATTTTGGTTTAATGTTGCCAACATATATACCGAAGACATACTCAACTCTATACACGCAAGTTCTTAAGTATTATCGATGAACAATATAATATGCAAGAAGATTGTGAATGAAGGATAATCACTTGATAATCTTCAAAATAATTAAATAGTCGATGGTTGAGGTCGAGCGAAAATGGTGGACATTATCAATATGGATTGATCTATAGATGCTAGCTAGCTATAGTGTTACTCATGGTGGACAAGAGAACAACTTTGAAGATTTTATTCCATTATTTTTACTTGCTTTTTCTTTACCGGTTTCCTTTACATTATTATGCATCAACTTTACCATAAATTTGTTAATATATCGCTTTTTCAAGTCTAATTTCCTTCCCTTTATGTTTTATTAGAGTGGGATTTTTCGTCCCAAAAAATGCCTTATCTCTAATATATATATATATATATATATAAATATAGTTATTATGTTGATTGAGATTAATAAATACTATAATAAAATACTCCATTCATCTATAAAAAAATATATATTCATATAAGCTGAATACGAATTTTAATGTATATATATATTAGTTGATTGTGATATAAAATAAAGATATTTTGTGAAGTATATGAGTGAGTTAATGAGATGAAAATTTTTTGGATAGATTAAATATGTAGAGATTGGTGGCATATATGTAAATAAGTAGAATATTAAAAGGTATAAATTAAAAAGTATGTAAGAATTATTTGCTATAAATAAAAAATATATATATATATATGAACAGACTGAATATGAAATATAAATTGGTACCGTATAAGTTACAAACTAATAGCACAATATGTATGTCAATATTGTACAATTACAATATATGAACTGAATCAATATATAACAATAGTCTATATAACGTATACTATAAGTGATCAATAAAATGGTATGTTAAAAACAGGTACACATAGAGTCCCGTAAGGGATTGCATGGTGGTGTATGGGTTGGACTTGTGACCGTGAGGTTATGAGTTCAAACCCCCGACGCCTCAGGTCATCTGCCACACATGGTTCGCCTAGGTGTGACTTTTCCGTCGGATCTGATTTGCAGGGTATTAGGTTCGGCCCAGTACATATGCTATATTATTGCAAATATGATTAGTTCTAACTAACAATCTAATTATTTGCTATATATTGTACATTGGGATCATATCACATTTTAAGTATCAAATCATATGATCTTAAAACACTTAATTACATATTCAATTACCAATATATATATATATATATGTGTGTGTGGATTCGTCAACAAAGTGTTGTCTATATCATCCATGAATTTTCAATATAAAAGAAATCAATTAATATAACTAAATAGCTACTTTTTCCAAGCTTTCAACTATACTCTATTAATTGTTGCAATTACTTGTCTAGAAATTAAAGTGACATATAGTTTGAACATATCACTTTGATTTATTTTTTATAATTTTTTTATTTTATATATATATATATTCATACTTCTCTAAAAAAATTATATTATGTTCAATATTATCGAACATAACATCCTAATAATCATTTTACACAAGAATAAATACACGAACACAATGTAAACAAACATTAAAAATGTATTTGGCTTGTGTTTGTATTTTGTGTCTATGTAGTGACTTGATATAATATTTTATAAGATTAATTAGTGTGTCTATACATATATATATATATATATATTTTGGAGCATGGGAATTGTATCGTAAATAAATCGAAAAAAATGCATATAAACAAAAAAAAAAAAAAAAAGAGAGAGAGAGAGAGAGAGATTTTTTATTAATATTATAAAAAATATAATATATATTATATTTATTCAAAAGAATTAATAATTTAATATTATTATAGATACATTTTCTCATATCTAACATAAAAAAATACATTAAATTCAAAACACAAAACAAACACACCCAAAACCTAATTTTTTGTGTTTTTTGGTATGATATTTTTAAAATGAACTAATTGTTAGATACGGTGGTTATATAAATATTGAATATTAGATGTGTTTTTTTTTTTTTTTTTTTCTTAAAAAAATAAAAGAGATTAACGAACAACAACAAATATGGACTCGTGACCTAGTGTGACTTGCTTTGTCGGACCTAGTTTACATACTGTTATATTCGATCGGAAGTTTACACAAAATATACTCATAGAGTAGTGGTTGTGAATTTTTATGTTATTAAATAATGATAATAATAAACAAATTTGAAATTAATGACATACAAGCAAATATTTATATACATGTACATATGTATAAGTGATAATATAACAAAGTGTAAATTGATGGAACATTATAACACAACTTTGTACTATATTTGACCAACTTTACACATAATTGTAGTGTTCTTTTTTTTTTTTTTTTTTCAATACGAAAATTTTTTAAGAGGTCACTTATTCTAGTATTACTTTTGTCCAAAGCCGTTTAATTTCGAAATTATGATGGAATCTAGTGAGTTTAGCTTATATAAGTTGTATGGTAACTTTTTGGCTTTTATCAATTATCAATGTTTATGTATGTAAACATATTTAACGAAAACTCAAAATTTGCATTATTATTCATCATAATGATTGAAACCTATAAATAAGTTTGATATACAGATTCGATATATTCAAATTATGACAATATAATATAATAGATAAAACCAAAATCTAAAATAACTAAATCTAATATAAAATTCAATAGGTAAAATATCTCAACATCCCCTCAAATTCAAATGGCGTCGCAGAAACAACTTGAGTTTGCAAATAGAGATCGAATTAAACTTAGCTATAATCGTCTACCATGTCAGAATTAGAAGCAATGTTCTCAATTGAATTAGTGTTGGAAATAACAGGACTCTCACCGGAGTCGGAAACGATGGGACTCTTTCACTAAAGTTGGAAACAATAGGACTCTTACTAGTGTCGGAAATAACATGACTCTCACCACAGTCGAAAATATACATCTAAAGAAACATGACAGACAGATCGTAGACATGACTTCAAACGTAGACATATATCAGTACTTAAAATAAAATCAAAACAGAAGTAGAAAAAGTTCTCAAAATTCGGAAGAAAAGTAGATTCTAATACTATGTGAAAAATAATATTAAACAATTAAAAATTGCATTATTATTCATAACAATGATAGAGACTATAAATAGACTTAATATACAGGCTCGATAAACTCAAATTATAACAATCTAATCTAATAAATAAAATAAAATCTAAAACAACTAAATCTAATATAAAACTTAATAACTAAAATATCACAACAATGTCTATATATGTGTATGTGGATAGTGAATTAATAATTTTATGCATTGATCATTTGAATTGTACAATTCAATACACATGCATAAATAGTTGAATTTCTATATATGAAGAAGGTAAAGCAAATTGAAAGCACACAAGACATAGACCAAGCCCTCTTTCTACAATTTTACAAATAAACATGATTATACATTTTTACTTAGCACATAAATTAAATAAATTAATACTATAAGTATAAAATTTTTTTTAAAAACAACAACATAATTATATATATATATATATATTTGAATAAAACATATTGTATTGTGATAAAAAGCAATATATATATATATATATGAATGACAACTCAATAAGAAAATATTGTGTATGAAATATTAATATTACTCAACATCTTGTATGCCTTGAATCATTTTTTTTTAATGGTTGTTACTGTACTAATTATAATTAGTCAATACAAAGTCGACAACACATAATATATATCACTAATATATGAATTATATAACGATAACACAAAATATATATTAATATAATATAAATACGTACATCATATAAACCAATAATACATAGACCACACAATACAATATATATTAATATAATATAAATATATCACATGAATCGATAACACATAAACTGCGCAACGCATATTACAATTGATCTATTTTAATACAATAATTATTTACAAATATTACGCAAAAAAAAAAAAAATTATTATCTATGTTATTATCTACTTAAAACATTAAATCTTACAAAACATGTGTATACTCGTGAGATTTTAGTTTTGGATTTTGATTTTGAATAGTAAAATTTTGAATTGAAATAGTTGTTTGATGTGATATAAATATATATTGATTTGATGTTTTGAATGTAAAATTAGATTTTAGTGTAATAAAATAAATAAAAATTGGGTGTTTGATTTGATATTTTTTGAGGAAAAAAAAAATTAAAATAGTAAAATCAGATGTAAAACCTGACAAGTAAACACACTTAAAACTTTTTTATTCAAACTTTTATAATTTTCAAAAGAGTTCGAAATACCAAAATATTTTATGATAATAGAAAGGGAATTGTAAGACCTAATTAGATTTGGAGAATAGTGTTTTCTCAATCGAAACACAGTAGGAATAGGAATGACCATGTATCCTGAAATATTTTTTTTATACATCGACAATGATATGAACGTTAATCTATTTATTATAAGGGTAAATTATATAACATTACAAGTAAAAATAACAAAATATTTTATATTTTATTTATTGCGTAAAACTATCTTATGTTGAATTAAATTTTATACAAAATATCTTCTTGTCCAAAGCTGATGTTTGAGTTTACTTACAAACTTAATTATGCAAGTTTTATAAAATAAGAAAGTAAAATGTTTTAAATAGTCTTTTTTTAATAAAATAAAAAATAAATAATTAATTAATCATTCATTTTAGATTTTTTTGACATAAATTGTTATTTGATTTTTACAAAAATTATAAACATAGATGATTGATAAATTATTTATTTATTTTATTCAAAAGATTATTTATACTAATATTTTATGTCTATTATGTGTATCAAATTTACATAATTTAGATTTGTATTAACAACTAAATATCAGTTTTGGACAAATGGTGTACTTTGCGCATACTTTAATTTAACAAAAGAGATTTCACGGAATAAATAAAATATAAAATATTTTTTATATTTTTTATAATTACTCTTATTTTTTCTCTTGTAAAACATCACATTAAAACCCTTATTCAGATTTTAAAAAATTAAAATTAAACTCAAAAAAGAACATACCAAAACACTCCTATTAATTATTTATGTTTGTAACTTTATTTTCGTATTATTTCTTTTTAAAAAACTCTAATAAAATATTTGCATCCAATAATTATTTTAGTTAAATTATTATATTATTCTTTTCAGTCAGGATTGAGTTTAGAGATTTTTGTGTTTTTATTTAAATAATATTTATTTTTTGTAGAAAAAAATAAATATACACTTCCATCTTATAAAAATAGATTCATTAATTTTAAACATAAATTTTAATATGATGTGTATTCTTGAATTTTAAGGTAAAAAAAGTAGAAAAAAATAATTAAAAGTAATATATATTTTTTTTACTATAAAAATGAATATGTCTATTTTATATATATATATATATAAAACAAAAAAATAAGAAAAGTAGACTTATTATTTTTATACACAACAACCTCACACATTCAATAACTATTTTTTCATTTAAAATTTTATTATGCTCAAAATAATACTTCCATAAAATTAGGCAAAAATTGTTTACATATGACCAACATGTGTGGTTTGCAAATTTTAAATCATTTTTTTTTTATCGTGATTTAAAAATTACATAAGGTTCTCTCGTATTTTTTAATTTTTATATAATATTTTCGGAAAAAAAAAAATCTTAGATAAAGGGATTGGGTAAATTTTTTTAAAAAATGTATAATATTTTCTAAACTACAATAAATATAAAACTTCACGTAGTTTCTAAATTACGAAAGAATAAAGTTATAAATAATTTTATCTAAATCCTAAAAATTTTGGACATTATCAACAATTCCATAATATAACAGGTGACATTATTTTTGGATATAAATACACTTTAAACATGGAACTACAAAAGCATATAAATTATTGTAAAAGATAGAACAGTACTCAAACAAGTACAATTCTTGTGCTTTTTTTCAACTTTGGAAATTCAAATATATATATATATATATATATTGGATTGATACAAATGATAATATTTATAATTAATTTGAAAGATCTAAAATTTTTTTTCCCATTAAAATAATTATATATATTTTTAAAAAAATCGTAAATTGTAACCTGATCTCAAAGAAAGTGTTGACAACGTACTATATATACACGAGCAAACTAATATATAATTTATATTAATATAATATAAATATAATTTATGAGATCGTAAATAAATTTAAAATACACGATATATAGTTCCACATAATATATTCTATCATTAATTTCAATATAAAAAATATATTCATACAACGATATATATATAAATATGAACCGAAAATATATATTGTATTAAATAAAAATACCTACTATTTACTTCTTTTACATGTGCATAATAACCATACTATATATGAACCGTAGAGATGTTTGAGGCCTTTTTATTACAACATCAAATCACAATAATTATATGAAGTAAGAATTATTTTGTGACATGTTTGATTCTTTGGATTTTTCATTTTTTTTCAAAGAAAGTAATTGAGAATTTTTTCATAAAATAATGACAACCCTTGTATGTGGTTTAAAAATTTTGTATTACAATGTTCCACTGTTAATTTATCCATTTATTTTCTGCATGTTAATTTTTGAATATTAATTATTATATTAAAACGTAGTACAAATAAAAGAAAAACGACAAAAATACTTCTATCAGTGTCTTATAATACTATGTAATGACATTTGTACAAAATTTTATACAAATATAAGAATACTTTTAATATTAAAAATAATGACGCCAAATGCAAATGAATAGATTGTCGGTGGACGAAGATAGTACAATTTTTTTATCATAATTTAAAAATGGCATAAAATTATTCATATTATAGAAATATTGTACTCCATATAATTTTTTTAGGAGTTTCTATACCATTTTTTTATAAAATTATTCATATTATAGAAATATTGCATATAATTTTTTTAGGGATTTCTATGCCATTTTTTATAAAATTATTCATATTATAGAAATATTACATATAATCTTTTTTTAAGAGTTTCTATGCCATTTTTTTTTACTAGAGAAGTCTAGCATAAATTTTAAAGAATTTTATGCAATATTTTTTAAAATACAAAAAAAATCTCATACAATTTTTAAATCATATCAAAAATTACAAATTAATTATCCAAATCACAAATAAATTATAAACAATTTTGCCTAAAATAATCTAAACCACTTTGTGAATATTCTCATTCACAAATTAAAAAAACATAAATAGAAAAAAAAAGGGGTTTCTTCATTGTGTAGGAGAATAATCACAGAAAGAAAATTCTCTTACCAATGAAATTCATTTGCAGAGTTAAGTTCCCTCAGTGGTACTGTCGGCCTGACGACATCTACAGATCAAACACAAAACCAACAAATAATAATTTTTAAAAAATTAAAATTAAAAATAACAAAAAATAATTATAATTATATAATTACTGGGGAGAATGAATCGAAGTTGGAAACAGACAAAGAATTAAAAAGAAGAAATGGAAAAAAATAAAACCATGGATAGATGACGATCTGATCTGTATATCCTGAGATGGAAATCTGACCGTCGATTGAATTCTACCGTGAGTTTGTAGCCGTTGATTGCCGATGCAGCATCATCAAGATTCTCAGGCTAGGCTTTTGGTGCATGATGACGTAAAGCCATCGTCATTGTCTGTATCTATCTGTATCTATATATTCATCACGCCTTCAATCTGCTTGTGAATCTTGATGATGCTACACCTGAAAACAACGACTTCATATATATATATATACGTATATACGTATACATATACGTATCCGTATACGTATACTTGCTGTATCTCTCATATCCTCACATAATCGAAAATTGAGGAAGAAATAATTACTGCAAATATTCAAAAGATTAATTTTTCCAGAACAACAACATCAACCCTATAATTGTTCTCAAGAAATTCATTAAATTAAACAAAAAAAAAAAAAAAAAAACACAGCTGGATCAGATCACAAAATTCGACCAGAAAAAAAAAAAAAAAAAAAAAAAGATTGAAACAACACACAGTATGTATGTCCTGAAGATATATATCGATCTGTCCCGACACTAAATCCAAGAAAAATATGAATTCAGATCCAAATTAAAAAAAAAAAAAAAAAAAAAAAAAGCAGATTAAACAGAAGACAAGAAACACAAAAACAAGAAACCCGTACGGACTGGGGTTTTTTAAGCCAAGATCTGAACTTTCTCAAAACTGCACAAAAGATTAATTAAGAACAAGAAGAAGATCAAGCAAAAGGGCTTGATTTTACGAGGATGTAATATAATTGGATCTTTTGTGGTTAGATAAAACTCACAGATGTAAGAATCGAATATTATCAATGGCTGAAGACGAAGAAGAAGAAGAAAATGAATCCCTATGGCTTTGTGATTTATAAGGTTAAGATGCCTGTAATGAGTATATAATTAATCTACTCCACTTGACACTATATATCTTTTTTTTTTTTTTTAATTAAATAAAGAAAAGAAAGAAAGAAATCTCTTTTTTAAGTGATGCTGATTTTCTAGTGGTGTATTTTTTATTTTTTATTTAAAAAAAAAATTAAAATGCACAAAATTTGTCGGCTAAATTTTTCATATTTCTAAAACTGATTTCATAAATTGTGAGTCTAACTCTGTAAATAAATTTTAAAATCTTAATTTCTAAACCCTTAAAATTACAAATATATTCATTATTTTTATATTTAACCTAAAAAAAAATAGTAAATATATTCAAAAATAGTTATTTTAAGCGTTTATTTTTACTATTTTTTTAAAGCTAAATATAAAAAAATAAATATATTTGTAATTTTAGGAATTTAGAAATTAAAATTTTAAAATTTATTTACAATTTGGGGCATTTAGGTAAAATATCATTAAATAAAGATGGCTGAAAAAATTAATTTATAAAATCACAAAGAAGTTTAAGATAATTTTAAAAATATAAAAATTTTAACAAAATCACAAATGAATTTTGTGGTATTTAGCCTTAAAAAAAAAAATAAATTGAATTCTTTATTTATTTTGAAACCCTAAAAATGAAATGAATGATGGTAGGGCTCACCCTAGTACAAAAACTCAGACACAGTCAGACACACAATATAATGTGTAATATCATGCAAGTGTGGGGACCAAACGAAAATAAATAATTGTTTGCACTCGGAGCCACACAAAAGGATCGACATTAATAAAACATACACTTAATGCTAAGTAAGGTGTGGACTACATGACATGCCATTGGCTTAGCCAAAACGTCGTCGGATTAGAGGTCTTTATTTAAGTCTACTAAGATATTGTCTTCTTCTATTTCCAATAGCTCTGTAAAATTAGGGTTTTGAGATAAAAAAATAAAATAAAAAAATAAATAAATAAATTTGGAGACCCTATAGAATAACGATAAAATTTAAAATAATATATATATATATATATATAAAGAATTTATGATTTGGGGGCGACGAACCCTAAATTCTTGTGATTCTTATGAGTGGATTTCTTTTGAGTTTTTATTTAATTTTTTATTATTTGAATTAATTTTTTTCACAAAGTATAAAATAGTTTTATATGTATTTATTAAATTAAAATTCAGACTTTTCAATACTGTAGACTGAAAAAACAAAAAAAGAAAACGCTCCCTTCGTATCTCCTACCCTTTATATGTCATGTCTTCCTAATTGTTGTGACGGATTAAGATTAATTATCAAATAACAAATTAAAAATATAAAGAAAACACAAATTTATGTGGTTTACCAACAACGTGTTGGCTACACATGGGCATAAACTGATAACAGATTTTATTGAGGACGGCTTGATTACATAAGGGTGTGTTTGTTTGAGGATTGGATTTTTATTACACTATTCATCCTATTTTTTTTGTCCCAAAAAAACATCAAATCAAACACCTATTTTTCATTTTTATATTATACTAAAAATTAATTTTACATTTAAAACGTCATATCAATACCTATTTATATCACATCATACAACTATTCAAATTCAAAAATTTTACTATTCAAATCTCAACTCAAAATCCAACCCCTAAACAAACACACCCTTACAGATTTTGTATTCCTAAGTATATTTAAATAAATTAAGAGAATAGATCAGACGAGTTCAACCTAATACTGCATACTGTCGGCCGAAGGCCACTCCGCGCCCCCGAACCCCAAGCAAGGGGGGACTTCGCCCCGACTTGCTGAGACCTCATAAAAATTAAGCAAGTGGCAAATTAGATTCACGACATATTAACATTAATTATATTTTATTTATTAATTTTTCTTCTATTGTTTGGAGAATATTCTTTCTTCCAATGGGTCTGTGATCACCTTTATTTCTTGATCTCAATCATTTATTCATTTATTGGTTTATTTTCCCACACAAATGTGTAAAGTATTATCTACAAATTTAATTAAATAAGTTAATTTTATATAGACTAAACTGTTATTTATAATTTTGTAGCTAGATGTAATTTATATTTTTCACATAAATATGCAAAATATTATGTACCAATTTTATTAAATAACTTAATTTCATATAGACTAAACTGTTATTTATAATTTTGTATCTAGATGTAATTCATTTTTTCACACAAATGTATAAAGTATTATTTATAAATTTTATTAAGTAACTTAATTTCATATAGTTTAACTTGTTATTCATAATTTTGTAGATGTAATTTATACTAGATCTTAATAAGATAGATTCCCCATTCCTAGTTTTTTTTTTTTTTTCCTTAATTCATTCTTATACAAGTGTAAATAATTGTATAATAAATTTTATATTAATTACATAAGCTATGAATCATGTACTGGTCTATAAACTAATTGAACATATGTGAATTAATCTCAATCTTTCTTTCTATAGATTTAATGGCCATTGTCTAAGATAATTTAATCATTTTACTATTGATTACTAATTTAATAGATGTACATCTAATCTTAATCTCACACAACACCAGTTGTTTATAAAAAAAAAAAATGGTCTCGTAAAGAATGATCTAGTGATATAGAGTAGATTTGTGACCGTGAGGTCATAGATTCAATATCTAACACCTTCAAATCTTGTCTATCACGCATGGTTTTAGTGTGATTTGCTTTGTCAAGCCTAATTTGCAGGCTATTAGATTCGGCCGAGATTTACTCAGAGGATACTTGAAGAGTAGCAATAGTAAATTCTCATTGTCATAGAAAATAATAATAATAATAAAATCATTTTTCCTCATTTTCCCACCATTTTTATCTTCAATTATACCATCGACGTTTGTTTCTTAAAGTCGCCATACCGCCCATGTTATTAGAGCTCGCCAATGTTTATCACTATCGCCATTATTGGAGCTATAGTCATTGTTCATTGTACATTGTCGTTGAGGTCATCGCCATTCCTCACTCATCATCATTGAAGTCTGTCGTCGCTTGTCACACTTCATCATTGACAAAACTTGCATCTAAATTTCGCAGGGCAAAATGTTACAATTTATTTAATATTGAACTAATAAATTTAAATAAAAAATAATGGCAAAGTTATATATAAACTTAGATAATTTGGAGATGAGACAAATTGTATATAAATATATAAAAATTAATATTTTTAACACTAAAAAAATTATAAAAATTTGGGGGTAATTTGGGGCTCGCTGTCACCCATAGCCCTTCAACACATATTATGTGATATTGTGTTAGAAATTTAAAACTAGAATGAGGTGTTTTCAAGAAATTTAAAATTAAATCCATGTGAATTCGGTCAAAGCAGATATTATTATAATGGTGTTGAGTTAGTCCAGTTCTAATATATACATGTTAGTTTATAACTTTTTAGCTATAATTTAAAATTTTTCTCTAGGATTTTATGTTTCCTTGATGTATTTTATACTTATAGTATGAATTTTTGGGAGGGGATGTTGGATTCTTTTGTGATAACTCTTGATTGTTTCTTATTATAATTAATTTGTGACACTATGCATGTATATTATTATTATTATTATTATTATTATTATTATTATTATTATTATTATTATTATTATTATTATTATTAAGGTGTCCATCGAAGCATCAATTTTTTCTATTAGTTTTTATACGATAATGACAAGGTAAGAATTAGAATACATACAATTCAATTTCTCAAATAAAAGAGGATAAAAAAAAGAAAAAAAAATTGATATTTAAATCTATTAAGATATACGAGCTCTAAGAGTTACATTTACTTTCTGCATATTTATATTTAAATATTAATTATTATATCAAAATATAATACAAATAAAAAAAATAACAAAAATATTTTTATCAGTGTCTTATAATACTAATATAATGATATTTGTATAAAAAATTATACAAATATAAGAATATTTTTAATATTAAATACAATAAAGCAAGAGATAAATGTAATCATTAAAGGCGGATAAGGAAATATAAGATATTAAATCCTCAATATATAACAAGTCATTAACAACAATTAACATAGACAAAATAATTTTAAGTAGTTACCCACTAAGTTACACTTTCATTTCTAACATAAACTCATTTGCTGATATATCTATAAAATTATTTAATTTTGATAAACTGGGGTTGGGTTGAGCTCAGTACAGACCATCAATTGTGACGGACGGGAACAATTCAAAAATTTTCGAGTCTATTTTTTTAGGTCAAAAAACTTTTTTTTTTTTTTTTTTGTGTTGAATTCAAATTAAATTTTCGAATAATGTTTATTTATTTCATCTCTAGTTGAGACAATCTTAGTGAAATGGAAGAGCCCTACAATTACATCTAAAATTGATCAAGGAAAGAACATTCATGTATCAAACTAATACATGTTTATTAATGCATAATAATTGAAAAAGAACTATCCTTTCGGAAACCAAACTTGTAACACCCCTTATTCATGCCAATATATATATATATATATATATATTTATGAAATGCAAAATCACAAATCATCACAACAATTTCTAATTATTTTTATTTTTATTTTGATTTTCCATTCGATCAAAAAAAAAAAAAGATCTTCCAACTCAATGATTGGGATGTAATTTCACTTATGAAAAGAGATATTTTTTGTACAATGCAAGTCTAAATTATCCTTACCTAGTGATGGTCCTTTTCACGCCGTGGAATATATTAATGACAATGCCTACAAAGTAGATCTCCCCGTTGAGTATTGTGTATATTCTACATTTAATGTTTATGATATTTCTCCTTTTGATATAAGTGACGAGAAGTTGATGAAACAGTATTCTCAAGAGATGTGACAGATATAATGTGATGATCATAAAAAAAATCAAATTCAATCATGCTATCTCTTGAACCAATCACAAGGAGTCAAACTCATAAATTTCAATAAGAAATTACAAAACGAGCCAAATGAAAAAGGAATTTCATTGTCAATATTGACACCAAAGATAAAAACCATCTATGCATTTTGCTTGAATGAAAGCCATGTCCCGCTTAAGTAAGAATTTGATAGTCCACACATCATCAAAGTAATAAGGGTAAACTGTTTTTTTTAGTCCTGTAACTAGATCCTCTTATCATTTTTAGTCACGTAGGTGGAGCATGTCGCAAATTAGTCCCATAAGTGAAAAATGTTCATTGTTTTAGTCCTCCGGCGCCGGAGACGCCCGCGTGGCTCGCCGGAGGTGACGTGTCCGCCAGGTGTCCCGCCAGATCAGCGACACCTGCCGGACACGTGGATTTATTTATTTATTTATTTATTTTTTAAATTTTTTAAATTTTTTTAATTAGACCAAATAAAAAAAATGCAAATAAAATTAAAAATAAGTTTTAAAAAAAAAACTAAAAACATGAAATAAAAAATAAAAAAAAAATCCATGTATCCGCCCGGTGTCGCTGATCTGGCAGGACACCTGGCGGACACGTCACCTCCGGCGAGCCACGCGGGCGTCTCCGGCGCCGGGGGAATAAAACAACGAAAATTCTTCACTTATGGGACTAATTTGCGACATGCTTCACTTAAGGGACTAAAATGATAACGAGGTCCAGTTACAGAATTAAAAAAATAATTTACCCAGTAATAATAATAATTTGATAGCCTACATATCACAATGACTACAAGATCATGATCACTTCATATCTCATTGGTCCATCTCAATCATTATTCTATAATTGATAGAAGTCCACGAACTAGGGATTTTTATCATCATTGATAATTTTTTAATAAGTAAGGATAATTACAATCATAAAGTTTAGTTTTTCTTTTCTATTTGTATTGCCTTTTTAATTATTCATAAATTATCTATAAAATGTCCCATGAATATCATTTGTAAGTCATTAAATGAATATATTTATGAATTTTCCTTTTTTTTTAAATCAATCATTGTGTATTTTATAAGAGTAATTTTATAGGTTATGTTCTTTTGTGGGTTTTACCACATATTTTTATTATTCAGATTCTTTTTTCCTTTCAAAAATATCACATCAAACAATTATTTTTCTTTTATTTATATTATACTACAAATTTATTTTATATTCAAAATATCACATCAACCTTTATTTATACCACATTAAACAACTATTCAAATTCAACTTTTTACTATTAAAAAATTCAAACCCACAAACAAACACACCCGTAGTGTTTTGGAACAAGTCCACATCGTGAATAGTATTGGAATTATTCATAGTTTACCTCGTATTGTCAACTTTTTTAGAGAATTGTGATACATGAGTTTGATCTTTAATGTTTCATTCTCGACTTTCTCTCAATCCAAAAGATTTCAGGGTATTATCATCTTTGTATCTATTCTTTCATTAATTTTATTCTATTCAAATCTTTCACCCAATTTTTTATTGATTTCAATTCAGATTGTTATACTTGAAAAGTTTGCATCAATATAGAATAACAATGTTGGCCGATAGCAATCTAAATTACTAGCAAAGCTTCCAATGGATATGATGTCATACAAGTGAGTAGAGTAAATTGCAAAAAATATCTGACATGTATACTCCATTATTACTTTTGTCACGTATTTATCTCGTTGACAAAATATATCGTACATGTTTGCAAAAATCTCTATTTCTGTCATTTTTTTCCATGCGATCACGCGGCGCCAAATGATAGAAATAGTGGCTTTTGCAAACATATATAATATATTTTGTTAGCGAAATAAATATAAGACAAAAATGATAATAGGATATACGTGTGATATATTTTTTGCAATTTTCCTATACTAATATAAGGTGCTTGATTAATAATTAATGCTTAATGGCACCTCAATTGCATATTGTTTTTCGCAGAACAAGGATGTTCTATTTGTTTTGTGATACTAAAATCAAATCTAAACTAAAGTCTAAGATTTTACACACTCTGGCCTTCTCATCGCTAGACTGATAAAACTTGTTACTTTATCTCTTTTGGCTAATGCAACTCTCGCTTCGCAGAGATCATTTGGCAAAGTTTACTTAAATAGTTTTTTTGATAGAGTTTACTTATAGTGTGTTTGTTTGGGGGTTCGGATTTTGAGTTGGGGATTTGAATAGTAAAAATTTTGAATTTGAATAGTTGTATCATGTGGTATAAATAGGTGTTGATGTGATGTTTTGAATGTAAAATTGATTTTTAGTATAATATAAAAAAAATAAAAAATAGATGTTTAATTTGATATTATTGAATTTTAAATCCACTATTCATCCCATTTTTTCCTCCCAACAATTGCTCCCATCTCATTATTTAGTAGGTTCACTCACCTATCTTGTTGCATGTTTGCACCTTAGTTAGCTACTAGTTTTTTTTTTCAAAATATGAGTAATAACAAGTGAAATCACTCGATGTCCACACTTCATTCAAAAAAAATAAATTAATATATACATCAAAGTCATGTCTTTTTTCGTCATCAAAATAATACTCCCTCCGTCCCAAATACCCAAATACCATGTATGCTACACCGTAGACACGGTATTTTAGGAGGGGTATAATGAGTAGATAATTAAGAATGTATTAGTGAAAATAATTATCCTATAATATAAATAATTATAAATTAAGATTAAGATAACTAATTAGTTTAATTAAAATTAAAAAATTTAGAAATTAAAGTGTGTAATTATTTATCAAAAAATGAAAGTGACATAGTATGTGGGACGGACAAAAACGACAACGTAGACATGGTATCTCAAATGGAGGACATGGTATCTGGAGGGAGTAATAATAATAATAAAGACATTCTATATAGTCCACATAACACTTTTTGAAGAGAATTATAACATAGTTTAATGCTCATGTAGTTTAACAACAAGGCCACAATTGCATTTAATATAAGTACGAGAATTCTCGTTTTGAGCAAATTCAAGAAGCGAAAATATTTATTTCTTAAAGATAAAATACTAAATATAGATATTTTATTTTTTCAAAATTAAATTTGATGTGTCAAAAATAAATCAATTAAAATAATAAAAGGTAAATTATTTTTTTAAGTCCTGATCCCTTATCATTTTAATTCTGTAAGAGGAATCTGCCGCAAACTAGTTCCATAAGTGAAATTTTTTCGCTGTTTTAGTCATTCGGCGCCGAAGACGCCCGCGTGGCTCGCCGGAGGTGATATGTCCGCCAAGTGTCCCGCCAAGTTAGCAACACCTGGCGGACACGTGGATTTTTTATTTTATTTATTTTAAAACTTATTTTAAATTTATTTTTAGTTTTATTTGTATTTTTTTATTTTTTTATTTGATCTAATTAAAAAAAATTAAAAAAATTTACAAAAAAAAATAAAAATCCACGTGTCCGCCAGGTGTCGCTGACCTAGCGGGACATCTGGCGGACACGTCACCTCCGGCGAGTCACACGGGCGTCTCCTACAAGCTCCACTTACGGAACTAAAATGATAAGGGGGTCAGTTACGGACTAAAAAAACAGTTTATCTAATAATAAATTATGACTATCAAATACATTTATACACACTTTAGGATAAGTTTGTTATCTCATAAAAAAAATGTAGTAGCACGAAGCTTTTTAGACAATACAAAACAAAATATTACCTCTACCAATTTAGTAATTTAGTTACCTTGCCCGTAACATTGTACATGCATATGCCAGTCGGCAACACTCTCTAACATCCCTTGCACCTTAAACTACTCTATTTACAGTCAAGCCCTCATATATCAAGCGGTGAGACATCCTCGCTTGAAGGTTGGATTTCAAGTTCGTGTGTGTGCATGTGTTGGGTGAAATTCCTTTCGGGGTTATTCAAATTTAAAATTTTTACTATTTAAATTGCAATTCAAAATTAAACTCTTAAACAAACACATCCTAAGTGCAAATGCGAAGGACCAAAATAAAAAAATAAATAATTTGTTAAATGAAAAAAAAATTATACCAAAAGTAAATGGAGTGAAGGGGTATTTTATGCCAGAAGTTTTGCTTTCTTCCCATTTTTATCATTTTCCAATTTTTTAAGAAAAAGAAAAAAAAAACCTAAAACCCTAATCCCTTTCTCGTCGTCGTCTGGGTCTTCGTTAAAAGATTGAACAATATCACAACACATTTTTAGACGTCCGTGGGGCAGAGAACTTCAACTTAATTTTGTTATTCGAACAATCTTTCGCAGTGTTTCAACTCCTGCGTCATTTATCATAACTTCTGGTTTGCAGGGGCGGTATGGATGACACAGAAATGGCTGAACTGTTCGATGGTCCGAGTCCGAGCCAAGTTCCCAGCCGGCCTGCTCGGTTTGCCCCCAAAGGCGCTAAATTTAAACCCAAACCTGAAATACCTCAGTCACAGCCATCGGCATCCGATTCTGCAGAATTGTTAAGCAAACCTAAGAAAGAAGAGTTTGGTAGCAAAATCGATTTGAAGCCAGAACCAGGGAAAGGTGCAGTAGCTATGGATGTCGACAGGAGCCCAAGGATAAAAGCTGAGAAAGATAAATTGATGGAAACGGAAGCTGCGGGAACTTCCATGGAGACTGAGGATGAAGTTGTGCGTGAAATCGATGTTTATTTTGTTCCCTCTGTGGATCCTAAAACTAAGGTGAGCTACATAGTTTCTTGGGTTCGATCGAGATGCTGCCATTTTGGATTAAATTTTGGTTGTTAATGTATGATACAATGGTGATGGTGGAACTAATTTGATTTTTCTTATTTTTGTCAGTTGTATATATTGCAATATCCACTTCGGCCATCTTGGAGGCCATATGAATTGGAGGAGAGATGCGATGAGGTGAAAATTTGTATTTCATGTGAAACTTGAGCTGAAGATACTTAATATTTGTTTAAATTTATTGTTAAAGAACCTACTTTGGTCTGAATTAAGAGTTTGGCAATTTGATGAGAATTTATGTTTATAATTATAGGTGAGGATGAATCCAACTACTTCAGAAATGGAGATTCATTTGAGTATTGATGTCGACTCTAAGAATTATGATTCCAGTGCTGATCCCAGAGTGAAGATGGAAAAGCAGGTTTCTGTTTCTAATATGTTCAGTTATTAAGAATTATAGTGGTTCTTGTTTTTATTACAAGCAACTTATCTTTTCCAGCATCTATTGGAAATAAGTTTTTCTCTCTTTAGATGTATATATAGATAGATTTATGTATGAACATTAAATTACTTGTGTTGTTTACAGTGCATTTTTTTTTAAAAGAAGCAAAGCTGTAATCTCCCTATTGGTCTTTATAATTTTTATTATATTTATGCATTGATTGGGATCATTGGCGATCTTAAAAAAATATCTTATACTCCCTCCGTCCGGTAAAATAGTTTTGGTTGGACACGAAAATTAAAAAATAATGATATTTTAATGTTAAAGTGGAGTAGGTAAAAAGTAAAGTTAAGTATTATCGGAAATTTATTAGAAGATTGATAAAAAACAATGGGACAAGTAGAAAAAATAGTGACAAATTGATTATTATTTGTTAAAGTAGGTAATAAAATTGTGGATGGATAAAGTTTTTTACATAAATAAATTGTGCATAAGTTTAACAGACAACCAAAAAAAGAATAGTGACGTAATTTTGGAGGACGGAGGGAGTATATATTTATATGTTGTTTTTATAAAGATCCAATATTTGAATAATGGAATATTAATGTGATGTTTTTTTCCCTAGATTCTCACTACTAAATGGAAGCCACATCACACAAGTGGGTATGCTGTTGGTGTTCTTAAGGAAAATAAGGTATGTGTTTCATATTCCAAAGTTCCAATTTACTAACATTTTCATGCCATATTTGAATGCTTTGGTTTAATAGGATTTTGGATGAGTATTGTCATGTAAACCCTTCTATCTGCCATGCAGTTATACATAAATCCTATACATGCAGTTGTACAACTACGACCATCAATGCAGCATCTTGATTCTAAGGATTCTAAATGGAAGTCTAATGTCGCTGAGGAAGGTGTTGTGAAGTCAGAAGAGCCCCAGGATGGAAAACCTTCGAGGGCATCAAAGAAACCGGTGAGTTCTTTTTCTAGTTAGTAACATGATACCTCAGTTTCTTTCATTTCATCCTTTCTGTTTAGTTTTATGAAAAATTGATCAAAGTGATGCTTGCTGAATTTTTTATTTTATTAGCATAATAATACCTCAGTTATTTTTATTTATTTATTTATTTATTTGAATGTGAATGGAGGGTGAATATTTTTTGTGCTGTTGAGACACATGGTAGCTGGCTTAACTTGTCTTCAGAGTTATCAGTGTTATTTCAATTTTCCTACCTGATTATATCGAACGATTCAATTTCTGGCTATCTTGACATTGTACCTCTTAACTGAAATCATCGTTGTTTTTAGATTATAGTTTTATCAAGTTATGTGGTTTGCTTATTCCAATATCATTGCACATAAAATTTACTGATCCAGTTGTTTGAAATAATATATTAAGAAACATCTTTCTCAATATATGAAAGAAGGTGGTGGGTTTTCTAGTTTGTAACGTGATACCTCATTGTTGAAATTGCTTTATTTTAATGTGTTTTGTTTAGTTTTATAAGAAATTGATAAAAGTGATGCTTCATCTTAAAAGTGAGGATGTCTTTGTTCCATATTTTGGATCTGTGCTGTTGAAACATGTGAAAATCAGCCTAGCTTATTTCTACAGTTGCTACAGTTATTAGAGTGTTTTTACGCAATTATTATCAAAGAGTTATGCCTTTGATGTCTTTACATCTAACTTATTCAACTGAAACCCTTGATACTTTGCAGAGTAACGCTACAGAACAAGCAAAGGATGAAGGAGGGGTATGCATTTGTTGGCTCTCTGCTTTCTGTGTGAAAACATCACTTGATTATGGCCTCAATAAATCAGCTTAAACCGATGTTTAAAGGTGTAGCTAATTATGAAGAACAATAGCTATGACATCAATGATCAATAAGTTGGGGATTATTATTATTATTACTATTATGTGGAAGGTAGAATTTTTTGAGCTTAGTCATTATAGTTGTTTGTATCTAGGTATGCTGTTCAATTCTAATATCACTGCACATGAGAACTAGCAATCCAGTTATTTGGAACAATATATTATTACCTTGCTCCAAAATTTGATTGCTTACATTATTTACTAAGGGTACTTTAATGACTAATATTTTTCTGTAAAAGGTTTTCTCCTTTACCTTTTCCCATTGTTCTTGACCTATATTTTCTACTGACCTATGAGGTTTTGATTGTTCTGCTTACTTTAATGATAACTTTATGCATTATTGATGTTTGTTCTAATTTTTATGAGGATATTTGAATGAAATTGTTTGAGGAAGATTTGATGCAATGGCGTCAATACCATTTCATCTGTTATTGTTATTTCAACTTTAATCATCATCATTTTCATTCCATTTTCAGGACTGGGTTACTCTCACGTATCATGCTACTAGAACCGAAATGGCACAAGGATACCTACATAAATTAACATCAGCAGAAAGCTCACAGATCAATTTTACCATGCACCCGTATGCACTTACATTGCCAGCATTCATTTTCTTGCGCATTGGATTCAGGCATAAGTCTTAAATTGCTGCTGCGTTTCTTTGTGAACTTTGAAGGTCTGAATACCTGGATAGCTTATGTCCTCGCACCACTAGAGACAGTTCCAACTCAATTGGTGCTGCAAGCAGGTAATCAAATGCAGCACATTCTCTTTTAACTTACTGATGATGTTGTTTTCCCCTATTGATTTAGCAATAGGAAAATCAAGCTGTTCCGGAGATATATTGAATCGTGCTGATCATAACAGTTTTACAATCTGTGATAGTTGTTATATCTTTTCTGTTTTTTATTTCAGTGCAGTTATGTTTTGTTAGTAATTGATTGTCTTGCTTGAGGATTTATTATTGTGCTTGAGGGTTTATTATTGTGCTTCACATTCTATGTCTAGTTTCCATTTCATCTACAACAATTTTAGGATGTGATGGTAATGATTGCTTTGTAAACCAGCGTATGAGCTACAAATCTTTATATTGGTGAACTTTCTGAACTAGATGCATGAAGTTAAAGTTTTACCCTAAATCTGTGAACTTTCCACCCAACAAGAGATTCTTGCCTCTCAGGCTATTGGGGCTATGTATTGCTACTTAGCATTGTAGTGGGATCCTAAGGAATGAGCAGATAATGTTGTTGTTATTGTTGTTGTTGTTGTTTTTTTTTTTTTTTTTTTTTAAAATGAGCGCATGATGTTGTTGCCTTGACTGAGATGAGAACTTAGGGTGTGTTCACTTTGTTTTTAGCTTTGGTTTTGTGTTTTGTGTTTTTGGGTGAAGTAGTTGCTAGATGTGATGTTTTTGTATGGAAACTGACTATATTTTAATAGAAAATAATGTCATTTCATAGTTTTTTTTTTTTTTTTCTTTTTTTTCAAAAAGAAACTCTTGAGTAGAATTGAATGTAAGGGTTTGTTTACTTGGGGTTTGCTTTTGTGTTTTGGTTTTTAGGTTTTGGTCTGGATAGCGGTTTGAAAGAAACTAAAACCAACCTATCAACTTGCATTATTCTAGTGCTATATTTGATATGCCATAATATAATTCCTTGCATGATTTCCTTGATTTTATTTTTTTTTACAAAGTGCTGCTGTGATATGGTATTGTGCTTGTTGTTTCAGGCGTCTGCAGGGATTATCACTAAGAGAACGGTTTAAAACTTGGCTCCTCGAGGTATGTGGCTACAGTACACTGTACAGCAAAAGCAATGGATTTTGTAATTTTTTGTTATATTAATTTTCCCCATCATGAATTTGAATTCTAAATTTTTTAATATTTAGTTGGATATCTTATAAATTTACAATAATTGCAATCTTGTGAATGCCATCTACATGCATGGTGATACTCCATAAGGATGGGTATTATAATTTTTACCATAGATATAATTGTTTTATGGCCAAATAATTTCTCAAAGCAGACTGATCTTGTTTTGCCAACATGTTCAAATTTATAAGATTTTTTTTCTTATTTGTTTGCCCTCACATGACCATTGATTCATGCATGGACGCATAGGATATATTGTATGAGGGTTCTCCTTCAGGGAGCATTCATAGACAACTGTTGATCTCACAATTTTTTACCTCCAGTATGGACTTAGGCAAGATGCTCTGGTCACCCCCCACCCCATCTAGTGTTGTCGGTCCTATGTATGTTATTTTGAGTGTTGTATGTCATTAATCTAAGAAATATTAAATCTTTGATATTTATAATATTGCATGAACAGGGCCCTCCAATTCATAAATTTGATGCTCTGAAGTACCTTGCTCCTGATGAATCAGACGAAGAGATATTAGTGGTCTTGCAGGAATATGCTAGGTTGGTTCAAGGTCTTTGGCTTCCAAAAAGTCCATTGGTATATGGAACAGATCAGGGAATTGAAGTTTTGGCCAGGGATTATGTTCTTCTTTTGTTCAGCAAGGGTGTGATAATCAACAACTCTCAGTTACCACAAAGGCCCCAATTATCTAAAGCAATGAAAGAAGTCCTAAAAGTATTGGCTTTAGAAAGAGAGACCTTAAAGGACTGGAAACTTAAAGAGCCCCCAGATTACGACTTTGTGAGAAAATATCCCGCTGTTGTATCAAAACAACATGAAGAGTGGAGAAACGTGGAAAAGAAAATCAATGATCTTTATGGAGGAAGAAATGTGCCCAACACGAAGACCTCTTCAAAGACTAATTCCACCAACAACCTTGTGGCATCAAAAAGTTCTAGTAAAGTAGGTGTGAGGACTCAAGCTGGAGCAGTCTCGGTAACTGCTATGTCTGAAGAAGCCCGAGAGGCAGTAACAAAGGCTCTTCAAAAACTTTTTAAAAGTTTTAAGGTTTGCAGGTGAGAAATCTGTTGCGGACACTTTGTTTTCCCTCTTTTTCTCTTATTTATTTATATTCAGATTATAAGAGTACGTGATTATTCGTCATTTGATGGATGCATATTTGCATCTAGGTATTACACTAATTGTGTTTTGTTTTGTTTTTGTTTTTTACCAAGAAACTTGTAGAAAATTTCATTATTACTGGGGTGTAATTGAAACCTCTGCTTTTGCATCCTTAATTAGTAGCAAAGTGGGCGTATTTGGTGTGTAGAATCAAACTCTAGATGGTCAGACATAGCTGTTATACTAAACCATTGAGCACTAAATCCTAAAGTCATGAGAACCACTAGTTGTTGGTAATGTATAGTTTTGTGTCACTTAGGATAGTGCGAGAGTCCTTTTTGGCTTTTTCAACAATTGGCTTATTCAATAGACATTGTTTTGCTTCATTGAATATACCCAGAAAGAAATTGAGTTTTGGTGCTCTGAAATCTGGGGGAAAATATATCCGAGTTTGGGAATTTTGGACCAGCAAAAAGTGGATATTGTGTTGCTGCTCAGGGAAAAAGAAAATTTCTTGCCTCAATCCGAAGCTGCCATTCTAGAATCTCTAGAGTCAATATGAGATTGAAAACCATCAAAAGTAAGAGTCTAAATATTGTAAACTAAGGATTTGCCGCTACGAAGCCCAGATACAGGCTGCTGGCAAGGGTGCCAGCTGTGGATGTAGCTGCTGCTCCATATCTGTTACCATCTCTTTTTCACCTCAAACATGAAATTCACATCATATTTCTTGTACTCTTTCCTTTCATCCTTCTTCACAACTTACTTTACTAAGCTGTTGGTTTTCTTAAACCTATTTATGTCTATACATTATATGGGTTTTCGTATTGATGTATCCATATATGTAGTTTCCATATCATTTTGGTTCTAAGAAAATGGATTTATGTTGTGTCTGTCTATGGAATAAGTGAAGTCTGATGATAAAAGTTTAAATTTGAAAAACTACTTTCCAAGTTTGATGTAAGATATGCTATGCATTCACATTTTAGTTTGTAGTTGCGATATTGATGAATGTTGTAAAAGTGACAAATGAGATTATCTAATTGGATTGCTTTTTTTCTAAAATTTTGAAGACGCTATAGCAGATTTAGGGTAAGTTACTTTTTATAATATAAATCCATAAATTTTTGGTGTGCAAAAGCTTAGTTTATCTAATGTGTTGAATTCAAAGCCAATTATTAGGTTATTTTTGGAACTTTTGTGTGATTTTAGTATGTTACGACAATTTAAGATGAACAACATACTTAGTATTTTTCGCAAGTGATCATTCTGGAAAGTCGAGTTTCTAGAGCAGGAGGTAATAGTTTGATTTTTTCGCTCCATGCTATTGTAGGTTTCAACAAATTGGCCAGCTGTTGAGGGACATGGCAGTTTCTGAGCGTAACACTGGATTAGCCAAACAGGCTGTGGCTGCTGCAAATAGCATCGACACATATCCAGATGAATTCAAGGCAATTATCAATCAAGTGGCAGTAAATGTTCATGGCATCTGTGTCCCTAGATCGTCTCCAGAACATCCAGAATATGATCCATTCAGGTTGAACTTCTAGGTTTTGTTGAATGAAAATATCTGAACGATTTGGTATGTTGCTCATACATGGTACTCTGCAGGAAAGTTGTTATTGGTCTTTTTCTTGCTCAAGGACCAAATGGAAAGCTTAAAAAGGCTACCATAGTTGAGGCAGCTAAAATGGAGCTCAAAAGGGAGGTTACCAACAATGAATATCAGAAGGTAGTCTGAATTCTGATTGACACAGTTTTGAGACATTTTCTTGTCCCCGTCTATTTTTATTATAGAGAAAGTAGTTTCTTGTATTAGGCGTTTAATTTATTTGCACTGTTGTTTTTCCCTGGTTTATGTCTCGTTTAAGGGTATAGGTCAGCTGCTGATCCGGTCAAATCAGTATATATTTATACATCTTTTAGCATATTTATAATACAACATATATTATTTTATAACTCGGCATATGCAACATATGCTGAGATATGTATAAACATTAAATCAGCATCATGCTGACTTGGCCGGATTATATGCAGCCCTTGTTTAATCATAGTCTTATTTTATTTATTTTTCATAATCTTATTGATCGTTTTGCAACCATATTAGATGCTCATGCTTTCTTTTCTTTTCTTGCTTTTTATTGTCTTCATTGTGATATGAAGTTTTTCTTTCAATTTTAATTTAACTTTCCCATGTAGGAAAAGGTAAGTGTTATTTTGTTTTCACTGCATTTATAAATTACGAAGCTTGTGATATTGTCTTCTTTACATTTTTTTTTTTTTTTAATTCTCCACTGTAACCTGCAAATTGTTAGGTCCATTCTTTTCCATTCCGATCTTAGTAAAGTTTTAAACTTTTTCAAAGAATTTGATAATCACTTGCCCCTTTTCTTTGACTGAAGCCTTGACGGTGAATTGCCAAAATTCATGAATGAGAGCTTCTCTTTGAAACTGATTTCTTATCCCTCATTACATGTTTGTTTTGCAGGTTTTAGGGGAGCTATGTTCATCGCAAGGAGGACTTTGGATTCTGAATAGTGGTGAAAGGAAACCCTAAGCTTTGATACATTACTTTATCAATTGAAAGCTCTCAAAAATTTTAATGTCATTGTTGTTTGTTACTAGTTGAAATATGAAGATTTTAAATATTATTCAGAGACTCTTTCTATGAAAGTAGGCAGATGATGATGCAGTCAGTATCCAGTACATTGGCTACAATAAATAGGTCAGGTTAAATTTAGCCTGAAAATAAATTTAAAAATATTATATATATATATATATATTTAAAAATAATCAAAATGTGGCAAAAAGAGAAAATGGGTACAAAGAAACTTGGCTAAACTTGTTCAAGAGCTAGGGGTGTTGGTGTTTTAATTTTGGTATTTTCACCTTGAATTAATTGTACAGAGCTTGTTGTTTATCATTGTTGAAATTCAATCGATATAAACTTCATGATATTATTTTATTATATATATTTATATAATTATTTGTATTTTAATGGAATTTTTAGGCTATTTAGGTTAATTTATTGTAGTAGTATTAGTTTTATTTGTGTTTTGGATACAATATACTATAAATTTATGTATAATTCAATCAGTAATTTAAATTATGTCTCTAGCTTGGTTTTCATAAATTCAATCAAATTTAATTGTTGAGCTAAATTAATAATTAAGGCTTGCTTTCAATCATTTTTTTTCTCTTATATTTTCTCTGTATAAGTGGAAAAAAAATGCTTTTTTCGTCTCTGTTGTTTGAATTAGAAATTTTTTAAGTTATTCCCTCCGAACGCTATAAATGACACGTTTGTATTTTTTTTGTCCGTTAAACTTATACGCGATTTATTTATAAAAAATAATTTTATTCACCTGTAATTTTATTATTCACATGTTAGTATGAAAATTTTGGTTGTATGTATCAAAAATTCACAGACAGATCGGACAGCCAACCAGTTGCCTACAAGACTGCATCTCTGTCTATAATTCTTGGTTTGAGGTTTGATATATTGGATTTTGAAAAGTTCTAAAATGAGACAAAATGTATATCTCATTGTTGACGGGAACTAAAGGTAAAATGACCTTGTCTCTCAAGTTTGCATGCAAATGAAATGTCAAAAAAAGAAAAAAAAAATTCCTAACATCCTTTACCGTAATTGATAAGATATAATAATATTTTATTATCTTATTCCTAGTTTATTTATATGAAGTTAAACATGACAAAAGTCGTCTCATATGCCAAGGTACAAGTCATTGGATATGTCCAAATATGTTTAATTTTTTAGAACTTCATGATGTCAATTTTTTATCGGCTAAAAGAAGACATGTATAATTTATATAAATGTGCTCTAGGGATGTTGAAAGTGGATTTTTTATTATCCTCTTGGAGAGAGAAAAACTTGGAAATTTTTGTGGGTTTATAAGAGAGTAGGTTAAGAATATGATTGTATTCCTCTCATATTTTTTTTCAAGAGAGAAATGTCCAAAATCTTATTGTGTAATAGATTAAAATCTTAAATCATATTTCTTGTTGAGAGGAAGTGTACTTTTTAATTTTGAGGAATTTTCGTTGCAAGATTAGATCATGTTTTGAGTAGAAAAATCTGAGATAATTTTATCTATCATTTTCGTTGTAACTATTTTTTTATTGTTTATTTTATTTATCACATTTTTATTTTTATTTTTATCAATGCTCACTTACAAAAATATTTATTATTTTTGTAGAAATATCAAAATCATCTAGCATTTTAAAATATTATTATTATTCTTTAATTCATTTAAAAAAATTTAAATATATACCCTTTTCGTTCCTCTTAATATACATATTTTTCATTTTTATAGATTTACTAAATTAAAAAATATACTTAATAAATATAAATAATTTATTCAACTACATGACATATAATCGAGATCTACTCAAAAATTTTTTTACTTTTATTTTTTTCTTAAGAAAAACAAATATTCTATTTTACATATGCTTTGTTCTCTTGTAAATTGTGATTTTCAAAAATAATATTAAAAAATATAAAATACTTTATAAAAAAGTCTAAATTTGTTTTTTAAATATTTATTAAAAAATTATAAAAATTAAATATTTCAATTTTTCGTACTAAAAAAATATTGGATTAACAAAGATTTATTCTTTTATAAAATTAGTTTATATTAATTATAAATAAATAAATAAATAAATAAATAAATTTTTATTACGATATAATTTTTAAAATATTTAAAAATATATATTTTAATTTTTTTAATCATATAAATATTAAATTTATTTAATAAAATAATATTATAACTTATTATTATTATTATTATTATTATTATTATAATTAATTAAACATTGTTAATATAAATACGGTGACATTAACAAAATCAATCGATCAATTATGTTGGACAGAGGCAGTGCTGAAGGAGTATTTGTTTATTTGTTATTCATTGTCATTGTTGGGGACTCCAAACGGATATATAACAGTTAATTTTTTTTTCTATTTAACTTTTTACTAAATTCCATTTCCATTCTCTCTACTGTTTCTACTTGATTTTGGATACGGCAAGCCTATGCGGGAATGGAATCAGAAAATCGCGTATATGTCTATTTTTGTATGCGTTTGAGTTATGGATTGTGGATTCTGATTATTATTATTATTATTATTTTCCTCTTTCTGATTTTTAGGGTTAATATGTTCAATTGAAATGGAATATGTTCTGTGTATAAACTTTGAATCTGTTGCTTTGAATTTGAATTTTAAGACAATGTTGTTATGAGTGGCTTGTACTGTGAATGTTCATATTCAATTGAAATTAAATATGCTCTGTGTTTAAAATTTGAGATTTTAGACAATGTTGATATGCCTTTGTATGTTAATTTGTGTGTTATTTGATGATGGATCTTGATAGTTGTGTCTTCTAATAATGTTTAGAGTTTCGTTCAATCAAGTTGTATTTGTTGTAAAGGAATGCTCATATCTTATGTTTCTTTTCTTTACGAACCTAGGTTTTCAGTGGCAATGGCTGCCCTCAGATTTTAGGATTCTTGTTCAAAAAACATGCGAAGAGAAGATCAAAGATATGTGTAATGTCTAGCAAGGATGCCAGGCATTCCTCTCTCAGCTCGTGAATCTGCGTAAGTCTGACTAGACGTCGTGATTTATGGGTTTCGCAAATGGAACCAAACTGATTCATTCTTCTGCTTAAGTTTTGTGCTTTCATTTGACTGAATGATAACACATGGAGACTTACTGGTTTCTTGATTTGAATTAAGATTTTTATTCATCAGGTGATCTCATCCTGTTTGATCAGGAACATGGATAGGTGAAAAGATAGAATTTGTTTAACTATGGAGATTGCTGCTTGAAGTCTCCATTTGATTGCCTACCTGTGCACATGGATCTTCGTTAAGCGATTCCACTATTGGAATTCAATTTTTCATTCATTCGTTTGATATTATTTACTGTTTAGAACAATGATCCGACAAAGCTGGAATATAAATAAGTATAGAATTTGTATATGGTTATGTGAACTTAAAATGTAATATGTTTTCTCATGATCCCTTAGTGTGGAATGCAATTAAATACTAAATGTACTTTATGGATTTCCCGTAAACGTTGTAGCCCCCCCCTCTTTTTTTAATCGTCACACCATGGCACGTGGTGATGATGATGCAAGACCAATGGCACCTTGTTTTGAGATGGTGTCTCATGGCCACGTGGCTGGTGCCATTTGGTCGTGGACAAAGACACGACTTTTGAAGGTAAACCTTTACTTTCTTCTATATACACGCTTTGTACATTTCAAAGATAAAGGAACTGGAGGAGCCCTAAATTTCTAACATCTTGAATTGCGGCACATTTGGCATCAATTTGCTTCATCTTTTCTTCCATTCGGTCTGCGTCTCCCTACGGAGCTCCATGTAATAGTATATTAATTCAGTCTTTCTTGATCTGTCTTCTGTATTGTCTTCTTTTTCCTCCTTATTTCCTTTGTTTTTTTCAAATTATTTTGGATCTTTCTTCATTTTTCGAGGTTACCTTCATGTTATGAAAGTGAATATTGTTCTGGCACAGTTAGGTTTTCTATTTCTGTTTTGTTCGTGATAGAATTTTTCTTGAGGTATGTGCGATGATTTGCTTGATTTGGAAGGTTGTAATGACATTATATATTGGATTCATTTTATTCAATTCGAGATGAACTTCTAAGTTGTTTAAATAAGAATAATTAATCTTGATATATTACTGCATTAAAAAAACTCTGCATCGTATCGTTTACATCGTCAAAACCAAGTACATTATATGCCTTAAATTTCGCGAGTTGTAGGAATTCAAGTTCATACTACACTAGATTTTTATTGATTCTTGAAAATGGTAAGCGTTGGCAGTTAGCCACTAGTTTTAAGATGAATTGGATTATATCTGGGTTCACTTTGTATATTATATATTAGCCATTCTTTTCACTTCTTATTTATTATGTCGAATTTGTTTACTATTGTTTTTCTGAGGATTACTACTATATTTTTAGGCAGTGCTTCGATGAAGCACCCTTGGCACTGTGCTCCATGCACCGTGCCTTGAAAGATTATTTCTAGTGTAAAATTTACCTTGTAATGGAGGTTTGGAAGTTTCTAGATTGCTTCACAACTCGATCCTTATTGTTCATTCACTTATTGAAATATGATACTGGCTAACGAGTCCTCAAATTATTTTGTCCTCTCCTGGCTCTTGAAAAAAATACTAAGGATGTAAGAATATTATGAAATCTATGAATCCAGTGTGGGGTGCATAGGTTTGTGTGGTTAATACTTGAATTGGCATTTCCAATTTTCTTTTAATGCTTTGTAAAATTCGAGATTCATGGGGCATACTCATATGTTTGCTATATTTAGGAAGCTGACTGCATTCGTGATTTGATTGTTAGAAGTCATTTATGATCACCATAGTCAGTTGATTCTTGGAACAGGAATTGTGTTTGCAATTGTGGATACTCACAAGATGCAGATCATGTGTGTAGCCATGATCCCCAGTCAAATTTGTCTGCAGAAGAGAAACTTGCAGCTGATGAGAGCTTTTCACATTACTGCAAGCCAGTTGAACTGTACAATATTCTTCAGCGCCGTGCTGTTAAAAGCGTTAGTTCTTTCCTAAGCATTCTGCCTTTGTCTCCTTAACAATCACTTCTCTCTTAAATTCCATCCTTTTTATGCATTTGCAAGTTATTTGGGTGATTATCACAGAAATGATAATTTTCTCCTGTTGTTTTGTGCCCACTAAGTTTGATGTACCAGGAAGACAGCAGTGAATTAAATACCATTTATTCATGTAATTATCAGTTGGTTTATATAGAGCATAGCGGACTAAGACAGGCTCTCTCTTGCAGCCATCTTTCCTTCAAAGATGTTTGCAATACAAAGTAGAAGCAAAACACAAGAAAAGGTATGACTATTTAACAAATTTGTTTTCAAAATTATTGTCTGCGTGTTTGTCACCTGGGAATTGCTGAGTTCTTAGAATCCATGACACATCATTGAGAATCCTCAACATGTTTCGGATTATTAATGACCATATGATTTTTGCTAATAAACACACTAAGTAAGCATGCTTGTCATTGGCACTTTGGTAGTGTTATTGGAATTATGTATATTCCAATGCTTATTTTTTGATAGAAAACATTCCTTTTAATAGTTTTTCTTGGATATTGGTATTCTATCCTCTACCAGCTGATATTTTTTGTTCCTTCTCTTATTTGTAGTTTTTTGAGAGTTTCTGCCATTATTTATTTTCATGTTGCCTAGTTCCTTAAAATTATGTATCAAAAAGTACGAAAACCATGCATCATGTTAGATTACTCTGAATATGTACTGTTTTATCTGTCTTCTATCCATCCTCTACCCATAGTTGCCACTTTCGTATCCATCATTTTATGCGGGGCATTTTTGGTTCTTCTCATCAACCCCTGCAAGTGCTGTGTGTTCAGTATTTTGAGTTTGCAGCACAGCCTTTCATTAGTGTAGACATAACTGATGTAGTTCTCTTTGTCTTTGCTTATCCCCAGGATTCAGATGGCAATTTCTCTACCATCAACTGTAAATGATGAATCTCAAATTCAAAATCTATTCCCTTTGTGTATATTAGTGGCAAGACAAGTTTCTAGTCCATCAGTTGTAGAGGTAGTAAAATACTTCTGTTCATCTTATTGGTTATGCCCTTGTTCCATATATTTGCATGTAACTTTCCAATGGTTTAATGTTGTTGCAGGATTCCTCAATTTATCATTTCAGTAGAGAATGCCTATTGACAAAGTGTACTGGAAGCGATAGAGTGAATCAGGATGTAGCAAATTTCATTCTTCCTGAGATTAACAAACTATCAGCTGAAGTCAAATCTGGTTTCCTTTCTATATTGTTTGTCAGCTGTGGTATGGAGTTTGTTTTTTTTTTTTGTTCTTCATTATTTCTCCTCTATCAATTGTTAGATGATGTAAATGAAGCTTTTAGGTGAGACGGTCATTTACATCATCTAATATGGTATTAGAGCCATAAGTCTCGTGTTTGAGTCCCACCTGTCTCCATTCGTCGTCATCCACGTGCAAGTTTTGTATGGTGGCGTATATTCCCCTTGCACGTGAGGTGGCGTGTTGGTTGACTCCTATATAGAGATAAATAAATATATAGTGTGTATCTCTTTAAGCTTAAGTTATTAGGCAAAACGGTTATTTGCACCATCTAACATCAATAAAGATTTTTCCATCATATTGTTGTGCTATGCTTCTCTGCAGCTGAATTGTTTAAGGACAATGAGGACGGGTCACTCTTTCAAGGTGAGTTATTAATTAGCTGTACTTTTTTCCCCTAACTTGTATCATTTATTTGCATGTGAAATGAAAGCAATCTAGTTTGGTACATATGTTCCTATCATAAAAATTAAATGTGGTGATCCAATTTTTGAGGCACAATTCTGTTGATGAGCCCAGGTGTCCCAGCATGTATGTAGTCCTGTCTAGGGGTTATTATAGCATAAACATAATAGTACAAGTCTTCTTCTTCTTGTGAGGGAGATAAAAAAATAAAAAAATAAAAAAACAAGAAAAAAAAGTAAATCTATCTCTTGTGCAAATCGTAAGGAAAATTGTTCTTGAAATATTTTTAAGTAACTTAGCACTATTTTCCAGATGCTTTTAGATTGCAGATGTACTGATCATCATCATGATTAATTTTGTTATGAATGAACTGCAAACAAATTATTATTATAATGATAAGTTATAGAACACTTGAGTTGAAGAAGCTTCCCTTAAATCAACTACTTAGGGCGTTTTTTTTTTTTTTTTGCATTTTTAGTTTGAAATTTACTGAATGGAAAATAGGTTTTGGATGTTATGATTAGACAGAAAATAGATGGTGGATATGATGTTTCAAGTGAAAAGGAGGTGTTGGATGTGTTTTCTAGAGGAAAACAAACATTTAACAATAAATTGCCAGGTGCAAACACAACTATGAATTCAGAAACAAAAACACTCTTTCATGAATTGAAGTTAATCCATTAGCTCAAGTGATCAATTTTTGCTGATCCATATTTATTTTTGATTTCTATTCTTTCTTTTTCCTTTTTTATAATTTATCCTTTTCAAAATAATATAAGGTGTTGCAAATGTGGATACATGTTAGTTCTAATAATGAAGAAGCTACAAATTTCACATCCTTTTTAACAGAAATTGTCTCTTGCTGCAGTTTACCTGTGGGTTTTTTTTTGTTGAATGACTAAGTTTATATTTAGAAAGCCCTGCCACTGCTGCACAACTATTTCCTTGGCCTATCCAATTTGAATAGGGAACATGTGATAAGTCAACAAAAACTGTGATGCAGCATGGGGACATCTCCTTTATTAATTACTATGTGGTTTGTGAGATTTCTTAGCCAATGAAGCATTCATATCAAGTGTCCTTATATTGTGCTTTAATCTGACACGTGGAAACATAAAAGATAAGGTGAACTAAGTTGAGACGGAATTGATCTTTAACCCAAGTTGGCACACAATCCTGCAGGAATATGTTGAACATAAATTGAATCACCACAATCTAGAGACTAACACTGTAAATTGGGTCTTTGGAATGCTTCCAAGTGCTCGTAGGCTATAGCTCATTCATTAAATTTTTGCTCTATGTTGTGAGTTGTAGGGTTGTGTACTTGTGGTGTGGTTTGGGTTCATGTATCTATTCTGTTGAGTCCTTTTTCCGATCTTCCCATTTTGGCTATTCAACTTATCTATCATTTTTCTGCTTATGTCATAAATCATTATGGTATTAGAGCTTGTAGCAACAATTATCTTTTTATTTTCAATTTCCATTTGCATTTTTTTTTTGGTATGAATTGTAACCTATTTTTATTACTATATTCCTTCATATATTATCCAAAAGTTGGAAAAATGAAATAAAGAAAAACAAAGTGGAGAGGTTATGTGCTTAGCTTCCATAGGTTATTTGCACTTTTCAAACTGTGTTTTGCTTAGATATCTCATGATTCTTGTTTGTTGCATTGCCTTACTCTTGTATTAATCATGTTGTCACTTTTTATGATTGTCATATATCAAACTTGGAATTTCAGATTTGGACGTAATTGTTATCTGAAGTTACTTTTTGCTGATAAAACTAATCAAATGATCAAGTTGTCATTTATAGATTAATTGTTTCTGTGCATAATGAATCTAATGGAAGCGTTCAAGTAGTTGTCTTCTTCTCTGTGTTAAACCCTACTGTTGTTTTCGCACTGGTTGAGGAGTTAGTCATGTTTAGGCGTATGTTTATTATTTTATCTTACCTCCTAGTAACTGTTGAATTGAACTGGCCTACAAAATAGGGATAGCCAAAAATTGGACGGTCACCAATAAGATTTTCCTAATATAAGATTGTCGTCAATAAGTCCCATGGTTCCGAATAGTAAGTAGTTAGCATATCGCATCTAACAAATATTTATGTTGGAAAGGGATTTAGATTTGCTGATAAAATTTTGTTTTCAGTTGACATCTTCATCTTGAGCCTAACGTGATTCCCTTCTGATGATAGCTAATGTTGGAGGTCACTGCTACCTGGGTAAAATTCCAATGGAGTTACTTCAAATATCCTGGGAGAAGTCTCTGAACTTGAGTAGTGGTGAGAGAGCTGAGATGCTGTCAACTGTTGATCTGCATTCTTGCTACCTGAAGGTATTGGAACAAAGATAAATTATGTTTACGTATACGTTAATTTTCTTGTTAGTTGTTAACCCACAATTTATGTACAGTGTTCAAATTGCAGAGGGAAAATTATAAAATTGTATATTGATCATCAACATAAGGAGTCTATATATAGGCAATACAAAATATACTCGATAGACTCAAATCTAAGTAATCTAATCTATGAATAAGATCAAATCTAGATATAAATCTACTAATCTATAACTGAATATCTAAAATATCTCAGCTATTCTTTGACACTCCCCCTCAAGCTGAGGAATAGATGTCTTCCATTCCCAGCTTGGATACAAGATCATGGAAACTCGAACTGTTCAGCCCCTTTGTTAGAACATCGGCTAATTGTCTCTCTGATGGAACATAGGACATACAAACTAACCCTTCATCCAGTTTTTCTTTAATGAAATGTTTATCAATTTCAATATGCTTTGTTCTATCATGTTGTATAGGATTATGAGCTATATTAATAGTTGACTTATTGTCACAGTAAAGCTTTATAGGAGCCTCCCATTTGACTCTCAAATCATCCAAAATGATCATCAGCCAAAGTAATTCGCATAATCCTTGAGCAATTGCCCTAAATTCTGATTCTGCTGATGACCTTGCCACTATATTCTGCTTCTTGCTCTTCCATGTCACTAGGTCACCTCCAAGAAAAGTACAATACCCTGCAGTTGATCTTCTATCCACTAGGGAGCCAACATAGTCAGCATCGGTGTAGGCTTCCAAAGTACAGAGTGTCATTCCTTTTGAACAAGATTCCTTTCCCTGGATTGCCTTTCAAGTAGTTCAGTATCCTGTAAGCAGCTTGAAGATGAGGTTCTCTTGGATCATGCATGAATTGGCTGATCAAACTTACAGAATATGCTATGTCTGGTCGAGTGTAAGCAAGGTATATAACTCTGCCAACCAACCTCTGGTACATTCTTTTATCCACAGCTGGTTCTTCTTTAGCTTCTCCCAATTTATAGTTTGGATCTATTGGAGTAGAGAACGGCTTACACCCAATCTTCCCTGTTTTTGCCAATAAATCAAGCACTTACTTTTGTTAAGATATGAAGATCCCTTGTCTAGAATATGCCACCTCAATACCGAGGAAATACTTCAATTTCCCTAGTTCTTTTATTTCAAATTCTTTCATTAGTCTCAGCTTTAATTCATGCTTCTCTTTCTCATCATTTCCGGTCATTATGATGTCGTCCACATAGACTAAAAGAGCAGTCACTCCCCCTACAGCTGAATGCTTAATGAAAAGCGTGTGGTCACCTTGGCTTTGTTTGTACCCAAATTCCTTCATGAATTTTGCATATCTGCCAACCCATGCTCTAGGAGATTGTTTTAACCCATAAAGGGCTTTTTTTAGTTTGCACACCTTGTTACCAGTGTCCCCTTCAAATCCTGGTGGAATGTTTATGTAGATGTCCTCATTTAAGTCACCACGGAAGAATGCGTTCTTAACATCATATTGTAGCAGTTGCCAATTAAAGTGAGCAGCCAATGATAACAAAATTCTTACTGTGTTCATTTTTGCAACTGGAGCAAATGTTTCTTGATAATCCACCCCATAAATTTGAGTGTATCCTTTGGCTACTAACCTTGCTTTATATCTTTCAAGGGATCCATCAGCCTTGTACTTCAATGTAAAAATCCATTTGCAATCAACAATGTTTTTTCCCTTTGGTTTATCAACGATCTCTCATGTTTTATTCTTCTCTAATGCATTCATCTCTTCTCTCATAGCATCCCTCCATTCCCTTTTTGACAATGCCTCAGAACACATTGAGAGGGATGACAATGGTGTTCAAACTCACAATGAATCCCTTTTGGGCTGACAATAGGCGCTTAAAAGAGACATAGTGAGATAGAGGATAGAGTGGTCGTTTAGTGCATTCTCTGGTTTCTTTTCTAACAGCAATGGGAAGATCCAGAACAGTAGTTGAATCAGTGGACTGTTCAACAGATTGTGTGTGTAAAGGTGGATCTGATTTCTTTCTTAGAATTTGGATTGGATTATTGGACTTGTGTCAGTTCAGGAACGGTCTTTCTCTTTGAATACACCTGAGGAAACTTTGGAAAATTGTGAGTGATGCTGGTTGGAGAAAGAGATGATATGGGTTCAGTGATGTGGCTGGTTCAGAGGACTCAGGTTCAACCGGAACATGAGGAGGGTTTTGTTCTGAGTGACTGCGGGGTGGTACATGCGGAAGGTCAAGGGTTTTAAGTGGTCAAAAGACTCACAAGTACTATCTTCCATCATTGAAATCTCCCCCTGAAGAGAGGACTTGAAAAAATGTCTATTTTATGTGAAAGTGACATCTGCAGAGATGTAAAATTTTTTGGTCAAGAGGTTGTAACATTTGTATCCCTTTAGAGTGGATGAGTAACCGAGGAAAACATATTTGATGGCTCTAGGGTCTAGCTTCCCTCTATGTTGTTTGTGGACATGAACAAATGCGGTACACCCAAATACCCTAGGAGTGAGGCCATTTGAGGTTCTGAAGTGAGGGTAAAAGCTATGAAGGGCCTCTATGGGGCTTTTGTTTTCTAACACATGGGAGGGAAGTCTATTTATCATATATGTGGCAGTAAGAACGGCTTCTCCCCAATAGGACTTAGGAACATTCCTTTGAAAAAGTAAGGCTCGGGTGGTGTTGAGTAAATGCCTATTATTTCTTTCAGCTACCCCATTTTGGTGGGGTGTCTCCACACATGATGAATCATGGATAATCCCATGTGATTGAAAGTAAGGTGACAGAATCTGATTGAAATAATCTCTAGCATTGTTTGTCCTTAAGCTTTTTATTTTGACCCCAAATTGATTTTGAACCATTGAATGAAAATTAGGTATAATAGTGCTAACATCAGATTTTTGTTTAAGAAGAAAGAGCCATGTGACCCGAGTGCAATCATCAATTAAGGACACAAACCAACAAGCCCCAGAAACATTAGGTATAGTGGAAGGACCCCATATGTCACTATGAATCAACTGAAAAGGATGAGAACTTCTTTTATTGCTAATAGGAAAATATGCACGGATATGTTTTGCCAATTCACAGATGTCACAATGAAATTCAGAAATATTTAATCCTTGGAACAAATGAGGAAACATTATTTTTAAAATCCTAAAAGAAGGATGACCAAGACGTAGGTGATATAGCCAAATGACATCTTTATTCGAGGAACTAAGGAAAGAAGAAGGCAAGTTACTCTTAGGTTTTTTAGATGGTTCCAGGTGGTAAAGACCGTTCATTTCCTTAGCAAGTCCAATCCTCTTCTTGAATGGAAAAAAGGATTGTTGACAGTTTGGGCACATGGAGAACATATTTAAGGATAAGGCTATGTGATATGTATATCTCCAATCCCTGCAACAGTGGCTAAGGAACCATTGGCCATAACAATTTTTCTATTACTTGGAAATGGGGTATAGGTGTGGAAGAGTTGAGATGTGGGGGTCATATGGTCTGTAGCACCGGAGTCTATGATCCAAGAGTTGGTACATAATTTGTCTAAGACATTCATGCACACAGGTTTACCTGAGAGAGTCATTGAACATGTTCCAGAAGGCTTCTCAAGAGACCCCAACAAACTTCTCAATCTCTCAATTTCTTCACTATTGAACCCCCCTATTGCTGGATTTTCCTCAATATTGGGCTGCTCTGCCATATGCGCGTGAGGCCTTTGCTGGAGATGGTTTTAGACATGACTTAGTGAAGAAGAATAATTCACAGCAATTAAGGCTAGAATAAAATACAGCGATGAAGGCTGCTTGAAGAAGACTACAAAACCCTAGAAAAATTCCTAGAGCTCTGATACCATGTTAGAAATTTTGGGGGAAAATTATAAAATTGTATATTGATCATCAAAATAAGGAGCCTATATATAGGCAATACAAAATATACTCGATAGATTCAAATCTAAGTAATCTAATCTTTGAATAAGATCAAATATATATATAAATCTACTAAATCTAAAACTGAATATCTAAAATATCTCAACAACATTATAACTCAGCTATTCTTTGACACAGAGGAACACATATGGAGTTACTGGTTCTTGAATTTTTCCGTATCTCCTTTTTGGCTATTATTTTTTCTATTTTTAGAATAAACTTTTCATCATAGTTAGACCATTTTTTGGGTCGTACATTGGCTTTGTAGTTATTATTTGTGCCACATCACACATGTCCTTTCCTTGTAAGCTTGAATCTCGGTGGCTTTTGATCAAGGTGTTGAACTATTGTGCCTGCCTTACTCTAGCATGTGAGCTCCGTCTTGGTTTGTTCTGTTGAGTGTTAAGGAGCATGAACTGTTTGTTTTATGTTTTGTTTTTACTTTCCTTCTGGTTTCTTCTCATTCTCTCCAGCTTCAACAGTTTCTGACGTCCTCTGTTCCTTCCTTCTTCTTTTTTTATATTATTGTATTATTGGTCATCCATTTTTCACCTTTGGTTTCTGCATATGTATTCCTTCCTTTATTCTTCTTTCCATGTTTTTTATCCTGACACTACCTTGCTTTGCTTCCTTTTCTTTTCCCACTTGTTTTTTACCCTCTTGCCTTTTTGCCTCGACTGTTTTCTTATTTCCTGTTTAATAATTCATTGGTCATTGGTGATAATAGTGAGAAGTTATCTATGATTTTGGTTGCTTTATTCTTATAAGTTTCTTTAATGAAAGCGTAATGTATGGATTATGGAATTAAATGCTCAATTATTATTGGAAATGGACTTATAACCAAATTATTATTTATTAGAGGATACTGTTTCTTCCAAAATACATGTTTACACAATGGTGCCCCACTTCAATGAGGCATGCAATATGGCTCTAGGAACTTTTGCGGTGTGATGTACTACCTGTCATTAATTTCAACCCATTTCCTGATGCTATTTTTATAGCAGAAATACTCTCTCAGATAATAATGTAATGTATTTCCTAAATTCTTCCAAATGCTGTATCAAGACAATTTAGATGATGTGTGCATCATTGTTTATGAATTGCAGAAAGATTTTTGGCAATTCCAAACAAAAAGTTTGTTGATTCATGCATTCTTTTGGTTATTTTTATGTGTTCGTATTTGCTACTTTAATTATTGTGCACTAAATTGTCCTCTCGTACAGGCTATATAAGCTTCCTACGCCAACAATCTTCTTGCTATCCTTGTCTACCTCAGCTTTTTTCCCTATATTGCATTGAACCAATCCTTTTCTTAGTTCGTTTCTTTTATGCAGACGAGCTGTTTTGGAGAAGACAAATGTTTTTCATTTTGTAGTCCCCGCCCTCATGCTGGTGCTATGGTACACAATTTTAGTAACAATCTTATCTTAATTTTCAGAGGGGCTTCAAATATGTTATTTAAGGTCTCTCCTCATTTGTTTACTTATCTCTTTCCCTTTTGCTGTCTTTTGCAAGGCTATGAGTCTACAACTGCAAGTCTGCATTGCAGCAGAAGAGATTGGTGCCAAGGACAGATCTCCATATGATTCATTATCATATAGAGGCATTCATTCTTCAGTTTCGCCTCAGATTATAAGGTGACTCTTGGACACTTTATTCTACATTTCCTCTATCTCGTATTAGTAGCACTACCCATATTGCTTATAGAAATAATTGATGTATTTGATCAAAACAAAATTAGCAATGCTGAATCATTTGTCGATCATTAATAATAACCGGTTATCTGAATCAATTCAATGACATTAAACCATGCTTATCATGGGCCTTAATGCTTCAGGCAAACATTTTATTATTCTTTTTTTTTTGGAAACTAGGGGTTAACATTTGAATTTTTGGGAACTGATCAGAAAATCCGGATCTTTCGAAATAACCAATCCAAACTGAATCGAAATAATCAAAATACGAAATTCGAATTAAAAAATTCGAACCAAATCAAAAAATCCAAAATAATCCGAAATTCTAAAATTTTTATTATTTTTCTAACTTTTATATTTTTATAATTATTTTATACTATTAAATATATATAATAAATAAAAACAAGTATATTAAAATATAATTAATAATTTGTAAGTTTTTATTTTTATTAAAATATTAACTATATAATAAAAAAATATATTAAAGATATTATATTTCTGATTGGTTCGGGTTTGTATACCGATCCGAACCAATCTGAAAATTCGAAAAATCAAAACCAAAATTTAAATTTCGGTTTGGTTCGGATCGAATTTTCAGATATTTTGCTCACCCCTATTTGAAATGAAAAAACTAACTTAACTTCATTGTTGTTTGCAATTGTTGGTTGACTCCCGTAGAAATATAATTAAATAAATGATGTGTATTTCTACTAGTTTAAATTTTTAAATGAGACGATCATGTATATCATCTCATATGTTATTAAAGCCCAGAAGTCTCATGTTCGAGTCCCATCGCCCTAATTCATTGTTGTTTTGGTTCAAAATTTGTATGCCCATATAGGGGCATATATTCCCTTTGCACGTGAGGGGGCATATATTCATATTTTATTTATTATATTACATTAAAATCTAATTTTATATTTAAAACATCACATCAATACATATTTATATCACATCAAACAACTACTTCAATTCAAAATTTTATTATTCAAAACCCAAACCCCACAAACAAACACAATCTTATGATTAATTTGGTTCCTAACATAAAATTTGATTGAATGTGAATGTAAATCCATGAGTGCCTACTGCAACTGTATGCATGCTTTGTCATGTGTATGAATGTGAATTTGATTGATACTACTCTTAATTTGGTTCCTTGCTACAAATTGAATTGATGCTAATGTGAATGTGAATCTGTGAGTGACTACTGCAATATGTTTGCTTTGTTATGTTTATGAAGTTACTTTGTTAGGGCCCCTTTATACATGCCTCTTTCTGCACCCCTTTGATGCATTTCATGTTGTTCTATTATTTCAAGATCATTGCAATGCCACCTTTTAAATGTATTAGATGATGTAAATGATCGATTCACCTAAAAACTTAAGCTATTAAGGATATGCATCATTTATTTATTTATCTACAAACGGGAGTCAACCATCACGCCCCTCATGGGCAAGGGGATAAACACACCACCAAACTAAACTTGCTCGTGGACAATGACAAACAGGGAATGGTGGGACTCACCTAAAAGCTTAAGTTGTTAGGGATACGCATCATTTATTTATTTATCTACAAACGAGAGTCAACCAACAAAATAGTATGAAAAATATGGCTCTGCCTATATTGAATGTGTTAGTTTTGTTATATAGTTCTAGAATGAATTTTTTTGGCCAATTTGGCCCAGGCAGGTAACCAAAAATGGCCTCAATGTTTCTTAGGAAAATGTTTGTTACTGTTCAAAAAGTCATGAGTTTTTTCATTGAGCTACTTCCTATAACTTTCTTATTTTGATTAAGATATTTTGTTTCCTGATTTCAAGTGTATAATAGAACGAGTCCTGCATATGTGATAGTAAGATTATTCTCACCTTTTATCATATATTATGTGAGTTGAAATTAAAAGGGAGAATCCTCCCCATTTCTGGATTTTGATGTCACTGGTTAATCATTTTGTACTTTAGAGTTTAGAAATATTTGATTTTAATTTGCTACAGGAGAATTATTTGCCATTTACTTCTAATTATTCCTTAGTACTCTCAACTTTTGCTCCCGAAAAATTTGTGTTCTTTCATTTCTCAAAGCTCCACTTTTCCATAGACATGGTGTTTCACGCTTTTCTTGGTTGGTGTTGTCTAGGTTGAGGGCTGGAAATGTTGTTTTCAACTACAAGTACTATAATAATAGGTTGCAGAGCACTGAAGGTAATTGGTTACACTCCTTCGGTGCTTCTATGTGGTTGGTAGCTTATCCTTTCAATTCCATGTTTAGTGTATGTTATTTGTTATCTTATTTTCCTATGGTTTGTTGCATAATGCGCACTCTGAATCTGAAGGGTAAAAACACCCGTGGCTCATCTTCAAAATTTTTTGATCTGTGAAAGAGAATCTAAATCAACTGTATGGTGCATAATTTTGCTACATTTTGAAGAAAATTTCTGAGATGTTAATTGATAATGAAATTAAGGTCTATTTATAACCTTATACAAAAAGATAAAGTCAAATAATAACAACATAATCTACTAGACATGATTAAATAATAATTAACATATCTTAAAAAAATAATATCAATAAAAAATATTTATTTAAAATATACTTCAATAATATTTCGTTTAAAACTCAAGTTGGTGATGTAGAAGTCAATTCGAATTTGACAAAAAGAAATAGAGGTGGATTTTGAATATGGAAGGACTTCATAACTGGACATTAGTATTCAAATCGATTAGGTGGGGTCCTAAACCCTAAGAAATTAGGATTTTGGCCAAATTAAGTTTTCTAGTAGCATCAATCATCTGGCATGGGAGTGCACCGGTGATCCTCTCTCACAACCGCGGTAACTCTAGTAAATTGAAATTTTGGCCAAATTAAAATCTTTTCAATGGCCACAATCCTCTGTTGCTGCGGCGGCATCAAAATAGGATTTCTGATAACGGCGATTCTTTGTTGCGGCAGCATCAGCGATCATCCGTCGCTCCGGCGACGCTAAACCCTAAGAAATTAAATTCTAATAGTTAAAAACCCTTTCCAGATAATTGAATGCCAAATGAAAAAACCTTAATCAAAACTAAAAACTTGATAGAGAAATTGAAAATACTCCGGTATATTGTTGCCGCAAGCCAAAAAAATTCTCGCAATCGGGCATCAGTCTATCTTCACACGTGGCTGAAGTCGGCGGCAGCAAAATGGTTTACTAGTGTTTACCAGTGTTGATCAGTGTTGATCAAATGTTGACTGATGTTGACCACATCGGTCAACTCACAGGCGTTGTGTCTGGACTCACAGGCATTGTTCTGACAATGATATTTGGTATATTGTATAAAGTCTTGGCCATTCTTACGCATAAATGGCGTTGTTCTGAACTCACAGGCCTTGTCAGACGCTGATATTTGGTATATTGTATAAAGTCTTGGCCATTCTTACGCATAAATGGCGTTGTTCTGAAGATGATATTTGGGGTGTGTTTGTTTGGAGGTTTGGATTTTGAGTTGGAATTTGAATAGTAAAAATTTTGAATTTGAATAGTTATATGATGTGATATAAATAGGTGTTGATGTGATGTTTTGAATGTAAAATTGATTTTTAGTATAATACAAAAAATGAAAAATAGGTATTTGATTTGATGTTTTTTAGGGGAAAAAATTGGATGAATAGTAGAAAAAAAATCCAATCCCTCAAACAAACACACCCTTGGTATATTGTATAAAGTTTTGGCCATTCTTAGGCATAAATCTCATGTCTGAATAAGAATGGCAGGTCAGATACAATGGTAAACTGACAAATAGTTGGAATTAGAATGCGATATATATTTTGGAAGTGGTAGTAAATCTCAAATTCGAAAGGCAATCCTTCGAGTACATTTCAGATATGGGGATGTACCGGGAGAAAACATGGCTTTGATACCATGTTACATTCTCTGGGAAATTTATAAGATATTTATTGATAATAGTACAATTAAAGTCTATTTATAAACCTTATACAAAATGATAAAGTCAAATAATAACTTAATCTAGTAGATAGGATTAAATAATAACAATCGTCATGATTTATTGTTCATCCTTTCATTTGATAGAACATAGGGTAAAACAAAATCAATATACTTTATTCCTGATGCGGAGAATAAACCTGCAGAGGATAACCAATTCTCCCTACCACCAAGCTGAAGCCATCTTAAACCAAAAACCTAACAATCCCACTAATATAGATGAACCCCTTAGTTATATTTGACATAGATGTACCCCATATATATATGGGCCCATTTACATGGACTCAAGACACATTAAATAAAAGGCTTAGTTATTCAAAAATAAAATAAAGTAAAATAGAAGCTACACTTGACTAATCAACCTTGTGCCACAATCGTCAGGAAATCTGCAGCGTGCTGCATGGCTTAGTCGTGTGACTTCTCCTTACTTTCTGAACTGGGAAGTGTTAGTCAGATGAAGACTAGGATCATATATCTAAATGAAGGTTGTATATGTGACGCCCCGGCCTGCAAGCTTCACAAAGTCGAGCGTCTCGGGATTGTAGACTGGTCCCACATGTCAACACGAGTTCTTCCAGCGCGCTTCTCTCCTCACTCACGCGCACCCTGACTGCCCAGGGGGTCACCAATTCTAAAATTACTTTAAAGCAAGCACGTTTGCTTAACTCTAGAGTCCTTTCAGTAGGGCTTTCGAAAAGAAATGTGGACATTGTTTACATAAGTAGTCTATTCAATCCATTTAACCTATATTCAACCTCGGATGGCTTGGCACCGACTCATCCACGGGAGTTGACCTAGCACCGGCCCAATTTTTGGGGTATTACATCCCCCACTTAAGAATGCAATGTCCATGTTGCACCCATAGGATTATCAACTGCTAGGCTCGTCACCAGTTCGGTCAACGACTGAGAGCTGTTGCAAGCCACGTAAAATCGAGCATATCGGGATCGTAGACTGGCCCCACCAGTCAACACGAGTCCTTCCAGCGCGTTTATGTCCTCACTCACGCACACCATGAGAGACTTCCCAATGGGTCGCCCATTCTCAAATTACTTTAGAGCAAACACGCTTAACTCTAGAGTTCTTTCAGTAGGGCTCCTGAAAAGAAATGTGCACATTGTTGACATGAGTAGTCTATTCAATCCATTTAACCTATATTTAACATCGAATGGCCTGATACCGGCTTACCCACGGGAGTTGGCCTAGCACCGGCCGAACTCCAGGAGTATTACATCATCCCCTACTTAAGAATGCAACGTCCACGTTGCACCCCAAGGATTATCAACTGCTAGGCCCGTCCCTAATCCGGTCAACGACTGAGGGCTGTCGCAGGTCTGCTCTGATACCAAGTGTGACACCCTGGCCTGCAAGCTACGCAAAGCTGGGCGTGTCGAGATTGTAAATTGGCCTACAAGTCAATATGAGTCCTTCCAGATACCAAGTGTGACACCCCGTCCTACAAGCTACGCAAAGCCGGGCATATCGGGATTGCAGACTGGCCCCACACGTCAACACGAGTCTTTCCAGATACCAAATGTGACACCCGGCCTGCAAGCTACGCAGAACTGGACATGTCGGAATTGTAAACTGGCCCCACAGGTCAACACGAGTCTTTCCAACGTGCTTATGTCCTCAAATAACTCTAGAGCAAACACGCTTAACTCTAGAGTTCTTTCAGTAGTCTATTCAATCCATTTAGCTTAAATTCAACCTCGGATGGCCTGGCACCAACTCATCCATAGAAGTTGGCCTAGCAACTCCGGTGGTATTACAATATGCATGGAGGTTGAGAGATCGATTGTTTATATGAAGGTGGTTTCACATGTTATACTCCAAAATCTAATTCCAGTTAATTTCAAATTTTTTTAAATTTCTATCTTTCTTCATTTAGTTATTGATCAGCTGGAATAGAACACAATCAAATAGGGTATCATCAGATTGAAGGAACCATGTGAAGCTATTTTCTTTCATTATATCTCAATCCTTGAGATCTTATCGGGGTGGGAAACAGTGGCATGGGTTGACATATAGCTGTACCTTCTCATTCTGTTGTACTTATGTATCTAATGTATGTTGAATTTTCAGGTGTCCTAGTAAAAAGCATACTTTTTGCATGTTATGTTTGCGAATAGTACTGAACTTAGTAATTTAACAATATCTTTAAATAGTCCTGGAGCTCTTAAGCTGGTGCTTTCTATCTTGAATTATAAGTTTGTGCTGGATGTTTTTTGCCACACTGATTGTGAAATTTGGGTCATCATAAGTTTTCAGATAATTAATTAACATAGTAATGCAATTATCATTTTATGCCATTTTGTAATTTTTCAGTTGTATGAGAAATGAGAATTCTCTTATTTGAATTGTCCCTGTGTGTAGCTTTGCACTTCATCCTTTCTTGCCGCTGCAAAAGTTCTAGAAGTGTGACTTTATATCTGTATATGCAGTGACAGAGGATTTCTCGTGCCCTTTCTGTTTGTTTAAGTGTGGAAGCTTCAAGGTATTGCCCACTTTTCTGTTTTTATACCATTTTGTTGAAATGTCTTTCGACTATGACTTGATACATGCATTTAATGACTTTAACAGGGTCTGAGATATCATTTGCCTTCTTTTCATGACCTCTTCAACTTTGAATTTTGGGTCAGTAAATATTTATTCTGAACGATTTTCCAATTAAAGTAATTGAGTTATTAATTTAATTCTAATGCTATTGTATAGGTTACTGAAGAACTTCAAGCTGTGAATGTTTCTATCAAGACTGATACATGGAGATCTGAGGTCAGTGTAGCTGTTATACAGCATGGAGTAATATGGGAATAAACAGCAACAAAAGCTTTGTATTAAGTACCTTAACTACCCATGAGAATCTCTTATTTCATTGCTGAAACAATTATTTACATGCACTTAAAAACTGAAACAACTTTGGTTTTGCACCAAGTGTGATAGGGAGCAGGGACGGGAGTGCCGAAGGCGGGGACGGGCTTAGGCTTGCTTTTGCAGGATTAGAATTTTCTTTTATCAGTCTTTTATTATTTCGTTATTTGGGCTTTTACTTATGGACTTTTATTTTTTGTGTTGGGGTTGTCTATTGTTTATTGGATAGATTTATTGTACTTTTAGTAAGTAGGGTTTAGCAGTAGTATTTAATGAGTAGTAGGGTTTGCTATTTTCATTCTCAATCTCGGAACCTTGAGGCTTTTGGGCAAACCTTTGATTTTGTTTGATTGTTCTTTGGACAAACGATTGACGTCGTTTGATTGTTCCTATCGATTTATTTGGTTTCTATCAGAGTGATTCATAGAATCTACATTCAAAATGGTTAGATATTGATGCTCTTAAGATTTTGTGCGTAGTTTCGTAATTTCTTAATTGCACAAAACTGATCAACTTTCCCGATTGATTGGTGCAGAATGTTGCAGCAGGTGTTGATCCTAAGCAACAAACGTTTTTCTTTTGGTATGTTTTTGCCTTAATCTATTGTTTTATATGGATGTATGATTTATTGCAGATTTGAGCTCTTTTATCTTACTTTGTTTTCCGTAATAATCGGTCTGTTACAGTTCTAAAGCAGGAAAGCGCAGAAGACCCAAGAGCCTAGTTAAAAGTACAAAGCATGCGCATGCCCTTGTATTTGATTCTGAAATTCCGGAACCTCTCAATGAACTTCGTAAAAAGACGGATGGTAAGCTATATAAATTGTGCCTGTTGGTAGCTGCATTTATGATATTTATTAATTATTGTTTACCAACTAGCTTAGCCTTGAGAGTTCTTTTGTGTATTTGAGCTTCATCTTTCTGGAAACCTACTATGAACTGCTTCAATCCAACTTACGTGAGCGAACCAATGAGATATCTTCAGTTTTTTAGTAGTTTATTACCAGTGCCCGACAGCATATTCATAAAAAACACTTGTTTAAAACCTAATGCATTTATCTAGTATGGGTTCTTGAAGAGAATGCACCCATTTGCTAGGTTATTTCTCTTTGACAAAGAGTCTGTATTCATATTTGCTTTGTTTAAATCTACCAAGCATGTGTGGCATAAAATAAAGAAATAAATGATGTTCTGTCCTCCATTTTCGCCTGTGTGAAAATTGTTGTGTTCAAAGTTGTATTAGCTAGAATTTTCTGACGTCATATTTAATGTATGCCTATATAGTTAAGAAGTGGGTAGATGCATTAGATGGTTATGGAAGGTGCGTCTAACTTGAAATTATGTGTGGCAGAGAGTGGGGACCGTGACATATCCAGCCCCAAAGTTTCATCAGCTACAACACATTCATATGCTGATCCCGAATGTGTGCAGTCATTAACTGGTAGCAACCTCAAAGCTCCGGCATTGCTGCGGTTTGCAAGGAAAAAGAAGTTACCAGTTGAGCGGTCTGACTCCAGAAAGTAAGTTCATCGTTGAGGGGTTTGTGTTTTTCATATGGAACATATTATCAGATCTTTCTGATCTTAAGTATCTTCAATTCATTATTGTACTTCCATCTCTCATTATTGTATGCTAACCAGTTTGTCTATAGTTGCAAGTATGACTTACATAGTGATAGTACTCTTATACATATATTTGACAAACTTCCTGCAAATATCTATTCAAATAGAAAATTTTAAGCCATATTTTACGACATTTGTCTTGTGTTATTTATTCTGCCAGTAATCTTGAATACAGTCCTTACTGAATCTTGGATCATGTAGTAGTCCCATAGCCAGGCACTAAAGTATGAAAACCCTGTTATGAATTGAATGATAGTTTCATTGATGATTTGTTGCATCATAAGTAGCGAGGACTTACCAATTATGATGATGTTTCCTCTCCATATACTGCATTTAAGCTACTAGATCTTCATTTCAATTCAATGTTGTATATGGATTCATTGAATTTTCTGTTTGTCATTTCAGTCATTCACTGTTGCACAAGCGGGAGTTCTTTCATTCGAAAAGAGCACAGGTGAGTATTCTATTCATACATGACCGAATATATACAGCTGCATGATATATTAACAAACAATATTGGCAGTTTCTTTCTGTAATATTTATAAAGTTCAGTTATTGGAAAATCTTTTTATACTGGCGATTTAATGTTTTAGAATTATGTCTTTTAATGCATGGTTAACGAAAGGATTCTTTGCTGAAATACTGACTCTTCTATTGCTTTTTTTACAACACTTACTTGAGTTCTTTGAGTTCACTTTTACAGCTTACATTGCATCTCAATATAATTATATTTCCTGAAATATGCTTGTGCAGCATTTTTTGAGGTGCATACTAATAGAAAAAACACTTGAGAAAATTACATGTCAATATTTGTGAAATGAGGATTGTGATCAATGCAGCCTATGGCCATGGAGCAAGTCTTATCTGACCATGATAGTGAGGATGAAGTTGATAATGATGTTGCAGATATAGAAGATCGAACGGTGTGGCCTCTTTCAAACCCATCTATGTCTCTATTTCTTCCATTTCTTTATAATGTGCATATTAGATGATTCTACTTGACTCTTGAGGTTCACTTTGATAGTCACTCAAGAATTATTTTCTAAAACCAAATATAACCTAAATTGCTCTCATTTTCAATCGACACTTCAATTTGATATTCTTTTTATGATTGAAGTCATGAATACGTTCTTGATTGTATGAGTTCCTGCTATCAGGGGTCTAGAGAAGTGGTCCGTTAATGATTTCTTCATAATTTTTTTTCTTTTTTTGCTATGATAGGAGCTTGGTAATGAATTGTGGCTTAATTTTAGCTAATAATATTATGCTTATATTGTCGATTTGGCAGTAATTTTTCAAAGTAATCATCTCATGGACAGTGTGAGGCTAAAGGGTTTGTTTCTTCTATGGGTGTGTTCGTTTGATGAATTTGGATAAAATTCCACTATTCATCCAAAATTTTTCCCCCAAAAACATCAAATCAAACACCTATTTTTCATTTTTTATATTATACTAAAAATCATTTTACATTCAAAACATCACATCATCACCTATTTATATCACATCATACAACTATTCAAATTCAAAATTTTTACTATTCAAATCCCAATTCAAAATCCAAACCTCCAAACAAACACACCCTATAAAAATTTCTAACACATTTTTCCAAAAAATTAATATAGAACACACATTCATTATTTTTATATTACGTACACAATTCTCTATACTTCACCTCAAAATATTTTTTCTTCAAACCAAAATACCAAACAAACACACTCTAATTATTTTTGCTGTGTTATTTCATTGATGTAAAGCAGATGCTTGATGACTTTGTGGATGTCTCAAAAGATGAGAAGCAGTTGATGTATCTGTGGAATTCTTTCGTCAGGCGACAAAGGTCAGCAATTATTTTTATATGCCACTCTTTTAAATTTTCTTGAGCATGGAATCATTAGACTCACAGATACTATTCTTCATAGATTTATATCAAACCCTGTCCATTTATGCGGTATTTTCTGTTTTGGTGACAGGGTACTGGCGGATGCTCATATTCCTTGGACCTGTGAGGCTTTTTCTAAATTGCATGGAAAGGATTTTGTCAAAGCTCCAGGATTACTCTGGTGTGGCATTTTATATGCTTTTTCTAAGCCAATATGCGCCTAAATGTTCATTCTTTTATAGTTTCAACTACATATTGTCAATGTTCTAGAGTCCACCCGAATCTATCTTGTAGCCTATTATTCTCTCTGTTTGTTGATGTTATTTGTTGCACAAATCATTGTTCTCCTTTTGGTTGAATTTCAATAATGTAATTAAATTCTTGCGGGCGCAGCTGCTGGAGACTATTTATGATCAAGTTGTGGAACCATGGTCTGCTCGATGCTCGCACAATGAACAACTGCAATATAATTCTGGAGAAATGTGAAGGACAAGGCACATCCGACAACCACCAGCCGCCATCCGGCCAGTAGTTTCAGAGCCAATTATGTTGCTATAATTCTGTTTCGATCGAAGAAATGAAGGGTACTATTTCCTTTAATTTTAGACTATTATGTTCACAACTTTGGGCGAATTCATGCACATTCTATCTAGAATTTAACTTGGAACTGTTACTTGTTGGCCATGCGAAAAAAAAAAAAAAACTATGACTTGGTATTTCTTTTGACATCTTATTGGTACTGAAAATTCTTGGCTTTGGTTCTTTTAAGAGGGTTGTTTGCATGGTGATTTATTCTTATTATTATTAGGTTAAATTATTTTTTAGTTCTTCGTAACTATATATTTTTATCATTTTAGTCCATTCTAATTTAAACTAGTCCCTAGTGGAAAATTTTTGCACTTTTTAGTCTTCTGGCGCTAGAGATGTCTGCGTGGCTTGCCGAATGACAGGTGTCTGCCAAATTAATGACGCACCCTGCGGAAACGTGGATTTTTTTTAAAAAAAAAATTATTTATTTATTGTCTTTTTTGTAAAAAAATTAAGGGTATGTTTATTTGTCAGGTTTTACACATAATTTTACTATTTCAATTTTTTTCCCTCCAAAAACATCAAATCAAACACCCAATTTTTATTTATTTTATTATACTAAAATTTAATTTTACATTCAAAATATCACATCAACACATTTATATCACATCAAACAACTATTTCAATACAAATTTTTATTATTCAAAACTAAAACCTCACAGGTAAACACACCCTAAATATTTTCAAAAGAAAATACAAATTTAAATTTAAAAAAAAATAAAAATCCACTTGTTCACCAAGTGTCGCTAACTTAGCGGATACTTGTCCTCCGGCGAGCTACATGAGTGCCATATAGACATCCCGGCGCCGTAGAACTAAAATTAAAAAAAAAAATTCACTTACTGAACTAGTTTGCTAAAATATTTTAGTTATCAAAATGATAAAAGGATTTCAGTTACAAAACTAAAAAAATAAGTCTAATTTCCTTTCATTATTATTATTATTATGGTTTAAATAGTAGATTAGATAATATTTTATGAAAAAATAAAATAAACACCCGAGTACTCGGGAGCCTTAGTTTAAATGGTAGATTGGAAGAATGTTTTTTTTTTTTTTTTTTTTTTTGTATTTTATTAGGAATCGTGTAAATTACATAATTGAAAATAATCACCAAGTAAGCCTTTGTGTTTTAGATGTTTGGATTTAAAATTCTTTGAATGAAACTATATAGGTTTTGGATATAAGATTTTATTGGAAATGATATATTGTAGGTTATGTTTGAGTTTTTTTAGAGTGTGTTTGATTAGAGTATATGTTACAATAGTGTTTCTATTGCATTACTTTTTATCTCTTTTATTCACATTAATTTTCAAATTATTCTTTCAACACCCGTTATAGCATCATTACATTTACTTATTATTTTACAATTTTACAAAATTGGTAATAATTATTTATTGTTATATATTTTTATTATCTAATAATATATAGATAATATTTATTATACAATAGTATACTTTAATTTTAAAATATTAATTTATATAAACTATAATAATATTATATAGTTTTTTTAGATCGAGATTTTATTAACGAAATCGACAAAAATTTGAACCAGATTTGGTTAAGCTCAGCCCTAATCAACTCGAAATATAATTTGACACAAAAATCACACATAACTAGCGACTATACAAAAGAACCTGCCCAAAATGCACAACACACAACGGAAATGAACTCCACAGAAAATACAAGGGAAACAGTGGAAACAAACAGCAAACAAAGGAAAAATTGCAACACAGAACTCCATAATGTTGCAGGATAAAAGATGCCGCCAAGAACCGCTGGGAAAGATCACCGGAAAATGTGGACATAAAGGTCGAGAGAGAAAGGCTAGAGAGGGCAAGTGTAGAGATAAAGAAAGATGCCGCCAAGAACCGTTGGGAAAGATCACCGGAAAATGTGGACATAAAGGTCGAGAGAGAAAGGCTAGAGAGGGCAAGTGTAGAGATAAAGAAAGATGCCGCAAAGAACCACCGGGAAAAATTACCGAAGAATGTGGACAGAGAGATCGAGAGAGAAAAGGCTAGAGATGGCAAGTGTAGAGAGAAAAAAAGATGCCGCTAAAAACCGCTGGAAAAGGTTGCGGATGTGGACAGAGAGGTCGAGAGAGATAGGCTAGATAAGGCAAGTGTAGAGAGAAAGAGGGTGACTTGATAATAAGAGACGCGCCTCTCTCCTCTTTATATATAGGATGGATGGCCAATATTAAAGACCTAGATCGGGTGGCCCAGATCACGTCTAGTAAAAGAACGCAGATCTAAACCGGGTTCGGGTCATGGGTCGCAGGTCGCGAACACAGGTAAGTAGGAACGGTTCAGGCAGGCGGGTGCGAGTGCGGGTCAAAGCGTGTGGGTCGTGGGTCAGGGCCAAGGTGTCTAATGGTTGCATAATTAGGCGTGTGTCTTATTTACGGTAGATTCAATTGGACTAAAAATCCAATTGAAATAAACTCGAACTTACACATTGTCAGAATAATTTTTCGATAGTTTTATTAAAGAGTTGGTTGAAAAGAAAATGGATATAAAAATTTAAAAACTTTAAATGTTGTAGTTGGATAAATAAAAACTTTTTTTTAAGCCTCATTTACAATGATTTCGAAAATAAAGGTCGTGTGGTAGAGATAAACTACCAAGCACCAAGGGAGCACCACCCAAATTATTTTACGTGGATACAGTCCGCACGTGTTGTCCGTAGCACCTCACTGGCTCACATCTGCTATTCTAAAATAGAGATGAAAGCTCCTCAATGTGGCATTGGCATTTGTTCGATGAAGTGCATGGATTAATTGGAGAAAAGGGTTTGTTTTCAATTTTAAACACAAGTAACACTATTTAGTCTATACTATTTTTTATAAAAAAAAAAATGTTACCTTTTTAAAAGAAATTTACATTAAAATATTATTTAATTCAAATGAAAATCTTAATTTCAAAGAAATCCCAAGCATTCTTGCAGCTTGGCGATTGATTGAGCCTAAAGGAATTTACGTGTGCTTGAGCATGGAATATTGCTCGCTTATCATCTTGCTAGTACCTACATCTAAATATATACATAGAGAAATTACTTATTATTATATTATTATTATTATTATTATTATTTATTTATTTATTTGTTTGTTTGTTTGTTTGTTTTTTGAAAAAATTGCAAAAATTATTGTCCATGTATACCTCATTATCATTCTTGTTTTATATTATATTGTTGGCAAAATATATCGACTTAGAATATATTTTACCCTAAATAAAGACAAAAGTGATAATGAAATATAATATAGAAATATTTTTTAAAATTTTTTGTATGTTTTCCCCTAAATGCCCAGCCAAGCAAATACAAATAATAGAAATAGGAAGAGAAGGCGTTGATTGGATTGTTCCTCCCCTCCCCTCCCTTTTCGTCTTCTTCCTCTTCCTCCTCCTTCTTCTTCTTCAGATGTTCTGACTCATTATCATCGATCGATCGATCATCTGCGTTATTTCTCTATTGCATTGCTTCACTTCCTTGATTGTCTTCGTCGTCGTCACAATCATCTGTCGTCATTTTTATGTTGGATCCAAATTCATTCATTCATTCATCTGTGCGTTATTGTTCCAATCGAATAAGATAAGACCGTACGTACGTCGTCGTCGTCGTCGTATAAATGGGGAGGAAAAACAAAAGACTAGAAGACTACGTCGACAGGAGGCTTCCCAGACTTGGCAGCTACGCTATTGCTTCTTCCGCTAGAGACCCTACCTGCGTCTCCTGCACAACTTTCAACATTCTCGCTCCTATCTACAAACGAATCAATCAACAGGTAGGTAAATTCATCCATTCATTCATTGATGTTCCGCTTTTTTCCAATTCTCCTCGATTAATTTTCCATCGGATGCTCCTCTTCTTCTGCCATGGACGACATTCATATATGTATATGTATATATATATATATCGATTTCTGGAACGAAAAGGAAAATAGATTGATATTCCAATAATCTGTTGCAGGATCCCCAACACAGAGAAAGTGATATCAAAGAAGTTTGGATGAAAAGGAACAAACGGATTTTGGATTGGCTTTTGAGTGAAAGATCTGCAATTATCTGCCTCCAGGTTTAGCTTTAGGTGCTTCTAGTCTCCTCTACATCGATATCAATCGACCATGTGATGTGTCTCTGTTGCAGGAATTCTGGCTTGGGAATGCAGAGCTGGTAAGCATTTACGATAAGAGGCTTGGAACTGCTGGCTATTACACTTTCAAGCTCGCTAGAACAAACAATCGAGGCGATGGTATGTATGCATATATGATTGTTTCCAATCTAATGTGTTCTACTATTCATCAATCAATCAATTTCAATTGGATCACTTTCGAAATTAAACAGGTCTCTTCACTGCTGTGCACAAGGACTACTTTAGAATCATCAGCCACAAAGGTTTGCTGTTCAATGATTTTGCGGATCGTGTTGCTCAGCTAGTTCACGTCGAGCTAATTGCTCCCTTCCGAGAAAACAACAACAACATCAATGTCGGCCAGCAAATTCTCATAGTCAACATCCATTTGTTATTTCCACACGATTCGAGTTACAGCTTGGAGAGACTGCGTCAGGTATTCAAAATTTAATCAAAACTACATCCGTTTAATCGATCGTTCGTTCGATGATTGTGTTGATAATGTTTTGTTTGGTAGCTAGGTCTACAAAATCCTGCATTATCTAGAGTCGTATCAGAAAGAAAACAAGCTCAATCCCTTACCTGTTTTGCTCTGTGGGTATGTATGTAGTCCTGTTTCAGCTTTCCATTTCCATTTCCATTTCCATTTCCATTTCCATCTCCATGGAAGCTACTTGAGGTGATCTTTAATTGATTCATTTAAATTGAATGAACAGTGATTTGAATGGGAGCAAGAAAGGTCATGTTTACAAGTTCCTCAGGTCTCAGGGATTCATATCATCTTATGATACAGCACATCTGTATGCTGACACAGATGCTCAAAAGGTTTTATATATATATATATATATAATAATAAGGCTTTCTTTGGATTCTTAATTTTGTAATTGATATTATATATTTGTTGGTTTGAGTTATGAAATTATTAAATTATGAATTATGTGCAGTGGGTGAGCCATCGAAATCATCGTGGGGACAATTGTGGTGTAGATTTTATACTTCTGCTCAATCCTAATAGATACAGAAGATTGCTCAAAACACCTTGGAGTGAAGCTCTATTTGGAATGCTCAAGGTAACTAACAAGTAATAATACTCTCTTTGTCTTACCAAAGTGTGCTCAAAATCTATTTGGTATGAAAATTAAAAAAAACGGTATCTCAATATTATTTTTATATATATATTTTTTATAGAGAATAGATCATAGGCTGGTGTTTATATTCAGTGAGCTTATATCGAATTTATTTTAACCATTGATTATACATCTAATAATTTTAATTGAATTAATAATATTTAATCAAATGTTGTAGTTAGATTCAGCAATGCTGAATTTATACTTTCAACATGGGATTCTTGTCTTTATTTAAAGATAGAATTAGAATGTTTATAGGGTTTGGTGATGTAAAATTTGGATTATAGTAGAAAGAATGTAAGAAATAATACGAGGATTCATTATTGTCATTTGTGTAATTAGATGGAATAGTATATATAGATTTAAGAACGAATTATACTCTTTTCGTCCCATAAGTAATTATTTGTTTGTTTTTTTGCACGAAGTTTAAGGTATATTAATATTATATTTAGATGCCGTAGGAATAAAGTAGAAATAACTAAAATAATCATATTGTGTGATATAAAAATAATGACATTTATGTAATATATGGTAAGTTGTAATGTTAAGTAGGATAGTATTACTAAAAAAATGGATACTTTGTTATCAGGCGTACCAAAATTGAAAATTGGATAGTTTGTCAAGAGACGAATGGAGTATTTTTTTTACTAAATATATATAGTATAAGCATATTATTTTTTATGTACAATTAAATAATAAAATGAGTATATTTTTACAATATAGAGATATTATTAAGAATTATTGTGCGGGATACATTGCTCACAGCACAATATATAGCAAAAAAAAAAAACAGCATATTATATAAGAAAAAGGACAATAAATGGGATGACCTAGTGGTGTAAGAATTTGTGACCATGAGGTTATGGATTTAAATTTCTGATGCATCGGGTCTTGTCTGTCATACATAGTTCATCTAGTATGACCTGACTTGTAATGATCGTGGATTTTCGAAAAGTAAAATATCTTACAAGAAATCTAAATATATATATATATATATGATTTGGTTTGGCGCATGCAATGGATGCAGTATCAACTGAGGAGAGTATCGTTAAGTGAGGACGATGCATTTGCGTTATTAAAGGCAGGGAGCAATGGGGATTGCATCAACTACTTGGGATTCTGCGAAGCACTCAGACGGGTAATTAATCAATCTTGTAATTTCTAATTATATTTGGTTTAATTTAATTTAATTTAATTTGTGTGACAATGATGATGATCAGCTGAACTTGATCGGTCCCTATCATGGATTGCGGGTTGATGAGATGAGGGAATTGTGGATACAGGCAGATATGGATGGAAAAGGCTTTATTGACTACAAAATATTCAAGGTACTTTTCTCCTCTCTATTTTATCATTTTAATATATTTTTTTTAGTTATTATAGTTTCGACATATATTAAAAATTAAAACATTATATTTTATCCTTTTAATTAATTTAGTAACTGTAATTTTCACAAATACAAAAAAGGAAAACATTAGAAAAAAAAAAAAAAAACGTTTATTTTACAACAATATTATCAACATAATTTAACTACATTAAAAAATGTTCATATTGCTAAAATTATGTACTCCTGTGTAGATATACATTTGTTTTTGGAAGTAGTAATTCATAATATTTAATTGTGTAAAGATTTTATTCATACATTAATTGATTAAGTATTGTGTTTGATATATAAAATGAAATCCCTGAAAAATTATAGTAGAGTGAATGCAAAAAGTAATAGATATTTTGATTCATGAATAACTATTAAATATTTTTTATTTTATAAAATATCATATCAAATATTTAGAGTGTGTTTAGTTATATGTTGTTTTTAGTTGAAGTGAAAATGATCTAATTAATTCTTATTTACTTAATAATATAATATATATATGATTAAAGTAAATTTAAATATTTAAAAAATAAAATTTCACTAAAAAATATATAAAAATGTATATTATTTTCTATAATATAAATAAATAGATATAAATATAGTTTTCAATGTATATAAATACAATTATTTATTAAAAAATTAAAATTAAAAATAAAACATATGCAAATATAAATATTATTATATAAGAAAAATAAATAAATAAAAATATTTATTTATGATTTATATAGCTTAATTTTATAAAACTATTTATTTATTGAAAAAAAAAACCCAAAAAAAATAGTGAGTGTAGTACCAATGAGGGTTGGGTCTCAGATTCGATCCTAGGTGGGTGCGTGTGTGCATGTCTTGGGTGAAATTTCCGCTAGGAATTGAGTGTGTGCTTGTGTTTAAAAAAAAAAAAAAATCGTAACTAAATACACCCCTAATATTTTCCGTAATTTTATTATAAAAATATTTCAAAACTCTGAAAAGTTCCATCTAAACGGAGCCTATTATTTACAGCAGAGAATTTGGAATTCAAAGTCAGAGGTGGTGCAAGGAGATCATAAAGTGAATAATAACAATAATCATACTCATAATAGTAATAGTAATGAGGTACGGCGGCAATGGCACAACAGCAGCAACAATGGCACAGCGGAGCAAAGCATTGGATTCAGCGTAAAGGCAGCGGTTCTTTTCCCGGCCGAAGTCGAGAAAGGAAAGTGGCCGGAGGATTACGTCCTCTCCGATCATGCTCGGCTCACTGTTGTCTTTTCGCCACTCAAAATGCCTTCTTTTTCTTCTTCTTCTTCCTGATCTTTCTTCGAGTTTTACACTGTAAGTAAATACAAACAAGGCTATGTGTGAATATAAAATCTAAAGATTTTGGATATAATTTTTATTTTTCTAAAAAAATAATTGATTAAAATTATAGAGATATAGTCTTCATAAGAGAATACTTAAATTTTAATTAAAATGTACTCTTACTTTTTTTTTTTTACATATATTATTATTTCATTGGTGAGAATATAGAAACTAGAGTGTTATTGGTATAGAGAATTTGAAGTCAACAAAACAAATCTAAAAATATAGAATAAGTATGAAGCAAAAACCTGAAAATAGTTAAATGATTCATTTGTCCTAAAAATATGTCAATAAATTTTATTTTATTTTATTTTTGTTTATATTTTTTTTATAATTGACAAAAGATATTTATTACTACTATTTATCTACAATACACTGTGTCCAATATTATGAATAAAAAGTGGATTACCTACAAGAAATTTTTGATTCAGCACTCATGAATTTTATCAGCATTATTAGTTAATTAAATCATTTATTTGTTTAAAATATTTCATATTAATTTCAGCATGTGCTTATTTATTTCTCAATCAACAATTCTTTATATATATATATATATATATATATATAGAGCTGTTGTGCTGATCCGGTCAAGTCAACATAGTGCTATTTTGATCAGGCCAGCATATGTAATATGGGTGACCAGCGTATGTTTATATATATATATATATATATTAACATATGTTGTTATAACATAAATGAAATATGTATAAATATATATCGATTATTTTTATAGCATATAGTATATGTTGATCTTGTCAAAATAGCAAAATGTTGACTAAACGGGATGGTCATATATATATATATATATACACCTCTGTCATTCAAATTTATGTTTACTTTTTTTTTTGGATTATCATCGAAAAAAATAATTATATTTTTATATTTATTTTTACTATAAAATAAAAAGTAATAATTATTATTCACTTTTACTACAAATTTGCAAGATGGAGGGAGTATTATATATTAAAGAAGAGAGATGAGCGTAGTGTAGTAGGGTTAAATGTATGAAATTAAAAACGGGTAGGGTTGAATGAATGCATCAAAATTTTAAAATTCAAATGCAAAGAGCACCGAACACGTGTTTTGAATTTAATCTATATTGTTGCATCTCATTTCATCCATTATTCATTATTCTCTACTGCAACCACTGCCTATTTATTGGCGGGAACATATATACAATAATAATATTAAAGGGCTTTTTTCTTCAACTTTTAATTTTTTTATCTAATAATAATAATAAACAATTCTCAAGCCAAAAAATTGTGTCTTTGTTTGGGATTTGGATTTTGAGTTGAAATTTGAATAGTAAAAATTTTGAATTTAATGAGTTTTTAATATAGTTGTTTAAATAAAAATTATGTATTAGATGCAATTTTTACAAAAAAAAAAATATGACAACTAATGTCAAAACAAAATTGACCGGTATAAAAATGACATAATTACAATAGTATTTTTTTTAGTAATAATTTTATTTTTGGGAAGTAGTTAACAGTTACAGCTGTATTATTATTAGGCTACTGGCCGAACTTAATACTCTGCAAATCAGGTGGCAGGTGGAACTGAAGCGTCGGAGATTTGAACCCATAACCTCACTATTACAAATCCAACCTCTACACCACCAACCATCCATTACGGGACTTTATTATTAGTTGTATTTGTATGGTTGTGGAACATACGTCACTCGCCTTATTTTTATATTCCTTCTAATATTAATGTTATTAAATACTACATGTCCAATGCACGTGAGTCATTTAAAAATATGTTACATATTCATTAATTTAATTATAATGGAATTCGTAAAATACTTCAAATTAAATAACAAATTTTCTAATTTCTTATAGCCAATTTTATACTAATAATAAAATTAATGATATGTGATATAATTGTATATGACACAATTATTTGTGCTGAAGTTTTTGATTCAGGTACTGATAGCACTGATTAATTATATTTACCTATATATTTATAATAGTGTGTTCATTCAATTTGTTATTTATTTACTATGTAAGATTGTTCGATCTTTTTTACTTTACAACTATTTTAATTTTTTTCTTAGCCTAATCTTTACAATTTTTTATAAAAATATACTGTTCAATTTTATTTTATATTTATATTTTAATCTTTTAGTGAAAAAAAAAATAAAATAAATAAATGTAACATAACAAAAGTTATAACTTAAAACACAAGTGAACAAACGACAATTTTTTCTTGATTATATTTTGCTTTCGATTTCATACAAAATATTACATTAAAATAAAGTGATCATACACCCTTGATTCCTTCTTACATACATTAATTGACAAAAAAAAAAAAAAAAACAAACAAACAAACGAAAGCCCTAATTTGCCAAAACTGCCTAGCTACCCTAAAAACAATCTAATTAACAAAACATTGAAGCATTAATTAATAATTTAGACAACATTACATATTATTAAATTCACGTCGACCTAGTTGGCTGGCTATTAGGTTCTGTTGAGGTTTAGCCAGTGCGTACTTTCGAATAGCAGATAGATACAGTATTTCCACATTATATATATATATAAAAAAAACTCATTGTCCTAATTAATTAATTTTTTTAATTTTGTTTTTTCAAATGAACGAAAATTGAATCTCAATCCTCTAAAATATATATATAAAAAAAAATAATAGTTCAGCCACTTGAGCTACGATCCCTTCACACAATTAATTAATTAGTTAATTAGTGTCGCCCTGAGAAGCACCTAGACGAGCCGAGGTCGTGAAAGTTGGCGTATCGACTAGGCGCAGACGGGCTCGGCGGCCCTTTTGGCTTGCATTCATCGACGACGACTACTTGATTGTGGTGACGGTTTATCGGGAAAGCCGTGGCTGCCAAAGTCGTCGAGGGGGCGCTCGGAAGGATCGGGTAATGCCGTCCCGTCGCCGCCTCGGGGGAGAGGAGAATAAAAAAGACAACAAAATGGATCAATTTCTGGCATAATGTTGTTGTGATGAAGGAGACAAACATGTTTGAATTTTGATAGTGTATAGAATATGGTATATTGAGGTTTGTTATTACAGTTAGGGATATATATAATTCAGTCACTCGTGGTCTACTTATAGAGCTATGGTGTTGTATGTATTTATGGCTAATTTGTGTCGAATGGTAACAAGTGTATTTATTATTGCAATTAATTTGTATGTGTGTGTTTTGGAAATTAGTTGTAAGGAAGGGGGAGGGTCACAAAGGAGGGTATATAGATATCAAATTGGGAAAGTTGTTGATCGGATTAAATCAATACATATATATAATACTATTTTCGTCCAGCTGTAAAAGTCTCATTTACTTTTTGCGTATTGATCTTGAATATTAATTATTATATTAAAATGTAGTACAAATTAAAAAGAAAATTGCAAAAATACTTTCATTAGTTTCTTGTAACACTAATAGAAAGACATTTGTACAAATACATATATATATATATAATATTTTTAATGTTAAATACAATGACGCAAAAAGTAAATATGAACTTAGAGCTTGACGGAAAAGTATAATTTTACATACAGTACAACACATGCTTCTATATGACATAGTATTATGACGTATTATTAGCATATATTGTTAATTATATATTAAGATCAATTGTGATATGTATTATGTAGGCTGTTATTAAGTACGATCAATTCATATATTGTGTTATATTGTATTATCATAAATTATATATTGTCTGTCTATGTTAGTGTTAATATATGATAAATAATGGCATTAGTGATAATATATTTTGTATAAACCATTGTCATTTATTGTTAATTCATAAATTATATTTGTATTATGCATTAGTCAATATTAATGGTGAATAATATATATATATATATGTTTATTATATACGGCTATATGTACATTTTGCAACAATTAATGGGTTTTGTTTTCCTAGAATTAATAGCAAGAAGGGGGCCTCAAGGATTGGTTGGGGGGGGGGGGGGGGGGGGGGGGTCGTTGTGAAAGTTGGAGAATACATATTGAATGTTATGAAATTTACTTCTTAGGGTGTTATTTTATTGTCAAAATCTACACAATTTTTTTATCATTTAAATTTTAAAATATATATTTTATTCTTATGAAAGATTATATTAAATATTTAAAATATTAATTATTGAAATAAAAAATTCAAACCTTCGGGATTCATACTCAAAAGAAACGCACTACAAAAAAATAATATATTTGTAACAGAATTCCGTCCCTAAAGTTCACGTAGTTAACGTAATTTCATTCCTAATTCCGTCTCTAATGTCATTAGTAACGGAAAAAGTAAATTTAGAGACAAAAAAATTTGTTACAAAAATAATTTTTTCTGTATAACACACTTTAATTGTCTGCTAATTAATTTGTAGTTTCTAGTAGCTCTGTCCATTTAATGTCTTAAATTTGTTTGCAATGATATATCGACGAAAGCTAATTTAATGCAAAAAATTAAATGTGAGCTATCATGATTTCCATGAGTAAATGAGTTAAGTCCTTTAATTCCATTTTCAAGTACTCAACTTGCTACTCTTGTGCATGCCTATTGGAATTTGTTGGAACTATGAATATATATATATATATGTATGTATGTATATATCTAGAGAGTGAGAGGGGCCATTAAGGTGCCAAATCAACACCATAGCATATATATATATATAATATAATATATTGTGTTATACAGAATTATATCTTTTGATGTATATTGTATTATTACGTGTTGTCAAATATGCGTTGTTGTCTTATTATATATCAGTACAAAAACTGAATTGATATGAAAAAATTGCAAAATCATGTACATATGTTTAATTATCAATCTTATTTTTTTTAATTGTCATCTTAATAAAATAAATTTTGTGTGAGTTTCATGTTTGCTAAACCCACGCGATGCTACCGTTGAGTGACACATTAGACAATATTGAATAATATAAAATATGTATGAGATATTTTTAGTGAAAATATCACATATCCATAATATTTTGCTAGTGTTCAAAAAGTGCAAGTGAGACTAGCCGAGTAGGATAAACGCACAATCAATATACTGAAATAGTAAAATTGTGACGCCTGCATAATATATTTTACTATGATAACAATTAAACAACAAAAGTAATAACTAAATATACATACAATATATTTTTTTTACAATTCCCCCTAATTGATATATACTGAAATAGTAAAATTATGACACTTGCATAATATACTTTACTACGATGACAATTAAAAGACAAAAGTGATAATTAAATATATGTACAAAATATCTTTTGCAATTTTTTTCAAATTGAGATATATATATATGTTGCGGTCATTGTGGTAAGTATAGTGTTGGATAATTTATTTATTTTTGCTTTTAATATAATAAAATTTCTTGATATAAATTTACCTAATTTTGATGATGCATTGTATGTGACTTTTCCTTGAGATAAGAAACAGTTTTTGGTTGGTCCACAAGGGATCGTAGAGTAATGTGTGGTGGATTTAAACCCGACGCCTTCAGGTCTTATATGCCACACATAGTTCGCCTAAGTATGACTTGTTTTGTCAAATTTAGTTTGTAGGCTATTAAGTTCGATCATAGATTTACCCAGAGCGCACTCGTCGAGTATCGGCTGCAGATTCCGATTATAAAATAAATAAATAACAGATTTTGGTTGATGCAATTGTCTGAGGTTCTATTTTACTTTTCTTAGGTTTGTAAAAATTATTAATATCAATGTCAATCATTACTTCATTTCAATTATTTTATTTTATTTTTATTTATTTATTCTGTCAATCTTTTTGGATTTCCTTATTTATCTTTCTTGGTTGTTGCTGTTGATTCACTTGATGATCTTTCCTAACATCTGTAGTGAATAAATGACACTTAATTTCTCTTTAGAAAGACTCAATGAGTAGTACCATAAAATAGTTATGATTTATAAATTACTATCAATCTAATTCCGCTTGTACCAACCGAGATAAACGAATAAGAGAAAATTAGTCGTTCAAAGATCAAATGTAATTTTATTAAAGGTAAATTATATAACAATTCTTTGTTTTTCAGTAAAAATGTACAAAATACTTCATATTTTATTTATTGTATGAAACTCCTTATGTTAAATTAAAATATATATAAGAAATGTACACTAAGGAATGACCTAGTGAGGTAGGAATAGACTCGTGACCATGAAGTTATAGATTCAAATCCCGACGCTTAGGTCTTTATGAAATGATCAAATATTTCATTTTAAGACCCTAAAAGGTGTGTTCCTTTGGCCCGGACTATGCAACCAGTGTAGACTGGGAAAAAAGCGAAGTTTCGCACGACCGTGCAACACTTTAGCAAATTTAGTTGTTACGCAGTGAAAATATAAAACTACTCGTCAAATGCACTCTGGTAAACCCGTGGTCAAATCTAATAGCCTGCAAATTATATATTAATTTAGCCTAAAGAAAAAAGAGTATCTTGTATAAATTACTTAGCACCTAAAAATGTAAATGCAAAACCAAACACGAAGTGAATTTATATCGTATCATAATATGTATAGATATGTATTTATAATTAATAAATTGTTAAGTACCTAAAACATATAAATGCAGAACCACAAATGAAGAGGAATACTGATATGATCTACTCACATTCAATGTATAACAATGAGTAAACTAACTCATCTAACAAATAAGCCACCTAATTTGGCATCGTGGACTTAAAATTACAATTCTATCTGCTTATAATTTTATTTTTTTCATTTTAAAAAATTATCATTATTTTTTCGTTACTTTTTCAACCTATACATTAATTTTTATCAATTTTTAATAAGTTTTTTATAATACTCTAATTTTGATGTATTAGACAAAAAAATTCTTTTACAAAAAGGCATAATTTCTTATAATTTACTTGTAGTTTGAAAATTTTATACCGTCTCTCGCTAAAAAATTACATAAAACTTCCTCGTGTTTTAATAATATTGCACACAAATTTCTAAAATTTATATAAAACTCCCTATTTTCGAAAACACTATACATAATCCCCTAAAAGAATTTTGTGCAATATTTGAAAATATAAAAAATCTCATACAAAATTTAAATACTGAGAAAGAATTGTGCATATTTTTTCGCCTTTGTAAGCAAATGGTAATAAAAGTTTGCAAGAAGAAACCATCAGCTACAATTGTAGAATAAGATGCACTCTGAGTAAACCTCAAGTCGAACCGAATAACATCCCTTACGGGACAAATTCCTCCCATTTGTAATATTCACATAACATCCCATTGAACTATGAAGAAGCATTTTAGCAACAAATATCAAATTTCAACTCAAAACAGGTTTATCTAATACTACCTCCGTCGTTCAAACATGTTCCCATTTTCTTTGTATTTTACAAAGGAAATAGGAACATATTTGGGTGCCAGAGGGAGTACTAACTTCAGCTCAACAAGAATGAATCAAATAAGTATAGAATCTCACTTCGGTTAGCCAGCCAGGCCAAGAGAAACAAATAAAGAACTCATTATCAGCACTTATTCCCTCAATTTTCTTGATTCAATACAACAGCAGTAATTAACTTCAACAGCAAGAGGATATCTATTTATATGTATGTGTATACGTATGTATAATATTTTACAAAGGAGACACCAAGAAAAAAAAAAATCAAGATAGATCATACATAAATCGAAGCAGGTCGTCCATTTTACAAGTGCCGTATAAAATATGGAATCGAGGAATCACCAAACAGACTCACAATATAGTAGCAGCTAGATCCATATGAGGATTATTCTATCTTTTCCAACACTTCGAGCTTGGTTTTCCTCTTCCAGCCTTTTGATGCTGCCACGAGGTTTACGAGCCCAACAATTTGGCTTTTACTGTATTCCTGAAACAGCGAGACGGGAAATTAATATGCTTAAAAGTGTTGAAAGTTACAAGCAGCATTGTATGGGGATTTAGGTTAGGGATTTTTTTACCGGATGAACACGTGCCCAGTGGACATATTCGGTTTCTGGAAGGTAGTACGCCTGTTTATAAAATGACAACAGAAATTAACAGTTTAAACTCGGAAGTAGGAAAGCATTAATCTATTAATCATTGTTGAATACTAACAAATTTTCTCACCTTGATAAAAGATTCTACTATCTGCATTTTTGGCCTTACGTCAATTGGGACAAAGTGCTTTAGGCCATTTATCAAAACCTGAAAAACAGAAACCTCCATCAAATCTAAAAGGAAGAATTATGTCCGTGGCATTGTAGAAGCAAGCAAATCCAGACCTGAAGATCCAATGACATCAGGGCTCGCCCTTCGTCAGTGCATTTCTTTACCCTTGAGAGGCCCTCAACCAATGTTTCAGCAACAATTTCCAACCCATATTCCAAGAGGAGATCTTGAACCTGGTAACAGAACAGTGTTAAATAGTGAAAATGGATGTCACAATACCCAGATGCATTTACTTCAATGTTTAATGTGCGTATCCCACAACTACAAAAAGTAGCATGCCAAGATGCACGAAAGTCCGGAACTTCTGCTAGCTCATTATTAATCTCAGAATTAGGATCACAAGTTCTTTTAACATTAACAGTTAGAAGATTATCTTGATGCATCTGTGTGAAACAGTTCAGCAATTTGCTGACCATTTTGTTGTATGTATAAATTTGATTGAAGAATCGCGCATACCGGAAAGCACTTATTACCTCTTTTTGAAGGCCCCCATGAGCAAGTCTCGTTTTGTAGTGCTTGAATTCTCCCAGTAATAAATCAACATACCTAAATCACCACAAACTAGGGCATAAACATATTCTGAAATAAATCTGTACAAACAACATAAGAGTGTATGGCTAATCCAATACGACAAATGTATGGGAACTTTCACTCATGGTTCGAGTACAGCGACAATAAACTTATAGAGACAAGGAAGCCAAATCCACATAAAAATTCACAAAAAGTTTTGCAACTGACAGAAAACAGATCAAACTCAGATAGTACAATCAGTCAACCAGCAGACCATTCTACTTGCCAGGCAGGTCTTCTCAATTAAAAATTTTGATTCTCTTCATAAGCCATCATCCTCCTTTACTTAATGCGTAAACAAGTTGAAAGGAGTAAGGAATACATGGAATGTAAGTTGGACCAAAAGGTTTGGTTTTTTTTCTAGCCTAGTTGGACATTGGCAATCAGCCTGCCTCTTGCTGGCCTCCAGATGTTGACACCTGATTGAACCTAGTATCAAACAGCCTATAACTGGTCTTCACTTTTCTACCCTAGATGATTCTCTGGACTATCTTACTCTGTTGTGTTCATAGTTTATAATCACATAAAGGAAATCAATAGTAGAGGCTGTGGCACATTGAGGCACTTTCTTTCTGAGTGATTATTTTTGGCATCGAATGTACCTAGAATTTCAAACCAGCTGCCAATACTTCAAATAGAAAAAGAAAAATACAATAAAAAAGAAAAAAGAATGAATCAACATAAGGGGGGGACAAGAACTAGTTCTAAAAATGCATTGTATCCACTATTTCCTTAGATAAAAACTGGACGTAAAGTGTAATTGTAGCATATAGTTGAGGACCCAGATAAATTACCCATTGTGCTCTAATCCAAGCTCTTTCACCTCCCATTTAGCAGCAGCAACACGATCAACATACCTGATCAATTCTTCCAATCAATAGCTTTACAAATAGCTAAGAAAGTATCAATTGCACTCAAGCAAATACTAGAAAATATAATTTTCTTTTAGCAACATGTTCGTTCTATTTTACTTAATGCTCAAATAGAAGTGAGATCCAAACAACAATTTCTAAACAGGCAAACACTGCCTTGATTAATGGCATGTTAAATGGGACTGTTAGATATATTGTGTAGGTCAATCTTGTATCTAGAATAGTGTAGGGACCTTTTTTTTTTTGTTATTTTAGATAGTTGTTTATATTTTAGGGTTTATTCTTGTAATTTTTTTTTCTCAATTGGAATGAAATAGGATCGAGCTCTCTACAGGGAGAAAGACCTAATACCAGTATAAAATTATTATAAGGAATCTAACACAGCAGAACAATTTGTTCCACTAGATTTGATCTATCAATCATTCATGGAGCAATATGCTATTGTGTCTCACCCATTAATATGGAGCAGCTGCTTTGCTGTTGTTCTGTGAATGTGCTGTGTAAGTTCCGGAACAGCATCCACCTGTCAAAATTTGGGCAGTCAAACAACTGAAATAACTTGAAATAGTATTTCAGTGATGATGATAGAACCGGATATTAGTTTATGACAAATGCAACTTAATATTTAATAACAGGAACAAATTTGGGAGAGATTAATAGCATCGATGAGTGATAATTCAAGCTGCAGGTTATGCAGTGATCATATATATCACGAAATCTGAAAGGCAAAAAAAAAAAAAACCAGCATTTTTCCAAACCAGCTTCAGTAATGAAGGTGTCTTCAACACTCACTGTAATCATGCAGTTTATTAAGACAAACTTATTTACAAAAGCTTCCATTTTCAGAGAATCGAAAACATACCAAATGATCATAAAAGTCCTCAATTATTGAACCATTATTCTGCTGAAGCATCGATTGAAGGTGGGCCTTAGATCTATGTAATAATCGAGCAACAAGAGATATAGTGTCAGCCCCAGCACATCTCTCCTGCAGAGTTATATTAATCCACATTATTTTACATAATAGTGAAATGAGGGAAATATTAATAAGTCTTTGTCTATTTACTAGTAAAAATGAGACATTTCTAATGATTCGTAGATCACTCAGATAAATGTTGCATAAATATCTGATGCATGTTAACTTATTTTCCAGAATGCCCGAGGCAACGTCAAAAAAATAAATAAATAAATAGAAAACAGTAGATGAATCACTAATTAACTTCAGATAGTTTAGAATAAAACTTTCAAGCTAGATAGTAATATTGAGCTTTCATGGATGTATAACTTCATCTGTAAAATCAATTCAGAAACTATATGACTTTGCGGAAAACACACTTTTGAGCCAAGAACAAAAATATGTTTAAACCTGAACATCCCATTGAAATGTTGTTTGTATGGAGATAGTTTTTAGCTCATACAACTACATCAAATGAATACACCCTCCAGTAACAGATTTTTATTTCATTACCAAGTGCGCAATGCCAGCACAAGGATGGACCACTGGACTATCAAATGATAGCGCCTGGCATTGTTGGCACCTTCATTAGGAAACACAGCAGGTCACACCCACATTGCCATGAACTGTTGAAATTATCATTTGGATTGTGTACATCACATTATAACTGTATACTACCCTCTTATGCAGCATTGAACAAATGTAAAAAATGGAGGTATTGTGACCATTTATGAATATAGAGAGAGGGAAATGAGTTAACCAAATATTAAGAGGGGAAAGGATTCTTTGTTCAAACTAGTCATAGAATAATTTCTGATGCTGAAAACCCTCTGCATGGCAGAAGAGAATGCAAGAAAAGGCAATCATCATAATCTACACATATACATATAAGTAAGATGTTTTAGAGTGCAGCACAGCCGCCTGCAATATGCTCCACAAGTTGTGGGAAGTATACAAGTATAAAAGAGGCAAACATGAACATCTGAAAGAGTAAAATGCATTGCTTTCATGTCAACTTTTAGAAGAAGTAGGAGAAATGCACTGAGAAGCTTCCACCCTAAACTGCTACAGTTACTGAACAATGACATGTTAATATATGCAGCAAATATAAGTGTAGCATTGACACACCTTGAGTCCAAAAGATGTGTGATTCAGGCGAGAGGGAGGACTTGTTGGGGTGACATCCATATGTGAAAATGATTGAGTTGTAGATGTTGAAGGTGGAGAAGAAATGGATATGGATTGGGATTTTATCCACTGGTCACAATCTTGTGCAACTCTTGATAATGCAGTCTTGAGCTTGTCTGAGGAGTATATACAAAAAGGAGTTTAGGAGAAGCGACCTACTGTAATTGCAAGTTACCCTTTCTCAAAGAGAACAAAGATCACACATATCAAGGCAAAACAGTACTTACAAGGAAGAGAGTCATTCAAGGTTTTCCCACTAGGTTGAGAATTATGGTCACCGAATGACTCAAATATAAAGTGGAAAAAGATCTCAAATAGTTGACAGATTCCCTGTATACAATGAATTCATTATTGAAAATAAAACAATAATAATAATAATAATTAATACGATAAACACAAACAGAATAAGTGCAAACACTCATGGAACCAATGGAGAAAGAAAGCATTCATAAGTTTACCTTAAAAAATTCAACATTTACAATCTCTAATTTCTGCATCAGTCGTGCATACTTGTCCATCAATCTGATCAAAAAGCAGTAGATAAACACAATTTTATGTTGAATTTATAGAAATTACAGATTCAGGATGAAATAAGTTTAAATAACCTTAAGAGACAAAGGGATGATCCTGTTTGGGCCGTCACATCATCATCATTTCCACATGAAGCATTATGTCTAGACCAACCTGGTTTGGAAACACGACTAGGAAGCTGACTATCTTCATCAATGAAATCTGCAAGGAGATCTTCATTTTCCTCTTCTGAAAGCAGAGCACCATTAACATGATTTACATCACCAGTCTCCGTTGAAGATTTAGTGTGATGCGGCGCATTATCATTATTTTTAGTTCCTTGTAATGAAGAACCATTGGAGCGAGAGAAGTTGGGAGATTCTTCAGAGGAGCCACTCAATTTAAATAAAAATGGATTTCCATTTTCCATCCAATATGAAAATCCGCCTCGACTTGACCCACTAACAGCTGGACCAACTGATCTATTGTCATTCATCATTCGCATATTAGAACTATCAGATGAAACTATCAGAGCCGCTCCATCACCAACCAGGCCTGAAAAACTAACTACTTGAATAGTGTCTCGTGGCATTATCTTCCAATTCTCCTTCTCCATCACCAGCTTTAGGGCCTGGAAGGCATATAATGACCAACGTCTGGTGATTCGTCATGAAAATCTTTAATAAGAACTTGGAGAAGAAAGTTCTCAAAATTAAAATTGTTGGTAAAAAGAAAATAGCAGGTTTGATAACATTAAAGATAGCATAAATAACTTTGCAAAAAAATTAAAAAAATTAATCAAGAAATCAGCAAGTTCTTATTGACGGTTAACTGCTTTGTGCTAATAATTGAATGAAAAGAGCAAACAGACAACTGGAAAGGCAGTGACTAGGTCAAAATGCATTATGTTCATGTCTCTATCAATTAGTAGTGGTTTCTACTAGTATTTAAATGAAAAATAAAGTTGAACAATTAAAAAAAAAAGGTTCATCCATACACACCACCCTTCATTCTCAGAAAAAACCTACAGGCTGATTGATATGAACCAAAGATCAAAACTCAGCTACATTGATTGGCAAACCACTAAGGAGTCCCCTAAGGATTACTAGAAAAGTGTTTTCTTGTTTTGACCTATTCTATCAGGGGCCCATCCCTAAAGGCAGTGACTAGTCATACATGATCCCTACCTAATTTTTTTTAAAAAAAAAAAAAACATGCAACCAGTGCATTAAGCTAGGCAAACATAACAATGCATGACAAGTTAAACATAATTCAAGGAAAGCAGCACAAGTTCAATGATTTGCACTTACATAAATGTTTTGCTTATGGAAAGCAGCAAAATAACCTTCACAGGTGGATTTAAGTTTCTGGCGGAACTCAGTAGCTTGTATAGCACAAAAAGCTTCCCCAACCAAAATGAAGATACTCAAATCTTCATAGTTCTTAAGAAATTGATGAATGCTAGTTGAAGAAGCCGCTGAAGAAGAAAGTAAGACTGATAGACGGCTTGTTGTAAGTTGCCAAAGGTTCCTACGACCTCTCAGCAAGGTATGTGAAACATATGTCACTGCATCTTTTCGTAGTAAAAACCATGAGGTCCCACTACTTGATGCTGCACTTCCATCATCTCTTCCCTCGTTAGTTGGATGATCCATGGGATTGGAACCATGAGTTCCAGTAGCTCCAGATACAGATTCAGAACTTTTTTGCATTACTTCAGCTGAAGGTAACTGGATTTCGCTCTCAGTTGATTCCGTGTTTGAGCTTTCTTTAATTTTTGAGGTAGACGAAACTTCCTTTGCAGAATCTTTCACAACATTAGATAAGTCACCATGCTTCCCAAGGGGTGCAGGGTGAGTTGATGCCTGTCACAGAAAATATGGTGCTTTGAGAAACAGTTCTAGTATCCAGCAGTGACGAAGGCATTTCAAACATAACTACATAAAGGGTATATTTATCCATCTGAAAGATTCATAACCAATTTTCGACTTGAAGAATTTCTTTTTTTTAATGGATAGCACTTTACAAACTGTGTTTTCTTATGAATTAAAAACATTGAACAAATGTTTTGCCTGTGAAGACAGATGCAAAAACAAATGTTGCTGCCCCTAGGTCAAAATGGTTGTGGTTGACTAGCATTAAAGATTGTAACAATAAAATATTGCCAACAGACGAAATTCGAAATTTTACCCACAGCCTAATTAGTGGCATTAATAACTTCAATATTAAGAAAAGAAGAAACATAGTGGAGAGGTAGCTTACCTTATCTTCTAGATTGAAGCTCATTATTGCATAATATGAACACATTAGCTTAAAGAGAACGGCTAGTGTGGCTAGTAAACATTGTCTGAACTTGGATTCAGGTATCAAAGCGCACAAATCGCTGTAGGTAAGCCTGAAGAGAAGAATAGAAAACAAGACATGATTACGCGATGGGGAAAAAAAAACGTCTCCATCTCAGTAGTAAATTGGAGAGAGGTTTAAGGTACTGGAATATAGATCATACCTACTAATTTGGATGCTGGGGTTCTCAACATCCTGCAGAAAATCAAGGTTCAAAATTTATAGGGTACAGAGAGAAATAATGTTTTTGGATGACATACAGAACCTAAAAAAATTACTCTACTTCGAAGATCTTTCATCCTTGAAAAACATGGGTAAGCAATGGAGATGTTACACATGATTGAAACAATTTGGAATAAACAGAAAAATGTGTTATCTAATGTTGGGTCATTGGAAAGTCCATTTAAATTGAAAAAACAAAATAAATGAAGGGTTATAAAACCTATGTGACAAAAGGTGAACAAGATTAAACCAAGGATAGTTCAAAAATAATCATTAAAATGGAACTGTGGGAAAACTCAAGTATATAGGCAAGTAATGTCTACTGAGTGCATTAGAAGGAAAGTATAGGTGTAACACCTATACATGCGAAAATGAGAGAAGCACACTTGAGATTATTTCCTCCAGTGCATAAGAGACTAGTGGATGAGTCATGACAAAGTACTAAATGTACAATATTTACCCCTTAGCTTATATTTACTAGAGAGCTTAACACGGTATGATGAAAATTTACTAGAGAGCTTAACTTGACATGTCATATTATTTTATAATTATTTCAATATTACATGCGATACTCTAAGTTGACCTAGTTCAATTATATGCCAAGATGCTATTTCAATTAATTGAAAACAAACCTCTTGCAATATGGTCCTTAACGCAGAGTGACTAACAGAGAGAACCTCTTGCATGAAGAAGCTTTGTATTTTTTCAGCTAGACCACACACATCTCCAATTAAAGCATATGCGTCAACAACCTGCCAAAAAGAGTAGACAAATCACCTCACTTTGGATTCACTGTACCACTGAGCACTTTTGTTGGATCAAGTTACAAAGCTATATACTGAAAATGGAACTTCATAGGTTTGCCTCAATAATTTTATATTAAAACAGAAAAGATACCTACCCCCTTTTTTTATAAAATCAAAGCAAGTTGGGGGTGGGAAGTTGGTTGATTCTCAAAGGAAACCATAAACATTATTTCATTTCCATCACATTTCAATGCTTAGATTAGATCGCTCAGGTGTACTAGGAATTTAGGACAACTTAATTTCTAGGAAAACAAACCAGAGATGCACACTTTTGTCGAATATGATGATTTCATAAGATTTAATATTTAATTTCCTGATTAAATATCATCACCTTCATAATTGTCCTGCTTTCATTGTTAGGCATTAACAACATGACAAACAGTCACATAAGGAGTATTCAGCTATTAAGTAGAACTGTATATATTAGAGGGCATCATAAATATGCAAGGTGAGTTGAGAACTAACAGTGAGATAGCCATCCCTCGTGAAGTCCTGGAACACTTCAAACAGAAGCGAATCCAGCTTTTGAAGAGTTCTTCCCAACCAAATCTGCAGGAAATTGAAAGATTGAAATGAGTGAACAATGATTCAAACTCCATGGAGATAAAAGGAAGAGAGCACAGTTCAGTGTCAGGATAAGAGACTGCCTAATATATGTTTCTATGTATGCACACACACACACATAAAGGGAGATCTTATACCAAGAGTTAAGAAAGAATCACCATTGGTTTTCAGATTTTGGCATATAACATAGGCTATGGTTTAATGGGATTAAAATATGTAACAATAATAAAACTTAATGAAAATAACATCCAATCCATAACAGAGTAATGAAACATTCTGAGGGGTAATGTTCCTTCTATGTATTTTCCAGATGAAAGCAAGCTATGATCAATTGCTCAATTTACCTCCACACCACGACTCATCTGCTGCACCACAGTGAGGCCAGACAAACTTTCCAGAATTTGCAAATACTCGGACAGTACTTGGAAAGCCTGGGGATAGAAATTTAAACCATTTACATGAAGTTTTCAACAAAGCATGAGAAAAATAATATACAGGGTCAAAACAAAATTTGCTTGCATAGACTGTAGGAGAGAACCATAATGTATATTCCTCTAGAATCTTTATATGGTTTAATAGACCTTAGAAAAATTTCCTTCCTCTACACAAGCATCAAGATTCATTTGCATTTCCATGGCATGACGAAGCTCAGTAAGGATAGGGAGCAGGTCCTGTAAATTACAACGGAATAATTAAAATAAAAGTATCACACCAATGAATATTCAATACAGCATAGTTTAATCACTGGTTTAGTATGATTCAATGAAAATAAAACTATGCCTGTGGCGTTATGGCTAACACAAAATGATTACATTAATTCATTTTGCTATTAGCCTTTATTATCACACTACATTAACAAAGAATAAGTGGTGACTCTGTTTTTTCCCTCGAATTGCTATGATTTTGGATGCTATGTTGATAATCTTGATTTGTATACATTTGTGGCATTATGCATGTACGAATCAGATCAAAGTTGAGACATAATAACACAAATTGTCAATTAAATAAGAGATGATGGAGTTTTATATTTTAATAATAATAATAATAGAAAATAAATAAATAAATAATCCGGAGTTAAATGGAAAGGCCATCAAACAGTGGAGAAGGGCATATATCCTAAATATGAGTAGTCCTTGCTCCACTGAACTTCTCATAACCACAAATAGAAATGCAAAGCATTGGTGCAATTAACCATGCTTGCACCTGCACCAGGCTGCAAGCTCGAAATATCAACGCATATGAGCCAACAGAACTTGGCATATTGTACATGAAAAAGTGCATTTTGGGATAGTAACCTCTAAAATTTTAGCAATTTGAAGATGAAAAGGAGAGAAAAGAACAGGATACACTTTTTAAGAAAAATAAAACGCCCTTGTTTCTAAGGAAGGCAAAATGGATTTATAAACAGGAAACAGATTCCTTCATTTATTAGATTAGATCTCATTCATTAGATGTTTGATAACTATCTTTTAAGATGAAATATAAATTTAAAAAACAATAAAAAATAAAAAATAAAAAAATCAATTGAAAAAGTATATAGGAACTGTGACGTCCACTTTTAGTTTGAATAGACAGATCATGATTAAAAAATATCAACAAGCCCTGCTGTCATATGTTTTTAACGGCGCCCTTTGAAGATCCAATAGAAAACTTTAACAAACAACTAAAAGCGGATTAATTCCACAAAAAAAATGCAAATCATGATTTGTAAATGCTCATAGTAATTGCAAATATGCCTTCTTTGAGGGTTTGACAAGGGAGGGAAAACACAAGAAAAGAAAGGCAATATTAATGAATGCAAGTTGTATTTGGGTGAAGAAAATTACCAGAAGAGCTTGCTTCCTTTTAGAATTTTCTGTAACAACAAGATCCCTGGAAACCTCAGTCCTTGATGAGGTAAGGTGTCTTCTTCCATTCTGCACATCAAAAAATATCAATGATGTCCACTTTGCAAAAAATTTAGCAACTGAATAATGGAAATCATTTGATACTTGTTGAATGTTTTCAAAGATCATCTCATTTGTATTTTACATAGCAGTTTACATTACTTCAAGAAATAATCGTGCCTGATTAGCTAGATACAGCTATTGCTGTATGAAAGACTAGCATGAATTGAAATGGATCAAAAAAAAAATCAAAAAGGAACAGCCGCTTTGGGCTAGGATTTGAGTTGAATGTTGTAATATAGTGGTTTGAAACTTATTCCAAACTGCTAGGGCATGATTGTTTTGGTGGTGAATATAAAACTGAAATTCTCTATTTCAATCATAAGAATATATACATATTTATACTAATATATAAATCGTAAGACAAGAATCCTACAAATCTCTTAAATCGTAAGAAAACTCTCAACACCGTTAGAGTTGGAAACAGGACTCGGTCACTCACAACGGAATTAGAGTCGAAAATAAGACTCGTTCACTCACAATGGGCTAGAATCAAAAATAAAACTCGCTCGCTCTCAATAAAGTTATAGACGAAAAAAGGATTCTCATTTAAATTAGAGTCGAAAACAGAACTGTCAATAGAGATCGCAGCAATGGAGACGACATAAAAATGACAACATGACCGTGAATAAAAACATATACATCAATAAAAAATAAAAACATACAGGATATAACGGGTCATGAATGTAACCGGAGAAAATTTGGCTCTGATAAAGGATCCGGGCTTCCAACTTAAAACTAATTGACATTAAGTGGAGTAGTCCTTCGGCCTTATATCCAAGGGAGAGTTCACAATTTTCCAACATGGGACAACAAAATTCAACAATGACAAAAATCACCTACTTACCATGCAAATAACACTAGCAATCTTCAAGTCCTTCTCTAGTTCTCTTACTAGATTCATCCCCCTCACTGAAACAAAATACAGTTATAAACTAAAGAAGCTCCAGAAAAGAAGCATTTCAAGATAGCAGGAACCCAAATTCATTCAAATCAGATTGTAGAAATCATACAGAATTATAACTATTACATGTAGGAAATGCACTGAAATTTATAATAGAAGGATACCATAAGATGCTAGACATGCCAGAAACGCCATCAGAAATGAAGCAAATATCATTTATCGAGGTCATGAACTAGATGATGAAATATCACTTCATGCTCTAAGTTTAACATGATTGAAATTCAATAGAAGACCTTAAGGAAATGTTTCCCATGAAGTCATGAACACCGGTATCAGCTGAAACCAAATTTTAAATAAACAGCGGATATAACTGACTTTTTCTGGAAAGAAAAGAAACAATTGTGGATGATTGAATAAGTAGCTATAGAGGAAAATACAATTGAAATATCACATTTAGCTGATACTGAGCAGTGAATGATGGATATGAAACCTTTTATTATTGTTCTGAACATCATCGATCAATTTTCAAATTTACAAATCATTGCTATAGATTTATAGTTTTAAGTTGAAGGTGTATTGAAGGGTTCTAAACAACGCAAAATGATTGGAGTTCTAACTCACTCAAAGAAGAGTTAGTAGAAACCATATCAATAATATGAAAGTGAAATTAATTCAGTCAAAATGACTAATAAATAAATCATATAAAACAAATGGAATCATCATATGACAGCTTGGAGAACTTTGCTACAATTCAGAAAAATTGAGGGAATCGTAAATGGTTACCTACCCATTTCTTCATGATGTTCCATCACATGGTGTGACAAGTGCTCGGAAATTTTCTCCAGTTGAGCTAGTCGAAGAGCAGCCTATAAAAGAATAGCATGCAGATTGATCTGTAAATAGCGGATATGTATGATATTTATTAAAACTACAAAATATTATTATACTCAGAGAACAAAACTACCCCTTACAAACTCAAAAGAACAGACAAGAAATTCGATAGAACAAAACAAAAACCATCAAGAACCTGAATGGCGTGCAGCTATGACAATAAAAGAACCAGAGTCCAAATAAAAGAACAAAGGGGGTGTAAGAAAGAAAAAGGGTAAAGAGCAATACCATTTCCTCAAAATATGCTGGTTCATTTTCTTCAGAGGGAATTTGTTCCAAAATAAATCTAACTGGATCAAACACCTAAAAATATAAAATCAAAAAGTTCACGTTAGGTGCATGCAAATAACACTCAAAAGAAAAGGGTTTGTCTGGTTGTGTTTCCCTGTCCCATTTTCACTACACATATACAATAATTTATTTTTTTCTCCTTCAAAAATATCACACCATAGATCTATTACTTAATTAATATATTACACATAAAATAAAAAGCAAAATTTTTATTCAAAACATCACCTCGAAATACATAAAGAAAATAACAGAAATAAATAAATAAATAAAAAGAAGCATAAAATCTTATATAGGTTGACCTTAAACAGTCATCAAAACTTATTTCAAGGTTATTACTTCTCTACTACTATCCTAGTAGACAGTCATCAAAATGCCATCCTCAACAGTTTCCTTTCTACTACTCTCCGAAATCCACAGCCAAACAAGTGCATCAGATATTATTTTACTTACTTAAAAAGGTGTATACCGAACTGTGCAACATTTATCGAATAACTATCATTCAAATACAGGGCAAATACCATTATCATCTTTAAGCAATAACCCATGCTCAATAGGCTGAGATTTACATGATTAAATACTTAATACTGATTTCTAAAGTTTAGGTTGTTGCAGAGTTTAGATGTCTGTCTGAACAAGTATACAGGCAGGCTAGCAAAAATTTTCAAAACAAGTCAAGGAGCACTGCAATAGATAACAAGAGATAGCCTATCAGAAATCGTCTATCAAGGGTCTGATAATGATTCAAATTTCACTAAGAGCACATCAATTCCATACACATTGTATGTTCCCATGTGGAAAAAGACAACAAAATCTCTTCCAATAGATGTATTTCTTCTATATATTTCATTACATAAAACCACCAGTAGAATTTTCATTTCTTCTATATGAATAGAGTGTTTATCTCTTATTCAAACAACTCCTTCAACAGATGATAGTTTTCTTGCTATCATGTCAAAAAAATTCAGATCAAATGAGAATATGAAATGCTTATGCCACTAGATGAAAATTATAAACCTCCTCATAGAATTCCTTCTCAAGCTCATCCACAGCTTGGCCACTAGTTTTATTGCCATAGAAGTCAAGGCTCTGATTTTCTGGTAGCTCAGCAAGAACGCGAGCTGCAGCTGCAGCTGCTGCAACCCGTTCTGGAACCTGTGTACAGATTGAATGCAAGTATACTGTCAATAACTTGGAGATTGGCATGAACAAGAATCATTAGTTTTAGGATTTAGTACACTCATACACTGTCAGATAGAAACTGACATTAATCAAGCTCTCCTGCCTTACATAGTGCTATTGCAATATACTTGTCAGGAGTTTGAAGCAAAGATGTCATCATAACTAATGAACCCTTTTTGTTTTCGCAAGTTTGTATTCTTTTAATTCAACTTGCAGAACAGATGAAGCAGGCAATTGTTTTCTAGCTAATTGGAACCTTTTCAACAGTAAACAAAAACAATTTTTTATGGATATTGGATAGCATTCAGATGATCTTCTCTAAAATTTGCCCAATTATCATTAAAAACTTTCAAATTTTGGAACAATACCTATCAACCAATCCTGATCAAGAAAAGGGCACATGCTATGACTCTCGAAACATCTAAGTTGAATGCATAGGCATCTGTACACCTTGTGCGTAGATAACTAGAGCTGTGGCATCAAGAATACAAACACTTTCTTCTATATTTACATCTTGCATAGTTATGCACAAATCATTTCTGATTATTGATAATAATTATAAAGCATAATTGTTCTATGTCTGCAACACGCATAACTATCTACATTAAGCTCAGTTCATCAAGTTCAGGGACTCTGACAACAGTAACTCCGCCATCGCCACAATCAAATAAATGCATTGACACCTCAATTCATGGCGAGATTGTTTGTAAAATTAAAAACCCGAATATAAATTGAATTTGACAATGGCTGTGGACAAGAAGTGTACCTCAGGACGATCAGAGGGGGAAGAGATGAGGCCAAGGGAGCGAGCAGAGCGAACGGAGCTTAAAATCTTCTCTCCGACCTTGGACAAGTCCATCCCACCTCCTTCCTGCAAAAAGAGCAGCGAGCCCAAGAACAAGAACCTCGACAAGTCGAACCCTCCTCCCTCTCCGAAATCCTCAGCGCCACCGGCAGCAGGATTCAAGAGCAGTAACGGACTGAAGGGAAATGGCGGGGTCAGTGGGTTGTTGCGGGACTGCATTTCAATCGCCGGATACGGAATCAGCAGGCATCATTGTACCCAGATCAGATCGGAGAAGGGCAGTCTCGCGTCTGTGTGGTGGAATTTTGGGGGTGGGGGTGGGGGGTGGGGGGTGAGTGCAGTTCAATTGTATTTATTGGGGAAGACTTTTTCTTTGTATAGATCTTGCTTAACAAATTGAAGGAATATCAACAGGGTGTTGTGTTGTTAACTGATCAATTGATTTATTAATTTGGAACAACCAATGGTGATTTTTTTTATATATATATTTTTTAACCATTGGTTGGGTTATGGTTATGAACTTATTAAGATTTTATTGATTACCTCACCCGCAGGTAAATGAGTTTAAACTATGGGACTTCTTGATGATTAGATTTTTTGGTAGGTGATTTTTTTATTGCTAGCAGCATAATAAAGTCTTTGGTTTGTGAAATAATTTGGAGGAAAAAGATTTTGATATAAAATATAAAAAATTGTATAGAATTTTTTGTGTGGCAAGTGGACCTTAGACGTCGGGGTTTGAACCCGTGATCTCACAATCACAAGTCCAATCTGTACACTACCAGGTCATTTCTTACGGGACTAAAAGCCTTGGGTGATGATGTAAATAAAGTTAAAAACTTTTTTATACTGTGAGATTCCACTCTAGCGCTATTTGCATAATCATCAATTAGATATATACATCCGAAATATGCTATATATAAAGTACATGTATGTATATATATAATCACTATAATAACAATACTATTTATATAAAATCTAATACTCTCTCTGTATTATTTGATATTTACAAGTATTTTTAGGTAATTAAGGACTTTTGTTATAAAATACGAACAAATTTGATCTTTATTTTGTTTATAAAAAATGAAAGAATAATAAAGTAAAAAAAAATAATAAATTTTGTGGATAAAAATAAAAAGAAAACCCTTAAAAATTTTAAATAGAAAAATAGGATAGTAATTTGTGAAAAGGAGTAGAGTATTATTTATTGTAATTAACCCATTAAATATTTAAATACACTATCTAAAAATAATACTCCTTCCGTCACAAACACTTTTCAATATTTTTTTTTGTGTCCCAAACACGTTCAATTTTATCCTCTCGCATCATCTAAATAAAAAAAAATACTATATATTTTTCACTTCATTTGCATCACCTAATTTTTAAATTATCTTAATTAATACTAAATATTACACCTTGTTTGGGACCGGAGATGGGACGGGAGAGTATTTCTTACCATATGGATTATTTATATTTAATAAAATCGAAATATGTTTGAAATGATAAACCAAACTTCAATTTCTTTTCGTTGACGAACCAAACTTCAATTTCTAAAAATAGTACTCTATTTGGTTCGATGCTTCGATCGATCGAATTCAAGACAGTCGCTTGAAATTATCAAATTCTCGAACCCTGCTAAGTGCGAACCCTTCTTCTCTAGTCTCCAGTCTCCACCATTGTCACTCTCCCAGCGATGGTTTGGGGTCTCTTTCCGGTCGACCCATTTCCAGGTATGAATCCTACCCTGCCTTACATATTCATGTATTCAGTTATCGGGCGTGCATTTGGTACTGCCCAGAAGCCCTGTCCTCGTTGAGTCTAGTTGACAAGGGGCTGGTTTCAGAAACTGCGTAGTTTACGAATTTGGACTATATGAACGCATCTTTTCGGTGTATTATAAGTTCACTTAGAATTTTTAGTCACAATTTAAGGATTTCTTTATTTACCTGTTTGATACTATATGATAGGGTTATCACACTTTGTACCTCGCTCAAGATGATCCATTTGGGCCACTGGATGTTAGATGTATGTTGATGGGCTATTTGCATTTAATTCCTAATAATTATAGGCCATTTGTACTTTATCTCCTTCACGTTGAATTTAAATTTTAGGCCATCAAACTTCAATCTTTGTTGAACTTTTGATGGATTTGTTCTTGAGAGACATCAGTGAGAAGATTGAAAATAGTGCAAGAACCAAGAGGTTTTTCTTTTGTCTGATACATACACTGTAGGATGTTTTGGTTAATAAATAAATGACTGCAGAAGCCAGTCATTTTTTTTTTTACATTTTCATAAATGTCTTCACGACTGTCTTAAGCTAAATTGGCTGTTTAGCCAATGAGGATGTCGATAGCTTAAACTCAAAGCTAGGAAGCAACCTGAGTTACCATTCTTTATACAGATTAATTGCAATTCACACTAAATTATGCTTGAAGCAGGAATAAGATATTTAGTTTGAGTTTGAGATAATACTCTGAAGGAACTGTTCTCCCCTCGATCTTAGACAATGATTTTATGCAGTACTTACTGATTACGAGATAGCTTGGAGGCTGGATTAAATATCTAAGAAAAATATTTGTAAAATTTAGTTTTAGTTTGTACATTTTAAGGGGTGGAATGCAATTCCAGTTTTCCTGATTTCAGAATTCTTTTGATTGAAGAAATGGTCTCCTCTGAACTTTCCACTATTCTGAATTTTGCAGGTGAAGATAAATATTACATTTTTAAGAAAGGAACATACAAAGTGGGTCGAAAAGGTAATATTAATTATACTCTCTGTTTCATCATGATCCATATCAATGCCTTCCAATGACTTCATAAATGATATGCCAGAAACCGAGTTCTTTCGTCTAGTTAATAGTGCATTTACATCGATGATATATCTGTTTTCTCATGATCTACTAACATATGTAAAAATGTTCAGGATGTGACATCATAGTAAACAAAGATAAAGGTGTCTCCAGGGTCCATGCAGAAATTATTGTTGATGAAATGATTTGCATGGATAATTTACAGAAGAGACAGCTAAATAATTTCTCTAAAGTTCGTATAAGAGATTGTTCGAAGTATGGAACCTTTATTAACCAGAATGCGGGTTCTAAAGAGAAAGTTCATGAATTTCCAGATAAAGAAACAATGCTGAAGAGTGGTGATCTGGTTTCCTTTGGAACTGGGAATGCAATATATAGGTTTGTATTCCTTGGCGGCATATTTCTTTTGTATACCATTGCTTGATTTCTTAAAACTCTTAAGCATAAATAAGACAATTCTCCACTTTACTGCTCACTTTGTCTATGGCAGGTTTTCTTTTGTTCCCCTTCTATTCTGTGTACCCTCATGTGGAATGAATCAACTAGAACAGAAATTCTCATTGATTGGTGAGCAAGCTTTTTGATTCAATTTTTATCTTTAAACTAAAACATATTGTGAATTTTATGTATTTATATAGTGCATATAGTACTGTTTTACTTGTTTGAGGTGCCCTAGCAAGGTAATGGAGGTAATGGAGCCTACCACCTTGTCCATCTTCTGAGTCCTATACTGAAGAAATTTTTGTGTTTCTTTTGTGTTTTCTTTTATTTTCATTACTATTCGGACATCCACGTTGTACCTTATGCTGGCTAGGGTTACCTAACAATAATATTTAGTATTGTGTTTGAACATGTGTATGCTATTAGGTTAGGAAAATTAATCTTATTAGTGTTGTCCTATAAAACTAGTGACTAGTGAGTGATTGGAAAATATGTAAGAGTTATATGGAAGAACTACAAGCACATCTGCCGACATTGATTAAGTATGCTATAGATGTTTTTGGATTGAAAAATTTTGAACCCCCAAAAAAAAGGTTTTTGATGTGATTCTTTTGTGCGGGTTTCATCGTATATTGGTTAGTGCGAAAATGGAATAAACACTCCATACATATCTGAAAGCATGGGATGAGAGGTATGAAAATTTAGATAAAAGAGGCATCTTCATTTCAACGGACTTTCTGATTTTACAGGTTTAGGGAGGAGTTAGCGACATGGATGTTAAATTGATAAGTTTAGATTGTGTTATTTTGAGATAATGGCTCGCGGATCATTCATGCAGGTGCTCATGCCACTCAAACTTGGACTTCAAAATGTACACATTTGGTTATTGAGGACTCTGTCTTGATCAATAATGAGGTTATTGATGCTATAGTGGCCAGAAAACCTGTTGTTGGATACAGCTGGATAGAGGTATTTTTCACTCGTAACTGCTTAGTGACAAAAAGGCTCTGGTGCACTTTGTTGGAGACAGCTTGAAAGATTGACTATTGATGATTTTCTTCTGTTGCTCTTTTTAGGTTTATTTTATTTTATTTATTTATTTATTATTATTATTTTTATTACAATTCTTATAATGTACCTTATTTCATTGGTACTTTTTCTTTTGGTCTAAAGATTCAAGTGCACTATAACACTTGTTATATCCATAGAATTGGTTCATTGGGGATGCTTATCCCCACACTTTCTTGTTAAAAGATCCCGATATATTATTGCATTGGCTTAATAATTTGTTCCTCGAAGATATTACTATAATTTTCACTAATTTTTGCACAACAAATGATATTGCTTAGTTATTGATCAGAATAAACACATGAGGTCTTGGCTGGATGATTTATCAGAAGTCTTCTCAATTAAATCTTCTATACTGATGTATATGTGTTTTGGAAAATTTACCAAACTCTTTCATTCAATAGAGATAAGAGGCTTATGTGGAAAGGTCTTTTGGTCTGCTCCAGTATTCTTTGTTGATTAAGTTTCATTAACTACTGTCATTAATTGGTCAAATTTATACCTAAGCATTCATTTTACATTTCATGTTGCCCATCCACTAATTATTTGTTTATGTGATTCTAGCTAATTGCAGAAAAAACTATTTGCACTGAGATGCCTTCTTTACTGTTGTGAGTATACACTGCTTGGTGGAAGCTTTCTTTACCAGAAGTTTATTTTTTCTTGTTGCATAGAGTATACTTACTTTTTCCCCCATATTAGGCATTCACCAGCTGTAATAGTCGATGGGGTAACTATCAAAGTCACAGATTCACAGTCACGTGAACAATGTTTGAAAGGATACACTTTTCTGCTGCAACCCATCGAGAAGGTATTTTCTGCATTTTTCTATAAGAACATTATATGCCAGGGGAAGTATATTATTTGAAGACGCAATGTTTAAGTTGCAGTTGTTTTTGAAACTTATTTATTTTATTTCTTCAGAAACCTTGTTAGAATATTCTCTTTTACATTCATCTAACACTCTCGATCCATTTATTTCCTGCAGTACAAATTTAACATAAAGTTTCCGGAGTTGTTAAAAGTGTGTGGCGCCAATGTTGTTGAAACACAAGATCAATGTAGGCAGGCATGTCATGTAACTCTCATCTCTTTGTATTTGATGATAAACCTTTTAAGTGATTAAATACACTTAACACATGAGGGGTATGGTTCAATTGAGAAGTATAATGAACTAGGGGTGTGTTTGGTTACCATTTCAAACCCAAATCATCACTATTCAGCCTATACGGTCCCAATAAAAATACACTATTTTCTCTCATAAAATATCAAATCAAAGTACTATTTAAATCAAAATTCAAACCAACACTTCAATTTCAAACACAAACCAAACTAACTCTCAGATAGATGACATTATCTTGTCAAGGAGTTTGAGGATTGTCTCATTCTTGAAGAATTTTGTTATATTTCATCCTCTGGGGTTGGCTTCTTTCTATAACTGTAATCTGTATTTACTATTTAGGGCATGTCTAAATGCTCTTTGATGTACATTGGTATAGGAAGTTCCATGGAATCCGGGGGTGCAACAGCTGTAAGATATGAATATTTTATTTGATAAATGTGCAGTTAATAACTAAACTTGATTGACTGGCTGAGAAGAAATTTGGTTGCTTGCAGATGTTGTATTTATGTTCTGCAGTGTGTGACCACTGAAATATTTTCTATTCCTTTAGATATATATTTCGATAATAGAAAATAAATTAGGCATTGCATACGTCATAGAAATAAATGCTTTTTTATTAGTGGGGATAGAGGTGATGCAGCCACCCCACTCTCACTGCAACCCAAGGGCAAGTTTGTGTTGTAACTAATTCATGGAAATGTGAGCTGTTTGTTTGGTGATTTCCAATATCGTAGTGGTTGTATATACTTTATTGGAACTTCCATTGTGGTTTTGTATCTGTTGTCATTATTTTGATTGATATATCTTCTGTAGAATCCAGGGGATAATCTGGTGTATGTGATGCCATCTGGATCGGAAGGTTTAAATAATGTCAATAATCTACCCAAGGTGAAAGAGATGGAATTGATTGCGGCAGTAATTTCTGGGCATCTAGATCCTGCTATTGTGGCATCAGCACCTGGTAGTTCTTTCCTCATTTGCAAGCATAACACAAATTATTTCTTATGGTGCAACAAAGTTTTGCATCAACTCATGAAAGGAAGCGTAGATTAATAGCTATATGAATATGAATATCTATTTATTAAAATTTTAATTCAAATATAACTATATATGTTTTTGGTTTTTAGCAAACTACAACATCTTATATTTTTCTTTAGGTTCTCTCTCTTCATTGTAAAGATTAATACAAATATACAGAGGATGCAAATGGATTAGACTTTATTGGAATTCCATAATTTCAGTAAAAATCTTTATTATGTTGCTTTATTTATGTTTGTCTTGTATTTTTTATTTTGCTATTTTTGAGGTGAATAGTTGTTGCATGTGATATTTTTAAGAAAAACAATATCTTGACTAATACAAAATCAGTAAAGATACTACATTGCACTACAGACAGTATTACTTTTATTACCATCTAAAACGATATCATTTCATTTTTGTATTTCCATAATTATATGTCTATATGTTTGATAGTCCTGAAGGTTCATTTGCTTGCACCTCTATATGATTTTTGCAGTGCTGGTCACGTCTTCATGCTCCACAGATGAAACAGTGGTTGCAGATTCTGATGTAGAATTGGAAACTGCCACATCAATACCCGCACCAAATGTAATAGAACATGCAGACACTGAATGTCATAGAAAGATGGAGATTCACAAGATACAATCTTCTGAAAATGATAGTGTTGCAGAAAGCGAAGTTCATATTGTAGAATCTGATTGTGAGGCACTCAAAGCAACTGCACTGGAGCGCCCAAAATTATCACCTCCCAATCGGGTTCTCTCTAATCTTGATGATCCTAGTCTAATTGCTGCGGCATCTGATAATGACAGTAAAACCTGGTCAAGGGGCCAAAATGAAGAAATTATGCTGAGAAAGGACAGAGAGAATTTATCTGAAAGCGAAAATCTTGATATTATATACAGCGAAGAATTAATTGTTCGAGCTTCCTACTTACCACAATCGGTTCATTCTTCATCAAGTGCTGCATCAGTGAACTTCAAATGTTTCAGGAAGGTAATGTATACTAATCTGAAATTTGAGGTAAAGACTTCATAGTTAGCTGTTGCTGTAACATGGATAACATAGAACATAAACAATTGTATTTTCCCTCGATGCACTTTGTTGGTTTTTGTCACATGAAAACTATTTTTCATTTCTGCACATACTTTTTTTTTTTTCAATTTTCTGCTTGAGTTCTTGGAGCAAGCTTTGGATCTGTAGCAATATAGTTCCATTTCCAAAGCATAAGTCCTTGATTCACTCATATAATCACTCCAATTTGATCTTTTGTCAGCGGAATCTTCCATCCGGCAACAGCTTCAGCAATCTAATTCCATTTTCAAAGTATCCCTATGAGTATGATCCTGTTCTTATTCTTCAATATTTATTGTAGTCAATGTATTGGATATCTGACTGGTCATCTCCCTTCTTTCATAGAGAGTCTGACTATGGAAATGAGAGTGTGGCTGAATCCGTAAAAGAGGAGAAAAAGCGGAAACAGATGGAGGCCATTGCCGAGGATTTGTTTAACAATGAGAAGGTCGAAAACATACACCCCATGCCATGTGTTCTTACACCTGACAGTAATTTCTACACAATATATGTTGGTTCATTTATTATTATTATTGTGCCGATAGTCTGATACCATTACACCATCAATGCAGGGGAGAAAGCGTGGCAAATCTGGTTCCCTTCTCGGGCTTTTTGCTCGTGGCTAGTCCGGCGTCGTGCGCATGTAAATTTACTGGTACAAAGGTCAGTATGTATGTATGTATGTTGATATTGTTATAGCCTTAGGTTGTGTTTTTTTGGGGTTTACGAAAGATTACTATTCAGATTCTTTACTATTCAAAAATCCAAACCCAAAATCCCAAATCCACAAACAAAAACACTCTTATGTTTTTGGCGGAGTTTATGAGTAGTAGAATTCTACTGGTGCTGTTGAAAATTGGAATTTGAGTTGGCTTGAATTTGAATATTTTTTTGGTTTGATTTGATGTTTGGTTATAAGTTGATGTTTGTAATAATGTAGTAATCGATGGTTGGTTAAAGGAAAATATATTGATTTATTGATTTTGAATAAATAAATAATAAATAAATTTAAATAATAGTAATAATATACTCCATTCTGTTTAATTTATCCATTATTTCTATTTTGATTTGTTCCATTTAATTTGTTCTTTCTTTTTTTAAAATTTCATTTGAATCACATTTTAAAATTCATAATTTATAATTATTTTTATTTTAATTAAATTATTTAGTTATATTAATTTTATGCCTTCGGATCAAGTGCTGATGTAGTATAAAATTTCGCATAAGCAGAAATATATTTTCACCCTTAATTTAAATCTAATTATTTTAATTAAATAAGTAATCTAATTAATCAATGTTGTAGATGAAATTCAACAGCTAATCCAACCTGTAATTTTAATATATAATTATTTTTATTAATACATTTTTTAATTACTTATTAATTACATAATACTTAAAATTCATCACCTAATCTAAATGGGACAAATTAAATTCATCACCTAATCTAAATGGGACAAATTAATCGGAACGGAGAGAGTATAATACAATACATTTTATAGATTTGATTCTATTTAATTTTTAAATAACAATAATAATAGTATAATATGATAATATAATAAATTTTCTTTGATGAATTTGTTAATATTTCAATGAAAATTAATAAAGATACAATATATACATATATTCATATAATATAAATAGAGTATGTTCTTATACTATCAATTTTTTATTATTTATCAATTTTTTTTAAAAAAAATCAAATTAAATATTTATTTTTTATATTATACTGAAATTTAATTTTACAATTAAAATATCACGACAATACTATTTATGTTATATTATATAACTATTTAAATTTCAAACTAAAATCTATTCTTCAAAGCAAATACATATTTTTTTTTTATAAAATATAATTTAATACAAAATATTTCTTTATATTATTAATAATAAAATATACTCCCCCTATCTCAAATAATAGTTTAATTTTGTCATTTTCATCAATTTTAAAACAATAGTCTCATTTTCATTTTTGTAACGAACATTTTAGATTTTTAGAAGTACTTTTACACTCACGGTCAATATAGTACTATTATTCTTTAATTTTTGTATTCATCCCAAATGTTCTTATTGTTTGGGATAGAGAAAATATATAATATGAATACAATAGAATAGTAGTATTTGTTTAATGTTAGCTATTTTTATGTATAATATGCAAAATTATATTGATAGTATAAAAAAATAATATATATTTTTTTGTTAAATTATTATTATTATTATTATTTTTGGGTAAATGAATAATATATATATATATTATTTTTTAAACTAGTCCATTTGTTAATTTTGTAAATTAATATTAGAACAATCACTATGAATCCTTTATGTATAATGTGATTGTTCAAAAGCTTGACCTTGGGGAATGTAACAAATAAAAAGAGAAATTAAGTTAGACCTTGGGAAAGGAAAAAATAAACAAAGTGTGGAATGATTTTTGAAAAAACATCACAACAAAGGGTGTATTTATTTGTGAAATTTTAATTTTGAATAGTAAAATTAGGGGGTGTATTCAATTGAAATTTTAATGGATTTTTTTTGGATTTTAAAAAGTCTATAGATTTAGAAAATTCACTGAGTCTATGTTGGGTTTGTCGATGGAATTTAGTAATTGATTTAAATGGATGTTTACATATTTATATGAATTTTGTAGAATTGAATTTATATGAATTTTATAGGATTGTAAAATAATTATATAAATTTTTATCAAACAACAAATTTTATAAATATAATAAATAATTATTAATAAAATAATATTTAATATTAATAAATAATAGTATATAAATATTAATAATGTAGAAGTATTGTAATATCTGTAATACTACTATTTTATAGATTATTAATTTTAATTTTATAATTTTAGTATTATATTATCATTCAATATATCAAATTGGTTTTATATTTCTTTATTAGTTATTATTATTATTATTATCTATTTATATAACCCTTTTACGTAAAAAGTAAATACGGATATAAATTAAATAAAAAATATAATTTACGATTTTTGAAATAAAATATTAAAATAAATACATAAATATAAATTAATGGTTCAACAAAAAATATATATTTAAATATCTATTTTACCTTTATCGTAATAATAATATAGTGTATTCGATAATTGAAAAAAAAAAGAGGACAGTAATACATATTTATTGTGATAATAATATTTTTTTAAATTATATTATTATTATATTATTGATCATATATACAACAACAATAACAATAATAATAATAATAATAATAATAATAATAAATATATATTCCCTCAGCACCAACTTGTTTACCATTTTTGTTTTTCGTTTAAATATAAAATATTTATTTATTATTATTATTATTATTATTATTATTATTATTATTTGTTTCAAATTAAAATTATTAGGATGTTTGATTTTCAATAATAAATATATATTCCCTTAGCACCAACTTATTTACATTTTGGTCTGTTACAAAAGAATAGTTTTATTTTTATAAATAACTAAATCATTATAAAATTGTCACTACTTTTTTATTTTATTATACAATTGTCATTATTTTTTATATTAATACACGCGAAAAACTTTTTTATCCATACTTTTTACCCATTACCAATATAATATTAATATTTCTGTGTCCAACTTAATTAAAACTGTATTTATGGAACGGATGAAGTATGTTAAACCAAATAAACTCCCTATGTAAATACATGCATTTTCCATATAAATTTTACATACAATTATAGAAACTAATATAATATACACTCAAAATATTGTCGACAATCTTTCCAACAAATTTTTTACTATTAAAAACTTGTTTGTATCGATTATAATAAAAATAATTATCTTATTATTTAAATTTTCTTAAAATACAAATAAAGGAAACACTAATTTCAAATGTGAAAGAAAAAAAAAAAATAGATCAACAATAATAATATTAAAATAAATGAATAATAGTTATCTTTTCTATAAATATATTCCATATAAAACGTTTACATATATTTGAAAATTATTTTTGTATCATTTATCTATAATAATATTTTAAAATATAAAATAAAATACTATTTTTAAATATTTTTATTATTTTTAAAATTTCAAAATATTATAATATAATTATGTAATAAAAATTATATTAGAAAAATATATTTATTAAATTTTTTATAAATTATATAATAAAAAACTATTTTATTTGTTTCACATAATCCAATAAGATTACTACAAAGTATATACAATATTCTAAAAATTATATAATTAAGTATATAATTAAAAAATATATTATTAGAAATAATAATACAATATAAATATTTATAAAAATTATATGTTTAATATAGGATGTACAAAAAAAAAACATGAACAAGAATATGAAAGAGAGGAAGTGGTTAAATTACAATATGTATAAGTAGATACTTTTGGACCTATATGTTGTAAGTAGAGTCGGAAATGAGTCGATTTGTATCGAGTTCGTGTCAGGTTGAATACTTTAAACGGATTAAATTATTCAACTATAATTCGACCCGTTTATTATCGTGTTGGGTTCGTATTGACCCGTTTATTATGGTGTCGGGTTTGGGTTGACTCGTGTTGACCCGTGTACATAATTAAGTGGAATTTTTTTATTCAAATTAAATAATCTTTTGTTGTGTTGTCATGTTACGTTAGTTTTTATTGGTTTGAGGCGAAATTAATATTGAACTTAATTTAAATTAATTTATAAAAAAATTATTAAATTATGATTATTTTACATATATATATATATATAATAAATATATTAATCAATATTAATATATTATAATCGGGTTGTTGTGTCGGGTTAGAGTTGAGAACCACAATCCTAACCCAACTTGTTTATTATCGTGTCGGGTTCGTGTCAACCCGTATACATAATCGGATTGAAATATTTGACCCAAACCCAGATGCGGATTAAATTGATAAATTAAATCCATAACTTTCTATTTCATTTGTTTGGGCTAAAATTTTATAATAACTCTAAACATGACCCAATTTGCATATCAGGCCCATACTATGATACATACATACACAATATAAATATATATATACATATATATTAGCCTAAAAGAGAAACCTCAGTTAGGGTTTCCAGCTATTAGAAGGTGAGAGCGAAGCCGCCGCCGATCCCGCAGTGACTCTGCCCGCCGATTCGAAACCTGAGCCATGGTGAGGAATGCGTCTTCTGATTGAAATTGATTGTTTACGTTATTTCGCTTTATACACAATGACGATTTTCTATATAATAATCAACGGAAAAATGTGAATTTCTCAGTCGTTGATAGCGAATGAGGATTTCCAGCACATTCTGCGTGTGCAGAACACCAACGTAGATGGGAAGCAGAAGATCATGTTCGCGTTGACCTCAATTAAGGGCATTGGCCGCCGATTCGCTAACATTGTCTGTAAGAAAGCCGATGTGGATATGAACAAGAGGTCTCTTTTTCCCTTTTCTTTTCGTTTAATTTTTTTCTGTTGGTTTAACTTATTGCCTTACGGATCCATTAGGATATCGATTTTGTATGTATACATATATATATATATATATATGCACTGGACTTTTGACCCGAACATGATGCTTTTGGTGTGGTTGGTTTTTTCATATGTATTTCTTGTATTTACAAAAATGCCGAAACTTGAATTTTCTAAACAAGGATTCTCGATCTAACTCTCGAAATGGATTTACAATAAATAGGCCAGAGCTATTTTTCCAAACAATGATGCTAAAAAAAATAATAAAAAAATCAAAACTTTGATAGGTTGAGAGCATTCTGATTGCTTCTGAGGATCATTTGAAATTTATGGTAAAAATTGGCACAGTAGCGATTGTTTGAATTCAATTTGTTTTAATGGTGTAATCATTGGAATTTCATAAAGAACACTTCTGTTGTATGTATTACCACAGCATTAAATGTTTTTTTTTTTGGTACATGATAGCGTTTTCTCTTGATATACATTTGCAATCATTTCTGTTCAGTTGCCAAGTGTTTGAACATTGTGAAGAAATTGCAATTGTTTCTTGGAATTTCAGTTATTTTGTATCTTTCTTGATTTTCATAGCCATTGGATTATTCAAATTTATTTTCAATTCAGTTCATTTCATTATAAGAATATTTTGGCATGTTTGTTTATCTTGCTGTGGTATTTTTTGGAGAATGAACTCTTTCCGGGGTGCTCGAACATTGTGAAGAAACTGCAATTGTTTCTTGGAAATTCAGTTATTTTGTATCTTTCTGATTCGTATCCGTTGGATTCTTTAAATTTATTTTCATTTCATTCTCGGAATATGTTGGAGAATGCTGGTTGCTTTGGAGAATGAAATATAAAGTTGTTGGGTGGGTGCTCTCCGCGCAGGGCCGGCGAACTTTCCGCTGCAGAGATCGACAATTTGATGGTCATTGTAGCGAATCCTCGCCAATTCAAGATTCCTGACTGGTTTTTGAATAGGAAGAAGGATTACAAGGATGGAAAGTATTCGCAAGTGACATCTAATGCCTTGGATATGAAGCTGAGGGACGATCTTGAGCGTCTGAAGAAGATTAGGTTCAATTTCACACTTATGATTCCATCCCTAACTGTCTCCTCTCATCCATTCATCACATAATTATTTTATATTTACAGAAACCACCGAGGTCTCCGTCACTATTGGGGTCTTCGCGTCCGTGGCCAGCACACTAAGACTACCGGCCGTAGGGGAAAGACTGTCGGCGTTTCCAAGAAAAGATGAGCATCTTAGAATGAGGTGCGCGCTATAAGTTTGTTATTTGGGAATTGAATCACTTTGTATATGCAAGTTTTTTACTCCATTTTAAAATGATCAAGTCTCCAACTGTCATCCTCCTCCTCCTCCATTTGTATAATAGACCAATTTATTGATTTCCTTTTCAGCTCTGATAGCTCCCTCCAGCTATGATTATCCCCGTCTAAAAATTTCTACTACAGTAAATTAAATGCCTGCCTGGAATAACATAAGGCTAGAGCTAGTGCAGTTTTTCTCAATATCACAGCCAGCCAAGAACACTCTAGTTTTCTCCTATCCATTGAAAACTTTGCAACCCTTCCAGCATTGTTCAAAAGAATTGGATCAAATTCAAATTGATCTCTAGGAATTGGGAGTTGAAGTAGCCATATATATATATATATACAACAAAACAAATGATTGATTATATCCCCATGTATGCATGCATGCATTTGACAACATCTATTAAAGTCAAGAATCTTTCTTACTTAGTAACTGGTTATGGTTATGGTTATGAGCTTGTTATATTATTAAGGCTGGGATTGGGAAGAAGAAGTGATCTTCTCAGGATTCAAGTTTTTGTTATTTTGGTTTTCCTATTATTTTTAGCCCCTCCCCCTCCCCCTCCCCCTCCCCCTCCCCTTAATGATATCAGTCTTATTAGAATTCACATTATGCTTCTTTCGTTTTGGAGCATTTATCGTAATTTTCACTGTTTTTGGGTTGTGTCACAAAACAGTGCTTGCTTGTGTTCCAAATCTGCGCCAAGAAAAATAAAATTTTGGTAAGTGGTGTTTATATTAAAAATTAATATGAAAATATTTACGTCCACATTTTTCTTAGTTATCTTTATCATTGTATTTTTACTTTTTATTGTAACAAAATTCATTGTCAAACCCTCTAATCAAGCGCTGACAAATCCCTCCCTCGCTCACACCTGGGTTTGGGGTAAAAAAAAAAAAAAAGCTCACACCTGGGTTTGGGGTAAAAAAAAAAAAAAAAAAAAAGAATTACGGTTATCAACATTTATCACCGAATGATTACCTTCATCCAAAATTTTATAAAAATAATAATTTTTAAGTCGAATTGTTAATATATTTATTTTATTATTATTATTATTATTGTGATGTTATTTTTAATTAATATATTTTGATTTGTATCTAATATATTCAATTATTAAATTGTATATAGATTAATATTTAGAAATTAAAATATAATACTCCATCCATATCCATAGATTAACTAATGTTCTATTTTTTTATTTGGACGTCAAATAACTATTCTATTATTTTATTTTTTAAACACAAGTTTTATAACAATAGAAAATAGAGCTAGTATTATATAAAAGTTTTATTAAATAACAAAAATTTGTATAGATAAATAAATTGTTTTATTATTATTATTTTATTTTATTTTATTTTCAAACTATCTAGATGTTTGATTTTCAATATCAAATAAACTCTATCGGTATAGGTATATATGCATGCATTTTACATGCATTTTTATCATATTATAGATTGTAATATAATACACTCAAATTTTACATAATATTATAGAATGTAATACAATATACACTTAAAATATTATAGTCATGCTTTTCAACAACTTTTTTACTATAAAAGACTTGTTTGCATCGATTATAATAAAAATAATTTACTTCAATTATTTAAACTTAAATTTAAATACAAATAAAAAAAAAAAACACTACTTTCAATATGCAATTTCATATATTCTCTTTAAATATATTTCATATAAAACGTTTACCTATATTCAAAAATTATTTTCGTATCATTTATTTATAATAATATTTTAAAATATTAAATAAAATATTATTTTAAAGCATTTAAATATTTTTAAAATTCCAAAATGTTATAATATTTTATTTAATAAAAATTATATTAATAATTGTATAAATTACATAATAAAAAATATATTTCATTTATTTATCATGTACAAAGTATATACAAAAGATTTTCAAAATAATATAATTAGTATATAATTTAAAATATATATTAATAATAATATAAAAACAATGACATTTGTATAATATATTATAAGTCGTAAAAGTATTTATTATATTATATATGAAGTACAATGACAAAATTAGAAAACAGACACATTTGCTTGTTTCGGGACATATATAAATGAAAAATGACACACTTCTTAGAAGATATAGAAATTATTATTATTTTTTATTAGTAATCTAAAATAACATACTCACTCCCTCGAAAGATAACAATATTTTTATTCCATTTTCATTTGTTCAAACACCATATATTCATTTATAACACAATAAATAAAAATCTTCATTTATGATTACAATAAACTATTTTTATAAAAAATAATAAATTTTTAAATATAGATAAAATATTTATTATTGAGAAAAAATGTAAAAACAAAAGAATTTTGAGTGAATTATACGTGTAAAAGGATAAAAATTTAAGTAAATTAATTTATATTTATTAAATATATTTAAAAATAATAATTTTATATATCAACTGTTATAAGGGATATATTGCATTCAATTATATTTTTTTTAGTTAAACATCATATTAATTTTTATTTATGTTATCATATAATTACTTTATTATCAAAAAAAAGTAATAAATTGATCTGATAAATTAAAAAGTTACTAAAAATTATATGGTTTGTTTAGTTGTATTTTTAATAATTTATTTTTAAATTTTTTTGGTTGTTATTTAAAATTAAATTTTAAAAATAAATAGACTAAAATTTACACAAAAGAAAAATAAAAGGAATTAAAAATGTTATACTAGTAATGTAATAACTAAAATTGATACAGATGTAAATAGATTTTACTTTATTTATTATTTTTTATTTAAATATCATATTAACTTTTATTTATATTACATTTAATAATTATTTTAAGGGAAAAAAATTAATTTTGGTCATAATATAATTAAAATTTATCAATTTTGGCTCAAATATAAAAAATTCATCAATTTTAATCTCATTATAAACAATTTCAATCAATTTTGGTCCAATAATAAACAATTTCAACCAATTTTAATCTCACCGTTAAAAAATAACGGAAATTGCTAACGTGGACGTAACGGATGTGATGTGGTAGCGGACCTGGAATCTACCCGGTCATGTAAAATTATGCACGACCATGTATATTTCAGTATATAATTATACATAGTCATGTTGTTACACAGTCATGTATAATTTTATACGACAGTGTACTTTTATATTTTGGTCTAAAATTTAATTTTTTTTGTTATATATATATTTTTTTAAAAATATTTTGAATTTGGAATAGTTGATATAGTTAAAATAATAGAAAAAATTAATAGTAAACCTAATATAATTAAAATGCATCAATTTTAATTCAAATATAAAAATTTATAAGATATATTTTTTTGAAAAGTTTTGTTTAAAATTCTATTATTCATAAAAAAAAATTCTTCTTACGAACGTCCAATTACACAACTATTTTTTATTTTTGTATATTATAGTAGTATTAAAAATTAATTTATTATTTCAATACAATTATATATGTCTATGTTGAAATTGTATTGAAGTGTAAAATTAATATTTAATACTATAATATACAAAAATAAAAAATAGTTGTGCAATTGAATTTTTTTAAGAGAAATTTGTTTGGTAAATAGTAGAATTTTAGACAAAATATTTCAAAAGAACATACTCGATAAATATTTATATTTGAATTAAAATTGATACATTTTAATTATATTATGATTATTATTATTAATTTTTTTTTCCATTTTAACTATATCAAATATTCTATATTTAAAATACATTTTTTAAATATATAGAAAAAAAATATTTAGACCAAAATAGAAAGGTACACGGATGTATAGAATTAATTATATATGACCATATAACAATATGATCATATATAATTATACATTGAAATATACATGACCGTGTAATAACATGACCGTCTATAATTGTAGATGACCATGTAGCTACGTCACCTCCGTTATGTCCACGTTAGCAATTTCTGTTAGTTTTTTTAACGGTGGGACCAAAATAGATTGTTTGTTTATAATATGAGCAAAATTGATTGAAATTGTTTATAATGAGACTAAAATCGATGAATTTTTTATATTGAGACCAAAATTAATAAATTTTGATTATATTGATATTTTTACCCTTATTTTAATTAAAATATTTTTAAAATATAATAAAATACCAAAATATACAATAAAATAAAATAAAATAATAAAAACAATTTATTATTATATATATATTATATAATGTTTTTAAATTAGTGGGCCTATATAAAAATACAATTAAAATGCATGATCTAAACAAACGGTTAGACGGTTATGGAGTATTATTTATATTATTATTAATATTACTTGTGGTCCCACAATTAAAAATAAAAATTAGAAAAAAAAAAGAGAGAAAAAAAGTTGGAGCGCCACGTGGTGAAACAAAATCACTGTAAATATATATATATTAGATATCACACTGTACGGACCAAACATTCTCTCCGGTAATTGTCCCTCCAGTTCCGTCAAATTCCTTCCCATTACCCAATTTTTTCTTTCGCCTCGTTTAACTTTCACAATTGCGGTTTTACGTGTCACTGCACGAACTGCAGTGAATAGCACTGCACCGCCCCACCTCTCCACTATTTTAAGGGTGCGTTTGTTTGTAGATTTTTGCAAAAAACAATTACTATTCATTCAAAAAATTTCCCACCAAAATATCACGTCATAACACCTATTTTTTATTTTTTTATATTATTATAAAAATTAATTTTACATTTAAAATATAACATGCTATTTATATCATATAATATATAATTCAAAATTTTTACTATTTAAATTTCTAACTCAAAATCTAAGCCTCCCATCTATTTTTCGTAAAATTACAAAAATATTTTCATTAGTGTCTTATAATACTAATAAAAATATATTTGCAAAATGTAGATGTGACTGTTAATGCGGACGGAGATAGTATTTTTTATTTTTTACTATTATACTTCTTTCGTCACGTAACTATGTATGTATTTACTTTTTGCACGGAGTTTTATATTTGGAATAAAATAGAAATGACTAAAATAAATTTATTATTGTATAATATAAAAATAATAATATTTGTATAATATATTGAAAATTGTAAAAATATTTATAATATTAACAATTACAGTTCAATTTTTTTACTATTTAAATTCGAAAATCAAAATCACACCTAAACAAACACACCTAGAAGCTTCGACGTTCACCTTTTCCGCGTGTAGAAGCTTATAAAGGCGAAGTTGAGTGCTTCCTTTGAGGCGGGTTCACACAAAAATCAACACAAACATTCCATTGGTGGTACACCTCTCAGTAGAGAAATCTGTGGAAATGTCAGGAAGAGGAAGGGCAAGAGGAGGAAGAGGAACAAGCGGAGGAAGAGGAGCGTGGGGGCGGGGGTGGGGCCAGCAAGGAGCTTCTACCGGACGCGGCCAACATTCGCCGGCCGGTGGCAGTCCAGGCTATGGTCGAGGCGGAAATACTTCACCAGCTGCGGGCCAGCAAGGAGCTTCTACCGGACGCGGCCAACATTCGCCGGCCGGTGGCAGTCCAGGCTATGGTCGAGGCGGAAATACTTCACCAGCTGCGGGCCAGCAAGGAGCTTCTACCGGACGCGGCCAACATTCGCCGGCCGGTGGCAGTCCAGGCTATGGTCGAGGCGGAAATACTTCACCAGCTGCGGGCCAGCAAGGAGCTTCTACCGGACGCGGCCAACATTCGCCGGCCGGTGGCAGTCCAGGCTATGGTCGAGGGGGAAATACTTCACCAGCTGCTGCTGCTCCACCTCCTGATCCATCTCCGGTGGCGTGGTCGTCGGCCGGTAACCTTGGCCGTGACTTGGAACAGAAGCAAACGGCTCAAGCTTCGTCTTGGAGCCAGCCGGCGGCTTCGTCTTGGAGCCAGCTGCTAGTTTCGTCTTCGAGCCAGCCGCCGGCTTCGCCTTCGAGCCAGCCGCTGGCTTCGTCTTCGAGACTGCAGCCGGCTTCGCCTTCGAGCCAGCCGCTGGCTTCGTCTTCGAGCCTGCCGTCGGCTTCGTCTAAGGCGTTGAGGCATGCGCCGAGGCCTGGGTTCGGAACTCTCGGTAGTGGAATGAAGGTGAAGGCGAATCACTTTCTCGTCACGGTTGCCGATCGAGAGCTGAATCAGTATGATGTAAGGATTTCTTTGCCTCGTTCGGACGTGTTTTGTGTTGTCTATGTCTATTCTGTACTGTTTTCATGCCAATGCGTATGCGGAGTCCTTGAGTAAAGATGATTGATCTCTGTGTATTTTTCTAGCGGTGCTCTTCTCTTTTACAGCATATGAAGAATTTTATGTTTGGAATCGTTAGCATTCGTGTTCATGATATTCCCTGAGGATCTTACATAGCTCTATGATGTTTTCGAACAATTTTTGGAGCATTTCAGGATGAACGGTGTCTCTCCTTGCAAGCATCGACGGTTTTTGCTCTATGTTTCTTTATAACTGTGCGAAAGAGAGGGATCTGATTCCTGGCAATTTCATTCTTCACTTGAGCCTTTGTCGAAGATTTTTAGGATCATTATTTCACATTCTGTTTGTTGTTATACAGTGAAATGTTTTTTTATGAATTTTAATTGTAACTGTGGCTCTTGGTTGACTCTGTTTTGTGTCATTAGGTTACAATCACACCTGAGATAACATCAAAGAAGGTATCTAGGGAAGTTATGAAGGAGTTAGTCAAGTTATATGGCGAATCTGATCTTGGGATAGATAGGTTAGCTTATGATGGAAGGAAAAGCTGCTACACCGCCCGACAGTTTCCCTTCACATCTAAAGACTTCGTAGTTAAGCTCGAAAGGTGCATTGTCCTTTCTGGAAGTGTTCTTTTATTTCTTAGACTGTTACATTTATTAATCTTTTGTATATATATATGTATATATTTTATAATTATAAGACCACGACATTTAAAACTTTTCTTGTATTTTTATTTTAAAAGCTCTAAAGTTTGTTATGACATAATTATGCAATTTATGTATGTGATTATACACCATGCCTAGTGGATGTTTTACCCTATATGGATGAAGTTAACTTCAATGTCATAAACTGGTTCATTTGAGAAATCTTTATTTGGCGCGGAAATAGAAAAAGAGACTGCGTGGAGAATGATGTGAGAAAAAATTATTGTGATTGAGGGATTTTTAGTGCATCCTCTTTTCTGCACTGAACCAGAGTGTTTGTGATGGTGAAGCAGGTCTGGGAGGGAGTTCAAGGTCACTATCAAATTTGCATCCAAAGCTAATCTTTACCACCTTAACCAATTTTTACTGGGTCAGCAACTTGATGTTCCTCAAGAAACATTGCAGTTTCTTGATGTGGTTCTGCGTGATAAGCTCTCCAACGACGTCCTGTTTGTGTTCTCACTCAGTGTCGATTATGTTTGTGTGCTTTCATCCTTCGTTCTTACTTCATCCTCTAATTGCAGCTATGAAGCAGTTGGAAGATCATTTTTCTCTCGGTTGCAGAACGATAAAGGAGATCTTGGAAATGGCGTTGAATATTGGAAAGGCTTTTATCAGAGTCTACGTCCTACACAGATGGGCTTATCTCTGAACATTAGTATGTAATGCCTATTTTATATTTTGGTTTCTACGGTGCAGCAGGTTTTCTTTGCAGCTTGGCCTTAGAGCTTATTTTTGATACAGTATTCATTCATGAAAGAGTATCTTCTGTTATGTGTTGAAGCTGCCTCAATTTCTTGCTTTCCATGTTGCAGATATATCAGCCCGTGGGTTTTTCAAAGCTATTAAAGTTACTGACTTTGCAGCTGAATTCCTGAACAAAAACCTGACTGAGGCTTTGTCTGATCAGGATCGAATTAAGGTATCCAGGGTATTTTGGGCTTACTTTTTGAATTAACAGTTATTCGTTCTTGCCTTCCTGGATTTCATTCCTGTTTAATCAGTGATTGAGAATTCAGATCTCAAGTTTAGTTGGATAATCGGACTATGTATGTTTGTTTATTAGTTGAAAAAAGCATTAAGGAATGTCAAGGTTGAGACCAATCATCGGGGTTTCTTGAAACAGAACCGGATTACTGGATTTTCGACTGACCCAATAGAGAATTTGATGTAAGTTAACCTGATACTTCTGGAGTGTTTGGGTTTTAGATATTATTTGTCTTCTTCATGGAAGATTTCTTGATGCTCTTTAGTTTATTGTATGTCTCAGATCAGAAATTAGTATTTGGCTCTAATTTAATGAAGTAGTTTCGAAAGATTAAATATCTGTTTGGCTCACTCCACTCTTCCAATGAACCAGGTTTAACTATGATGAAAATGGAGGAACGATCTCTGTTGCTGAGTATTTTCGACGGAAGTATAAAGAACCTATAGATTATCCATTTCTGCAAGCTGTTCAAACCGGTAGCGACGCAAGACCTGTTTATCTTCCGATGGAGGTATCTAATTTCGTGTCTCATGGTTTTCTTTCTGCTTTTATCTTTGGTTGCTTTTCCTGTAATATTAGCTTCCTTTTCCTTTCAGATATGCACAATTGCAGAGGGTCAAAGATATACGAAGAAATTGAATGAAGGACAAGTTATAGCTTTGTTGAAAGCTAACTGTCAGCGTCCCTCTGAACGAGAAAATGGTGTTTTCCAGGCATGAATGCATAAATAACTTTCAATTATCTTGTTCCCAATCAATCTATAGCAACTAATATTTTCTAGTGTACCTTACTGTGAAAATTGATTAATCTGCGCAGAGGGTTCGTAGAAACGGTTACAATGGTGACGAACTGGTCAGTAACGTGTTTGGTATGACAGTTGGGACAGATCTTACTGTTGTAGAGGCCCGCGTGTTGCCTCCACCTAAGGTATAAACTATTCAGCCTTTCTTCATTTTACAATTTCAGCATTTCCTTCGCTTCCTTTTGTTCTTCTAAATTACATTCTACGGTGAATGGCTAGTTGATATATCATGATTCCCGAGGGGTGGTCACCACAGTCGATCCGAGGGTAGGACAATGGAACATGATTGATAAGGTGAGCTTTCTTTTCTCGAAGCAAAAATAACTAAACAAAATGGTATTGTTACACTTACATAGGTGTGATTTCTCAATTGTTTCTCTTTGATGTTTCTTGCGCTTTGTGTTATTACGAATGTCTCTCTGTGGCAAATCTTCATTTTCATGTGTTAAAGAATAATTGTGTTAATCGTATTTAGATACGTAACAACTAACCATCCCTGTCCTTCAGAAAATGGTCGATGGCGGCAAAGTGAAATCCTGGGCGTGCATAAACTTTTCCCGAGAACAGTTTGATGTTAACAGATTCTTACGTGAGTTGATTTGGATATGCCGCAGTAAAGGCATGGTATGTAATGGCTTATTTATCTGCTATTGATTCATCTGGAGAGCGTTCGACTAATTAATCATTTGTTTGTATGCAGGAGTTTAATCCGCTACCTATACGTCCTTTTCATTCAGCTGACCCTCGTCGAATCGAAGATGAGTTAACAGAGTTCGATAGAGCCACCGGGAAGAGTCTTGAGTTGCTCTTTGTCATTTTGCCTGATGCCCGTGGCTCGTATGGTTAGCTACACTCAACTGAAGTCTGCAATTTTAATGTTTCAAGAATCAAGATAATGCATACTACGGTTAATAATATTTCCTAACATTTTACAGGAGAAATCAAACGAGTTTGTGAAACAAAATTGGGATTGATATCTCAATGCTGTCAGGCTAGCCAGGCAAAAAAATTCAACAGAAAATACATGGAAAATGTTGCCCTGAAGATAAACGTGAAGGTTCTTTTGACATTTAATTTACATTGTTACCTACTTGGCCGAACTTTGTTTCATGTTTCGTTTCTACATTCTTGCTTAGGTTGGAGGAAGAAATACTGTTCTGGCGGATGTGGTGAATGGCGGAATGCCATTCTTTACCGGGGTCCCCACCATAATCTTTGGAGCTGATGTTACACATCCTCAACCCGGAGATTATTCGTCTCCCTCCATCGCTGCAGTAAGCGAAAATTGCATTTGCACGCTCCCCACCTTCTCTGGAAAGAATTCGGAGAATGACGACTCGACCCATTTGTACAGGTTGTTGCATCAATTGATTGGCCGGAGGTGACAAAGTACAAAGGACTTGTTTCTACACAGACACGCCGACAAGAGATCATTCAGGATCTCTACAATCTGAAGCAAGATCCTCAAATGGTTCCGACTGACACTGGAATGATCAGGTAGCACTTGTTTCTCTTGATATATATATGTATTAATTCTCGACATCATCTCATTTCGATTTATAAATTTTCTGGGCAGGGAGCTGCTGACGGCCTACTATAACTCGACCAAGCTCAAACCTAAAAGGATTATATTTTACAGGTTTGTTATCTCAACTATATGCAATTTTGTCTTATCTAAGCTCGCCGATACTCCTAAATAGTAACTAGTTTCGATATAATCTGTCAGGGATGGAGTCAGTGAGGGGCAATTCCAGCAGGTTCTTCATTACGAAGTTGATGCAATTACGAAGGTCCTGGCTTTTATATCGTTTTTATTTAATTTTCGAGTATTAGTAAGATGTTTGTTACTGTCTACAAAAATCATTACATGATTGAATTGGTGTCCTACATTATTCAGGCCTGTTCTTCCCTTGATGTGGAATATAAGCCAACAATTACGTTCATCATCGTGCAGAAGCGACATAACACTCGCTTCTTCCCTGTTATACAAAAGAACCACCAGACAACAGATAATAGTGGCAATATTTTGCCAGGTATGAATATATATATATATATAAGTAGTTTACAAATGCTTATACATTAAGAATGTTACTCATGATCGATGTTTTTGTATTTTCCGATCAGGTACTGTGGTAGATAGTAACATATGCCACCGAACTGAGTTTGATTTCTATCTCTGTAGCCATGCCGGCATCCAGGTACATTTGTTATCCTCGGTTCACTTAACTCATTAGTCGTATACAAGCTTCTCTTAAGTATATAATATTTTCCGACATCCCTTTACTTTTAGGGAACAAGCCGTCCGGCCCATTACCACGTGCTGCATGACGAAAATGGCTTCACTGCAGACAACTTGCAAAGTCTTACCAACAGCTTGTGCTACACGTAACTATCCTATCCTTTCCTATCCATTCATCTCTTAGTTCATTGACTAAGATCAAATAGGTTCTTTTTTTCACGAAGCATTTTTCTTTCTTTTCAGGTATGCTCGATGCACTCGCTCCGTCTCGATCGGTTAGTCTCATCACATACTCTCACGCATACCATTATACAGTAAAACAAATAAACAATTCGCGAGCTTGGTTCGGTTCAACTCGTTTGTGAAGCTAAACGAACCGAACATGAACATAAATTTTGACTTATAAAATATTTATATTTTATTTGATTTTTTATTTAAATTTATTAATAAAAATTATAATTCTTATTAACTAAATTTATTTTTTTAAAAAAATTAAATAAATAAAATAAAATTTCTGCTAACGAGTCGATTTCAAACAAAATTTTTAGTTCCTATCTTTTAACAAACACAAGCCGAGCTCGGGTCCTTAAGGAGCCGAGTTCAAATATGAAAAACTTGATTTTGTTCAGCTCGTTTACAGCTCTATCATTAACATTATTTTTTTTCAGTTCCTCCGGCATACTATGCCCACCTGGCTGCATTCCGTGCGCGATACTACATCGAAGGCAACGTAGTCTCGGACAATGGATCCGGGACAGAGGGGGAACAAAACAGGGAGGTTGTGGCATTGCCCAAGATTAACGACAGGGTGAAGGAGGTGATGTTTTACTGTTAACAGATTCGATCCCTACCAAGGTAATAAGTCGTAAATTCCACTTTATATTTTGCGATTCGAATCGATTGCTGCGTCGGTTCTTTCTTTTATTTTGAGTGTGAGGCTGTGGTTCGCTTTTTTTACGCTGTCCATGGCGATTTGAGCTGTTTTTGAAACAACATGTGCTGTTTTTTCTTTTATCAACTGTGCTGGCTTTTACATGGTATGATATGATAATAATGATATGCTATGCTTATTTTGATTTGAAAATGTTGAATGAATTCATGCAGGAGATATACATGTGTTGTTTTGATTATAGGAATATTGTAATTATTTATATTATAGTATTATAATTACTTTTACTAATATATTTTAAATTATTAATTAATTACAATTTTTCTAAATTCTTGTGAATTGTGATATTATATTTAGGATGGAGTAATATTTTTATGATAACATAATTTTATGGAATGTCTGTTTTTCGTCTATCAATTTTATACTCATTTTATTTGTAATTTTTTTTAAAAAAAAAACGAGTGTAAAATTGACGGACGTAATGAGCATTTTTTTTTTATTTTTTTTTTTTTTTCTGCTATCTGTGCTTTTTCATGTGGTATGGTTGCCATGCGATTAAATCTAATTAAGACATTTTAATAGAATTTATATTTGAAGAAGGAATGTAAAGATAATTTCATTTTTGTTATGATAAAGCAAAAATATATATATATATAAAATATTAAATTATAATTTCTAAAAGTACGTGTGTGTTAAGGTGGGATAAAGAGAATATTATAATGAGTAAATAAATAAATATATAAAAAAAGTTGAGAGACATAAGTAATACAGATTATAGAGAGGGCAAAAATAATCCTTTATTGAGTTACAATTAAACAAAACAAAACTTATTTTGGTTTATTGTGATTTGAAATTGACTCGGCAATTTTGTTTCAAGATGGAGTTTGTTTGGTTAGTGTTTTGATTTGAGCATCATTATATATTGTATAATGATGCATATAATCAGCACGCTAACTTTTTATCAAAGTCTATTATCTATATCTTTAATTTTTTATTTATTTTTTCATTTTCACTCTCACTCTCAATTATTGTTGAAAGACTAAAATTACTCTAAATAATTACAATTTTATCCTAAAATACAAACTAGCCAAAAAAAATAAAAATAACACACACACACATAAAATTATTTTTCGTTTCCGCTAGAGTTTTTGAGAAAGAAGTCTCTATCTTCTTCTTAGTTATTTCTATTTAGGTTTTTTTTTTTACTTGTAAATTATAGTGTTTTTAATTCTTAATATATAAAAATTCTATTTAATTTTTTTTTTCTAAAAATCATTACATTTATTTATTTTGAATTTAATATAAACTTTTGCTTAATAAAACATATCCTTAGTAAAAATAACAATTTTTTTTCCAATTTGCATATAATAGTGTTTCTTTTTTCTTCTTGATATTTATTTTGTTATTTTCTTTTTGTTAAAATAAATGTTTAATATATATATATAAATAAAATAGAATAAATACTATCTCTGTCGGTTAAAAAAAATAGTCTTATTGCATCTAGTGCGAAAATTAAAAAATATGAATGAAAATATAAGAAAATAAAAAAATTGTTGAGTGTACTTTTAAAATTTTGATGTGTAATTAAATAAAAATTAATGTAATAAAAAAGTTACAATTATAATAAATAAATGTTAAATAGAGAATAATAATTAAGCATTGAATTTTTTTACTTTGCCAAAATTAATAATAAATTAAATTTAATTAACAAAAAAAAAGAATAAATTTAGCGAATGAAATATTAAATAGCGAAAAAATCTACTTGAAAACACATAAAGAACAAATCCATAATCTCATATTTGGTATTAATCTAACATCAATTATGCTTGTGTACTTATTGCAACGAATTTCTATTACTAAATTCATATCTTCAGCCTTATATTTGAACCAGCAATTGCTCCACGCATTCTTCTGCTTGTCAACAGATTAACTTTAATTTGTTACAACTCATGAACGAAGATATTAATACAAAAAGAAAATAAAAAAAAAAAACTACAGTATCTATTGAAAAATTGAATTTCGCTCAGAATTAAATAGTATTTTTATTTATGAGATTTATTCAATAAAGCCTAATGATCGTAGATATAAATTCACAAATATCCATCCATACTTACAAAGAATTCTAAATTCCTTCTCCAATCCGAATATTTACTGTTTTGGGTAACTTTTGGACCTTTTCTTTATCTCTGCAATGCACGTAGCACTTGATGAAACATAGTTGACTTTTCCTACGCCCCCATATAAACATGCACTTGGCAGCGCATATTAACCCACATGCATTGATACTTTTAGCTTCAGTCACATCAACGACCAACATCGATAAAACAATCATATAAATAATTGCAAAAGAAAAAAACTTTTTCATGATAGATATTTGGCAAATATATATGTGTTTTTTATGTTGTTTATGTAGTGTTAATAAACCAAAATTTAGGGGTTATTTATACTAAAAAATTACAATATAATTAATTTGATTAATTAACAAATTTTGGCAAGTACATATTACTGCTCATTTTTAGTAAGTATACTCAATTAATGATAATAATAATTTTATATTCCTAATATTAAAATCTTAAATGTGCTAGATATAGAAAATTATTATTAACATTACTATATTATATTAATATTTATTGTGTGCATTATATATTATCTTGTGTAGTATAATACGTTTATTTACTGATATCATAATATATTGTATTGCATGTAATTATATAATGTGGTATTAAAATATTTTCTCCATCTCACCACGGATGATCCATTTTTCTTTTTTAGTCCATATCACATAAGATAATTCATTTCTATTTATATTAAATTTAATAATATTTGAAACATATTTATCAAATATAAATCAATTTAATTAAATTCCAAACATCTTACACATAAGACTCATACAAAATCTCTCTATTTCTATCACTGTCCTTAATAAACAAATATTTTTATCTATATTTAATAGTCTTTATTTTTTTAAAATTAGTTTATGTTTATTATAGATAAATAAATTATTTTTTATTTATTTGTATTATATAAAATTTGAGGGTAAACTGTTTTTTAGTCCCGTAACTGACCTCTTTATCATTTTAGTCTTATAACTAGAGGTTGTCTTAAAATAGTCTCGTAAGAGAAATTTTTTCTCAATTTAGTCCTCAATGCCTATGTGGCATTTGTGTGGCATGCTGGACACGTGTCGGCGAGATCAGCGTCACGTGGATGACATGTGTCCAATGCGGATAATTTTATTTTTTTAAGTTTCTTTTTTTTAAAAAAATATAATATAAAATTTAAAAATATAAAAAATAAAAAATATAATAAAAAATATATAAAAAATTAAAAATTAAAAATAAAGCTAACACCTGAAAAATATCCATATGTCCATCAGGTTAACGCCATGTGGCCACTACGTGGATAATTCATATGTTTTTATATTAAACATAAAAAATATAATTTAAAAAATATACTTATATATAAATTATTAAAGTTCACGTGGAGGTGACTTGATGGACATATGAATAATTTTTATTTTTTATTTTATTTATTTTTAATTTTTTAATTTTAATTTTATTTTTTAACTTTTATACTTTTGTATTTTATTTTTTTATATTTGTAATTTTATATTTAAAAAGACTAATAATAAAAATAAATCCATGTGACAGACACGTGCCAGTCACATGGTGCTGACCTAGCCGACAAGTGTCCGTCAGCATGTTATGCGGGTGCCACATAGATATTGAGATATAAATTGCAAAAAAATTTCACTTACAGGGTAATTTTAAAACAACCTTCAGTTACGGGACTAAAATGATAAAAAAGTCCAATTAAAGGACTAAAAAATAGTTTACCCAAAATTTTTTTATAAAAAAATGATATACATATTATATATATATTACAAAGATATAGTGTTTAAAATATTTAAATACCTATTTTAAATTTTTTTTAATCATATATATTAATTTTTATTTTAAAAATAATAAAAACACCACGTATATAAAAAATAATAAAAACACCACATGTATAAAAAATAATACTATAATAGCATAACTACTATAATTAACCTATTAAATTACAATAACTAAAATACTGTATCTCTAACTAAAGGGGTCATCTGACCCGAAACGGATGGAGTATGTGTCATATATTTTAGTAATATATGCTATATTTTCTATAAATATGTGGCGAGCTTATGTGTCATATATTAAAGGGTAAACTGTTTTTTTAGTTTCGTAACTGGACCCCCTTATCATTTTAGTCCCGTAAGTAGAGCCTATCGCAAACTAGTCTCATAAGTGAAAATTTTTCGTTGTTTTAGTCCTCCGGCGCCGGGGACGTCTGCGTGGCTCGCCGGAGGTAACGTGTCCGCCGGGTGTCCCGCCAGGTCAGCGACACCTGGCGGACACGTGGATTTATTTTTTTTTTCGTTTTTTAATTTTTTTAATTTTTTTAATTGGACCAAATAAAAAAATAAAAAAATATCTAAATAAAATTAAAAATAAGTTTTAAAAAATTAAAAAAATGAACAAAAAAAATAAAAAATCCACGTGTCCGCTATGTGTCGCTGACCTGGCGGACACGTCACCTCCGGCGAGCCACGCGGGCGTCTCCGGCGCCGGAGGACTAAAACAACGAAAATTTTTCACTTATGGGATTAGTTTGCGACAGGCTCCACTTATAGGATTAAAATGATAAGGGGGTCCAGTTACGGAACTAAAAAAAATAATTTACCCTATATTAAATTAATATGTGCTATAATCAATATGGTAATCAAAATATATTTTTAAATAATACTATATTTTGTGGAAAGCTAATTAAAATGATTAAATTGTAGTATTAGTTGTTGTATAGATAAGGACATTATCACTATTTTTATTTCTATATAAATGCTATATAGGAATCAAATTTAAAATTATACATTGTACTCTTAAGTTGTTGTTATATGAGATATAAGGTAATTATCATTATTTGTGTTTCTAAGTGTATCTGATTATGGATTTGAATTTTGGGTTTGCTATAAAATTTAAATTTGAATAGTTATATAATTTTATATGAATAAATATTGAAGTGATGTTTTAAATATATACTTTTTTATTATAATATAAAAAATAAATATTTGATATTCTTAAAAGAAAAAAAATGAATGAATAGTTAAATCTTAGGAGAAATCTCCCAACAAAAGTAA